GGGTTATGGTCTGTGTACACAACCAGCGGAACACTAGAGCCTACATACACATCAAAATGCTGTAATGCCCAGATGAGCGTGAGGGTTTCCTTTTCGATTACCGAGTAGTTTAACTGAAACAAGTTAAACTTCTTGGAATAGAAACTCACGGGGCGGTCCACCCCACTACCATCAGCTTGGAACAGTACGGCTCCTGTCCCGACATCACTTGCATCCACATGCAGTTGAAAAGGTCGAACTATGCAAGGAGCGGCCAGCACAGGAGGTGAAGACAGAACAGACTTGACATTACCAAAAGCCTGCTGGCACACGTCTGACCAAACATACCGGGCCTTCCCTTTCAGCAAATCAGTCAGGGGAGCTACCACAGTTGAAAAATTCTTACAAAAACTGCGATAATATCCAACTAACCCAAGGAACCGCTGAAGTTCCTTTTTGGTAGTAGGAACTGGGTACTTGGTTATCGCACTTACTTTGGCCTCGACGGCACACACTGTCCCCTGCCCTACCACTTTTCCGAGGTAAGTGACGGTGGCCTTTGCAAAGTCACACTTTGCCAAGTTCACCGTCAGGCACGCTTCACTCAACCGGTCAAACAGTCCCTTAATACGGGCCAAATGTTCTTCCCACGTATCGCTATAGATCACAACGTCATCCAAGTACACGGCACAACCTTCCAACCCCGACACCACCCTGTTCATAAGTCGCTGAAATGTGGAGGGAGCATTACGCAGACCAAAACTCATCACATTATAGGAATATAATCCTGAGGGTGTAATAAAGGCAGAGATCTCCTTGGCCCTTTGAGAGAGTGGAACCTGCCAGTAACCCTTTAGAAGGTCAAATTTGCTCACAAACTGCGCAGAACCAACCTGATTAATACAATCCTCTATACGAGGCAGTGGATACGCATCCGGTTTAGTAACAGCGTTAACCTTCCGATAATCTGTGCAAAACCTAGGACTTTTATCAGACTTCTCCACAAGCAGACATGGTGATGCCCATCTAGAACAAGACGGTTCGGAGATGCCATTTTCGAGCACTTGATTTCCGTGTCCATTACCTGGCGTTTTACCTCAGACACACGATAGAAACGCTGGCGAATGGGATGCGCACCCTCCACATCTATATCGTACACTAACATGTATGTTCGGCTAGGTGTATCACTGAACAGACACAGATTACTACGAATCAGAGCAGTCAACTCAACCCTTTCTTCTGCCAACAAATGACCCAACAGTGACTCCATATTCTGCAAAGTTTCAGTATTTTTCAATCTTCCCCGCAACAAGCTCTCATCAGGCGCTGTAACCCCATCATCTTCACCTCCGAAGACCTGACTCCCCACTGCCGCTGCTGCTGAGAGAGGTCTAGCCTCACCACCATAGTACGACTTCAGCAGGTTTACATGGCAGAGCTGAGTGGCTTTTCTACGCTTCGGCGTGGACAGGAGTACATTTTGGTCAGATACCTGCTCGAGTACTGTGAAAGGGCCAGAAAACTTTGCCTGAAACGGCGAATTAACCATTGGCAACAAAGCCAGGACCTGATCACCAGGACTAAACGAGCGCTGCTCGGTTTTCCGGTTATACAGACGCTTTCATCTTATCATATTGTTTATAAGAAAATAACAAGTGTTTATTCTCTTATAAACAATATGATGACAGAACCAGCCACAGGTCCCCGAGGCTGGCACCGAGAAAGTGCCCAGAGGAGTGAGCGAGACGTAACCGGCTGGGCTCCTCCTATATCCTTTCCTTTCCAAGTGTAGCTCATCAGCACCTGAACCTGTGGTGCGGAGGGGTCGTCACAGCATGACCACCAAAACAGAAAGATATGGACACAAGATGTGTGCAAATGTATTTAGTATCCTATCCATTTGAACATGATTTAAGTTGGGGGGGACCTAACCTCCTCTCGGGGGGTCCGGGGGGCATGTGAAGGCAAATGTATATTCGAATATTTGACCCCCAAAAAACGGTTAACCGATTAACCGGAATGTACATATCCTATAATTATTTTTTTTAAATATGGGAAACATTTTTACAAAAAATAAAATAATAATTTAATTTTTAAAAATAAATAAATACATGTTCAAATAAGTATAGAAACCAAGTCGAATTTGTCAAATGTATTGAACTGGTGATCACAGTTTGAACAGTTGACCTACAGCTTTCATGCTTAAAACATAACTTGGTTTTCTGATGGATTTGGACATAAACGAGAGTGAAGTATAACCCGACGCGAGAGAGAGAGATCAGCACCTCTGCCCGCTGTGAGATACCGGTGAGCGGAGCAAAACACACCTTTAGACCTAACACACTTAGCTATGGCACTGTCGTATACATTGAATTATTCCATTTGATAATATGTAATCAACTTAGGCACCCCACCTAAAAAACATTATTTTTAAAAAAAAAGAAAAAAAAAATTACAATAAAAATATTCAGAACTCATATTCTCATACCTGAATAATTTCGAATATTCGATTAATTGTTCCCATCCCTAATGGGCACTGTACGCAATATAGGCGTAGTTCTGTTAATATAAGATAATAAGATGTACTTTGTTGATCCAAAATCGGGAAATTGTATTGTTATGAAATTTAAATAAAAATATTTTTTAAATTTCTCACTTTCCCCCCCCCCCCATTTTTGGCGCCCCCAATGGGTTGATGTTCCCTTAGCATTCGCCTATACTGCCTATGCCAAGGGCCGGCCCTGGTTGTTACTTCTGCATCATTTTGAAATGTGTATTACAATTAAATCAAGGTAAAATATGTTCATTTTGTTGTAGTTGTAGCCCCCTTACCAGCGATTCTCTCTGACCAATCAGCAGTCGAGAGTGTGAAAAAGTAGCCCTGAGCCGCAGTGGCGGTTCTAGACCAATTTGACTGGGGGGGCCAGGCTAGGGCCAGTTATTTTCTGAGGGTGGCACAATAAATGCCGGACGAAAAAGACAAAGACAGTATGAAGTAATCGCGCATAAGAAAACAATGCAATACAGTTATTGGTATTGTTTCAGTACACATATTTATTTCAGATACTTATAATTACAGGTTTTACGCTCTAATGCAGGGGTCTCCAACCTTTTTTAGGATGAGAGCTACTTTCAAAAAATAAAACAAGTCGTGAGCTACTTTTACTCCTCTTTATTTTGTTTTTTGCTGTGTATATATTTAGCACATTTTAACATTATTATATGCTTACCTTTAACCTTTGTGTGCTGTTTGGGTCTGTGAGACCCGTTTGCAGTGTTTACTAAAAGACAATGTATGCTATTTAATTATTTTAACCAGCTTTTTTTGGGGGTGGACCTCACATCCTCTAGGGGGGTCCTCAGCCCCTCTAGGGGGGTCCGGGGGCATGCACCCCCGGGAAGATTTTCTTTTTAAAATGTTGAAGTGAAATGCATCAATCTGGTGCACTTTGAGCACAAAATGAATTTATGGATACAACTCTCAATACTCATATGAAAGGGAGCTGTACACTTTTCAATGGTCCAAACATCTTTAGAATATGATCACAACCAATAACAAATAATTTAAACTGGTTTACTCTTATCTTACCTAGTTAGCATTCTTTCTTTTTATTTATGCATATTTTACTAATCACTCCCCTTTTAAACTGTTTTTTTTTTTACTGTCCTATAGTACACATTGGAATGATTTCTTCCTTTATTTTTTACAACTATATGAAATAGATAAAGGTGTGCTCTCTCTAATGGGTCCGACTAGAATTACAAATATCGTTAGTTCCGCCTATTCCGTCAGCCAAGAAATCGTTTAATCATAAACTTTTTTTTACATTTTCAGGGGGGCCACAGGGCCAAAGTCAGTGTTAAGGGGGCATTGCCCCCCCCCCCCCCCCTAGAATCGCCCCTGCTGAGCCGGAACTACCCCTAGTGGAAAAGCAAAAAAAAGCGGGCCGGGTTTGGCCCAGTCGCTTAAACCGTGCTACGTGCTGCAGTGGAAAAGCGCCATTAAAGGAAAATTACAAAACTAACTGAGAATATTCTGATGTGCTGGATTTTATCTAAATAAATGGTTTATGAAGAAGAAGTGAGCTTGTTTGTAATTCTGTACAACATCATGAAAACATATTACGGCCCTGGATGTGGCTAGTTCCTAAAACTCAAGCCTCAGCAAGAAGAAGGGATTACTGAAGGAGCCTCCAGGGGACATGGGACCCCCAACCATTGCCTACAAAATGATACTCAAAGAGACGCGTACCAACCAGGAAGAAACTCAAAGTACCATAGGGCAACATAAAAAAGACTATAAAGACTTCAAACAAATGCAAAAGCCTTAAAGAGATGCTTAACGACTGAGAGAGAGACACATAATGACTAAAAAGACACCAAAATACAAACATAGCTACAAAAAGACCAATATTTTACATTAACAATAGGTAAATAAAAATATAGTAACATCAAAGTTGAATTACAATTTTGCACATTCTACAATATATCACTGTTAACATATATTTACTGTTTGTTTATTTATTTATATGATAGATTTTGATTCAACTTCTTATATTTCTATACATTTTTATTCTATGTTATCCAAAAAATGCAATTTAACAATACACTTAACACAACAAATGTATTGCAATAAACAAAATTAGGCTATTTTGAATTAAATAAATAAGAAATATATGCATTAGAATAAGATAAAACACAATGTACAATACTGTAAAGTCGCCAAAAATATATGCAATATGTAGTAGAAAAGTAAAATCCTTTATAAGTCTCTGTGATAAAAACCCGGGGAATGTTTGTTGTTTTTAACCTATTACATATACCATATTAAAAGCATATATAATACGTGGACATGGGGACTGTAAACAGGTGTGTGAGTATTTCCCTGGTGTTTTCTCATATAATCAGAAGCGTGGTTCTTGCTGTTCTCTCCCACAGTTCCCATCCCCCACGTCGGCTCCATCCCTGCCTGTTAGCGCGGTGGAGGAGGGGGGCGCTGCGGAGCCACAGAGCCCGTGTCTGTGATACAATCTGCGGACAGAGAGAGAGAGAGAGGGAGGGGGGTGGAGAAAAAAAAAACCGACTGGGTGAGTCGCTCTTTGTTTCTGGCTAGGAGGAAAAACCTAAAGACGTTGCACCCGGCAAGGATTCAAACACCAACCATTCGTGTGAGTAAAAACCATCATGTTTTTGTGTTTTTAAGAGAGTTTTTTCTGTGTTTTTCGCGGGGGAAATGAGCGTTTATTCGGTGTTTTTTTTTCGGGTGCTGAAAAAGCCGACATTACAGTAGCTGTGGCGCGACAGTGTGCAATGAATGAATTTTTGGAAATGTGCTGAGAGTGGAGCACCGTGCCAAGGGTACGGGAGGCGCGATGGATCAATCACAGGATGAGGGGTGATTACCCGTTCACATGTCGCGGAATCTGGAGGAACTCATCGAAAAAACCCTACATTTTCCTAATTAGTCCGGGAGGGCATGGCCGGCTAATGCTAGCATGCTAGGCACAGTCGGCAGCCAGCCTATATTGTTTCAATACAAGAAGCTAAGCTAATGCTAGGTAGCATCTGCAGGCAGCTTGTGTCCATGTTTGCCTGTTTATGTGTTTATCATGTTAACCTCTTAAAATATTTATTATTTTCTACCTTGTCGTGAAAGGCGCACTTAAATAACATGTATTGTTATTATGCTGTATCAATGCAAGAAGCTAAGCTAATGCTAGCACGAGTCAGGCCGGTGTTCTTTGTCACTTTTCGGTCGAATTACCCTAATTTTACGGCCAAACTATGTGTTAATTGAACACCAGGAAACTCACAATGCACTGTAGAAAATACGAGGTTTAAAAGATGGGTTTATTGTATAATAACAGCCGTAATGTGACGGTAACGGTTAATAATGGCTAGGCCTGGTTAGAAAAGCTAGCAATGCTAATGTATAACCAAACTGTTTTTGTTTGTAAATGTAAACATTGCACCATTGAGTTGCACATGTTTTAAATCGGGATAAAAAGCTTATTTGTATTGCTTATAGTAGTTGTTTATGTGTATGAGCAATGGTTCTGAGCGTCGTCTATTTGGTTTTATAACAATAGTTGATTGAAGTGACAGTTTAGATGACCTCTTGTGTGTTTTTAAATATTATATTTTCATTTCTTTGTTGTGTGACTTGTTGCTCACATGTGTTGTATCAGTTTTGTGAATAACATTGCTCATTTATGTACTGGCCATCTGTCCCACTTGAAACAAAAGCAGCGTCCCTCACAACAACACAACAACTATTCCTGCGATGAGTTTAGTTTACACACAACAACAAACATTTGAAAACACACGTATTTTTTGTTTTAATAATGACCCAAGAATGTGAAATGATCCACAAAGTTTATCAAGAGTTACTTTAATTGTCTATTTACCCTCATTTTACGTTAGAACGTGCTCTTTGTTGTGAGACTTGTTGTTATGGGTTTGTGAATAACATTGTTCCCATTTAGGTATGGACCATATGTCACACTTGAAATGTTAAAAAAGCACTGCTTCCTTCACAACAACACAAACGCTATTCCTGTGATGAGTTGTTGTTTAATTTTCTCACAACAACATAGAACACTCAGTAGTTGCGGTTTTGTTCTTACCACACAACAGATGTGTGTGCACTTTACAAAGCACCTAAACATACATTTGAAAAACACATCTGTCATAAATAATGACTCGAAATTACGAGTTTATCAAGAGTTACTTTCATAACTACAACGCCAATTATCCACTACACTGTTTCTGTATGACTGATCAACAGTGTGACTACTTTGAAAGAAACACTATGGTCCCAGCCTACAAATGGAAATCCTACAGACTTCATAAAAACAAATGACATGTTATGTAAAGATGCCCTTACAAAAAACCATACCATGAATATTGTATTCTCATCATTTGACTTGTGTTTCAAAAATGATAATTCCCTCTCATATTTCGCAAATGCAATATCAGTCAAAATCTCGCAGTTCATTTTAAAACCGTTTCTAAATATATTATTTTTAACTCCTGCAATTCCTTGTCAACATGCTGCTGTAGCATAACAATTGCCCAAATTGGAATAAATCTGTTTTTTATGATTAATATCTTTATTAATACTAACACACTTCTGTTATATACACCATTTCCATATTTATGTTCTAATTATGTGTTATAGTAATGTTTTCCAAAGCCTGCAGTCTTTGTGATTTTATTCAAAGTGCCGATCAGTTTTATTAATGAATCAAAGTCAATATCACGTTTGTCTCAGTGGGATTTACAGATAAACAAACATAGATGACGACGGTGTAAAAGATTATTACAATGACTAGAAAATTATAAACGCCATAATGGAACATGAAATATCAAAAATATATATATAAACAAATACATCACAAATATAATAAAACAATAACATAAAATGTAGGACTAAGGAGGACAAACAGAAAACTGGTTAATCTGAAACCAGCGCTAACTATAGGCTTTAATAATAACGAAGGTCTTCAACACACTCTACACACTTTATTGATCCTACATGTATTCGTTACAGCAGCATGTAGAAAATAAACAAATCTAAAATAGTTAATAAAAGAGAACTAAAAAGTTAACCTTGAAAGATAAAATGCGGTAAATAAACATATATATATATATATATATATAATCGTCTGATCACAGCTAGATCAGAAACGTGGTTTATTTCCAGGTAGGTTGACGCGTACGAGGAGTTAGACTTTGTGTCGTGGTGCCTACATAAAAGTATTTTTTCTTTGTTGAAAAACACAGATAAATAATTATTTTAAAAACACTGTCTAACATTAGAAAAAAGAAAGCAGTATTTAGATCTGGATATTACCTTGAATGTAACGGCTAGCCCTGGTTAGAAAAGCTGGCAATGCGAACGGCTAACCAAACTGTTGTTGTTTGTAAATCTAAACATTGCACCATTGACTTACACACGTTTTAAATCGGGATGAAACGCGTATTTGTATTGCTTATAGAAGTTGTTTATGTGTATGAGCAATGGTTCTGAGCGTCGTCTATTTGGTTTTATAACAATAGTTGATTGAAGTGACAGTTTAGATGACCTCTTGTGTGTTTCAATATTATATTTACATTTCGTTGGTGTGTGACTTGTTGCTCACATGTCAGATATGTGGTATCAGCTTTGTGAATAACATTGTTCCCATTTATGTACTGACCATCTGTCCCACTTGAACAAAAGCAGTATTTAGATCTGGACCTTCTCTCCTCTCAGGGGTTCTTTCTGCTGCCACACATTCCCAGCTTCCCTGAGAGATGTCCACCCCTGACCCCCCGATGGGAGGGACCCCTCGTCCGGGACCCTCCCCAGGACCGGGGCCATCTCCGGGAGGCATGATGGGTCCGAGCCCCGGCCCCTCTCCAGGCTCCACCCACAGCATGATGGGACCCAGCCCGGGGCCCCCAGGATCCGGACACCCCCACCCGGCACAGGGGCCCTCGGGATATCCTCAGGAGAACATGCACCAGATGCACAAAGTACGAAAGCTTTTATTGCTTTATTTAAGGTTGAAAATATTCAGCATTAATTTTCCTTAGAAGTTAATATAAATATATATATATACCGTATATACCGTATATATATATATATATATATATATATACCGTATGTAAATATAATAAATGGTACTGCAAATGTGTATTTAATTACAGAACGTAAGTAAAGGTAATACACTTCATTCCACCACTACAAAATACCCACAGTCAGTGAGCAGAAGGCAGACACATACACACACACACACACACATACACACACACACACACACACACACACAGAGTTGGAACAAGTACTCAGATCCTTTATCAAAGTAAAAGTAGAAATACTACAAGTGAAAGTCCTCATTCAAAATGTTACTTGAGTAAAAGAACAAGTTTTATACTCAAAAGTGAAAGTATTGAGTATGCTGATTGGCTTTTAACAGAATTATACTGTTATTAGAGGTGTTATATCTGTATATCGCGCTTTGAGACCTAATATCTTCTTAGATTTGGGTTTCGTTATATCGTATGTGTTGCTTTTTCCTCGCTTCCGAAGTCATTTTACGATAGATTAGTTCTGTAATATTCTATATTCAGCTTTCGGTTTAATGTACCGTATGTAAATATAACAAGTAGTACCGCAAATGTGTACTTAATTACAGAACATGAGTAAAGCTAATGCACTTAATTCCACCACTTAAAAAAACGTAAATGCAGCTTCACTTGAAAATATGTTTATTTATTAAAATTCTCCGTTTTGTTTTTAGCAGCCAATGGAAGCCATGCATGAGAAAGGAATGCCCGACGACCCCCGCTACGCCCAGATGAAGGGCATGAGCATGAGGCCAGGGGTGCACAGCGGCATGGGACCCCCTCCAAGCCCCATGGACCAACACTCCCAAGGTAACATCTCATAATGACCCACTTCACATACTTATGATTCAGATGCAAGGCTTTTATTGCCATGTGTGCATACTGTAGCTACAGTGCAGATATATCAGTGACAATCTGAGCTCACAGGCTCCTCCAACAGAGCAACACGATGAAACAGATACAATAGTGCAAGGAGAGTCTATACACAAGTCATTGGAATATGACACATTAGATAAATGAAATGACTGGATAGTGTTTATGGATGATAAGCTGCCTTCATCAGATATTGTGCTTCCTGTGATCTGAATATTGCACCAGTCCATATTCATATATATTAGGGCTGTCAGTCGATTAAAATAGTTAATCGCTAATTAATCGCACATTTTTTATCTGTTCTAAATGTACCTTAGAGGAATATTTTTCAAGTTTTTAATACTCTTATCAACATGAGTGGACAAATATGCTTTATGCTAATGTTTATTATCATTTGAACAATGACAACAATTCTCATGAATATTAAACAGAACAACCTGTGTGTGTGTGTGTGTGTGTGTGTGTGTGTGTGTGTGTGTGTGTGTGTGTGTGTGTGTGTGTGTGTGTGTGTGTGTGTGTGTGTGTGTGTGTGTGTGTGTGTGTGTGTGTGTGTGTGTGTGTGTGTGTGTGTGTGTGTGTGTGTGTGTGTGTGTGTGTGTGTGTGTGTGTGTGTGTGTGTGTGTGTGTGTGTGTGTGTGTGTGTGTGTGTGTGTGTGTGTGTGTGTGTGTGTGTGTGTGTGTGTGTGTGTGTGTGTGTGTGTGTGGGGTCTGGCTTCCGGCTTCCTGCATAAAGTGCTCGGCGCAGTTGTGGCGAAATGTCGCTCCTCTGTTTTCATTTAAACAGCTCCTTATATCTGTTAGCGCAGCTAGCTAGCACCAGATGCTAACAACAACAATGCAAGTAAGGTCTCTCGGGCCACACATACACACACCCACCCGGTCCTCCAGATGGCCAGTCGGTGCCTGCCGGTGAGCGAGGAAGTGTGGTCTGCCACAAGCGGGCAGCAGGAGCGGGGCAGTCAGCATCAGCTTGTAGATGGTATTTTAAACTCGATGCGTTCTGAAACTACGGGGCGGCGAGGAAAACAAATACACATGCGTTAATCGCGTTAAAATAATTAGTGGCGTTAATTTTTTTTTGCGTTATTAACGCGTTAACTTGACAGCCCTAATATTTATATATCTTTGTGCTGCAGTGTGAAGGTCGCTGGTTTCAATCCTCAGATTTCTAGAGTAATGAATATCATACAAATGTAGCGACACTAAAAAAAAAAACCGGATCTGTCTGTCCCTGAAAAGCTCCACACAGGAAGAGCAGCTAACTCTGACACACACAGACCTGAAGAGTGTGTTTTGTGGACCCATCCAGCCGGTTTCTCTTCTTGTGTTGCTCATGAGCAGACAGCAGCGGGAGGGGGTTTCCCCTTTCAGAAAACAACAAACGAAGCTGCCTGAACAAAACACACAGTCAGCGAGCGGAGGGAAGAGATACAGAAGAAGATCCTTTACTGTAGTGAAAGTAGAAATACTACAAATGAAAGTCCTCATTCAAAATGTTACTTAAGTAAAAGAACACAATCATTTTAAAAGTGAAAGTATGCAGTTTGGCTTTTGACAGAATTATACTGTTATTAGAGGAGTTATATTTTTGTATCGCGCTTTGAGTATCGTTACATCGTATGTGTTGCTTTCCCCTAAGGCCAGCAAAGTGATGTCATTTTCTTAACTTAACAACCTGTTCTTAACTTAACACACTCAGGCATTAAGTGTCATGTTTAAATATGATGTGACGGCACCACAAGTCAACCCATCAATATCAATATTGGACATAATTTGATTATTTTCATACCCATGATGCATCTGTCCTCTGTCCCCCAGGTTACCCCTCTCCATTGGGCGGTTCAGACCACGCCCCCAGCCCAGTCCCATCTAACGGCCCCCCCTCTGGTCCCATGATGCCCGGCGGCCCCCCCGGCCCCATGGAGGGCGGCGGGGACCAGAACCAGGGGATGGGTCAGCCGAACCGTGGCGCTCCTCAGGGTCCAGTGGGTCCAGGGGGTCCAGGGGGTGTCGTGGGAGGACCAGGAGGACCAGTTGGACCAGGTGGAGCTGGAGGCCCGGCCCCCTTCAACCAGAACCAGCTGCACCAGCTCCGGGCTCAGATCATGGCGTACAAGATGCTGGCCCGCTCCCAGCCGCTGCCCGACCACCTGCAGATGGCCGTGCAGGGCAAGAGGCCCATGCCCGGGATGCAGCAGCCCAACATGCCCAACATGGCCCCGTCTGCTGGGCCCGGAGGACCAGGAGCCGGACCAGCACCCGCAAACTACAACAGACCTCACGGTGAGTGGCGTCAGGAAAATATATATTTCTCTTCTTCATGTCTCTTCTACATCAACATGTGTCCCCTCTTCTTCATGTCTCTTCTACATCAACATGTGTCCCCTCTTCTTCATGTCTCTTCTACATCAACATGTGTCCCCTCTTCTTCATGACTCTTCTACATCAACATGTGTCCCCTCTTCTTCATGTCTCTTCTACATCAACATGTGTCCCCTCTTCTTCTGGTCTCTTCTACATCAACATGTGTCCCCTCTTCTTCATGTCTCTTCCACATCAACATGTGTCCCCTCTTCTTCTGGTCTCTTCTACATCAACATGTGTCCCCTCTTCTTCATGTCTCTTCTACATCAACATGTGTCCCCTCTTCTTCATGTCTCTTCTACATCAACATGTGTCCTCTCTTCTTCATGTCTCTTCTACATCAACATGTGTCCCCTCTTCTTCATGTCTCTTCTACATCAACATGTGTCCCCTCTTCTTCATGTCTCCTCTACATCAACATATGTCCCCTCTTCTTCATGTCTCTTCTACATCAACATATGTCCCCTCTTCTTCATGTCTCTTCTACATCAACATGTGTCCTCTCTTCTTCATGTCTCTTCTACATCAACATGTGTCCCCTCTTCTTCATGTCTCTTCTACATCAACATATGTCCCCTCTTCTTCATGTCTCTTCTACATCAACATGTGTCCCCTCTTCTCCATGTCTCTTCTACATCAACATGTGTCCCCTCTTCTCCATGTCTCTTCTACATCAACATATGTCCCCTCTTCTACATGTCTCTTCTACATCAACATGTGTCCCCTCTGTGGAAAGAGACTCTGAAAGTTTCAGGAACAAAGATTCTCTCTCTTTTTGATCCATTTCTATAAAAACCTGTCTGAAAATGAGCTGATCAGATTTTGGCCACTTTATGATGTCATTACGATGTTTTGTCTTGTGTAACCATTAGCCAATCAGCAACCAAGGTAACCCCCCCCCCCCCCACCTTATCACCTGAATCTCCTCTAGAGCACCATTGAGTTCTTTGTAACCAAATGTCTCTCAGAGGGGCGTGGGGAGGGGCTCCTTATTTTCATCTAAAGTAACAGACAGAGAATCAGCACTTTGGAAACAGGGCTGAAACAGAGGGGATTATGGGTAATGCTGCCATGATCTGTTTGGTGTTTCAGCCAATCAGAGACAGGCTCTGTATATATCTGAGACAGACCTTTCAGACCTTTAAAACCAATGTCTGATTAAATACATGTTTTGGGGAAATGTAATAGTTAGGCTTGGATTTAGGATATTTTAAGTTTCAGAACCGAATGATATTCCTTCTTTCAATCCATACCTGTATATTCATTGTCATTAGCTACTGTGTATTTGTTGGCAATTCAAAAGGGACTTACCTGTTTTTAATAAGGGCTCAAAATTGAAACAAAGAAAGCAGAATGTTATCGCTCAGCAGAGACACCTGGTGGCTGGAGATGAATGTGTTATTTATTAGCTGTCTTATTGTTACTAAGGACTGTAGACATGAATTTGTTGTTGTTTTAGGCATGGTGGGTCCTAACATGGTGCCTCCTGGACCTGCAGGAGTTCCCCCCGGTATGCAGGGCCCCCCCACCAACGGACCCCCTAAATCCTGGCCTGAAGGTAAGAACTTGATTTTGATTCTCACTTAATAACACCTTTCAACAAAAAACTAGCATGCTTCCAGTTCTGTGCGGCGGCTAGTTTAGCTAGCAGTGGGTTCAACTTGCGAAACACCTAAGAACCAGTTTGCTTTTCTGCTAATCAGCCAAGAGAAGCCATCGTGACTTATTCGTTTTCATCGCTGCAGCTCCAGTGAGACATTAACAACCATGATTGTCTGGGATGGAGACAGAGGGTGTTTCTCAATGTCGAGTACGCTTGCTTGGTAGCACATGTCTTCCGAGTCACTTGCTTTAGAAGCGAGGCAAGAATACTTCCTGGCATTTGGAAAACAAAGAGTGGAACAGGCGAGCAAGTGTGCAGGTGTGCGTCATATGAGAGGCCCCGCCTTACATTTTCGCCACAGATTTGGGGAAATTGGTCCGTGCGCAAAGCATTGTGGGGATTTTAAGACCGCGGAGTCTACACGTGCAGCCTCGAAAGTTCTCCGAACGAAGTACGCCGGGCTCGGTAGAATTCCAAGTATGCTGGACATTGGAACAGCACTTCGGCGGCACTCAATGACGTAGTATGCTTGAAATAGTGGCTCTGGAGCAGCCTTCCTCAAGATTGAGAAACACCCACAGACCTAGTTCCCATGCAAAGTACCTAATGACTCCTCACCAACTTTTAGCTTACCCTCCCCGGAGTCATATTTACCCATAAATGCATATATTTTTTTCAGTTTTAATTGACCATTTCTGGCAATATAACCTGTAAAATAAAGAGTTGAATGATGAAGTTCTCTCTTACTGTGTGGGTGATGTTAGCCTAGCCACCGAAGCCAGTCTGACTTGCCAACAATACGATTTAGAGCCACAACCGCTGAAGTAGAAACCGGCCCCTCAACCCTCGGTGGAAAATGGGTAAAAGTCAGCGCTTCATGTTCATGTTCCCCTTCAGCCAGTCTAACCCTCTGCTTCCTCTCTTCAGGGCCGATGGTGAATGCTGCCGCTCCCTCTAACCCCCCTCAGAAGCTGATCCCCCCCCAGCCCACCGGCAGACCCTCGCCCGCCCCGCCTTGCGTCCCCCCCGCTGCCTCCCCGGTGATGCCCCTTCAGACCCACAGCCCCGGGCAGCCCAACCAGCCGCCCCCCATGATGCTCCACCAGAAGCAGAACCGCATCACTCCCATCCAGAAGCCCCGCGGGCTGGACCCGGTGGAGATCCTGCAGGAGAGAGAGTACAGGTGGGGGGCGTCCTAAACACAGGAGTATAGTAGCTTTAATGCGCATCAGAGAGGGTACAAATACTCACATCCTTTACTCAAGTAGAAGTACAGATACTCGTGTTTAAAAATACTCTGGTAAAAGTAGAAGTACTGACTAAACTTCTTTCCTCAAGTAAAAGTAAAGAGAACTTTGAAATGTACTTCAGTAAAAAGTACCCATAACTAGCAGCTGTTTTAAAGAGTACCTGACCTCCCTTTATATTAATAGAACAATAATGTCATTGTTAGCTAATGAATGTTTCCATGCTGAACAACGGCAACATGACAACGTTTCCATTGGTCCCTCTTCTTTAGAGAAGACCAGGAAATGATGGATACACGGATCCTGTTCAAATCAATAGGCACGCAATGACTCTAAAGAATAATGATCACGCATCAAACACACATTCAGACTAAAGGAACCAGCTGTTTGGAAAATGAGAGAAGTAGAAAGTACAGGTATTTGGGTTCAACATGTAAGAAGTAGAAAGTACAGGTGTTTGTGTTCAACATGTAAGAAGTAGAAAGTACATATATTTGTGTTCAACATGTAAGAAGTAGAAAGTACAGGTATTTGTGTTCAACATGTGAGAAGTAGAAAGTACAGGTATTTGAGTTCAACATGTAGAAGTAGAAAGTACAGGTATTTGAGTTCAACATGTAAGAAGTAGAAAGTACAGGTATTTGAGTTCAACATGTAAGAAGTAGAAAGTACAGGTATTTGAGTTCAACATGTAAGAAGTAGAAAGTACAGGTATTTGAGTTCAACATGTAAGAAGTAGAAAGTACAGGTATTTGTGTTCAACATGTAAGAAGTAGAAAGTACAGGTATTTGAGTTCAACATGTAAGAAGTAGAAAGTACAGGTATTTGAGTTCAACATGTAAGAAGTAGAAAGTACAGGTATTTGAGTTCAACATGTAAGAAGTAGAAAGTACAGGTATTTGAGTTCAACATGTAAGAAGTAGAAAGTACAGGTATTTGTGTTCAAATGTAAGAAGTAGAAAGTACAGGTATTTGTGTTCAACATGTAAGAAGTAGAAAGTACAGGTATTTGAGTTCAACATGTACGAAGTAGAAAGTACAGGTATTTGAGTTCAACATGTAAGAAGTAGAAAGTACAGGTATTTGGGTTCAACAGTAAGAAGTAGAAAGTACAGGTATTTGGGTTCAACATGTAAGAAGTAGAAGTTCAGGTATTTGGGTTCAACATGTGAGAAGTAGAAAGTTCAGGTATTTGAGTCAACATGTAAGAAGTAGAAAGTTCAGGTATTTGGTTCAACATGTGAGAAGTAGAAAGTACAGGTATTTGAGTTCAAACATGCTAAGAAGTAGAAAGTACAGCTATTTGAGTTCAACATGTGAGAAGTAGAAAGTACAGGTATTTGAGTTCAACATGTAAGAAGTAGAAAGTAACAGGTATTTGAGTTCAACATGTAAGAAGTAGAAAGTACAGGTATTTGAGTTTCAACATGTAAGAAGTAGAAAGTACAGGTATTTGAGTTCAACATGTAAGAAGTAGAAAGTTCAGGTATTTGGGTTCACATGTGAGAAGTAGAAGATATTTACAGGTATTTGGTTCAACATTAAGAGTAGAAAGTACAGGTATTTGAGTTCAACATGTAAGAAGTAGAAAGTACAGGTATTTGAGTTCAACATGTAAGAAGTAGAAAGTTCAGGTATTTGAGTTCAACATGTGAGAAGTAGAAAGTTCAGGTATTTGAGTTCAACATGTAAGAAGTCAAAGTAAAAAGTGGTCAGAAAAAGAAATAGTGGAGTAAAGTACTGATACCATAAAAATGTACTGGAGTGCAGTAACGAAGTATTTGTACTCCACTGCTTTCCACCTCTGCATCGTATGTTTGAGTGTGTTGCTGATACCTTTTTAATGTGTTCTCCAGGCTTCAGTCTCGCATTGCTCACCGGATCCAGGAGCTGGAGAACCTTCCGGGTTCTCTGGCCGGAGATCTGAGAACCAAAGCCACCATCGAGCTGAAGGCCCTGAGGCTGCTCAACTTCCAGAGACAGGTAAACGCTTCAGGAAACGCTCAAATATAGATTATATTTAACCCCTCATTGTGTTCCTAGTAGAATAAATAAAGGGTTCGTTATGTCTGCCTTTTTGCAACTGGCTCTGGAACTGACTTCATAAATATCTAATTAAAACTAAAACACCACTCTATATATTGTTATATTTTATACATGTTGTATTTTGTAGTACAATGTGGACTGTATAAATATTCATATTTAATCTTGTTTGTACTCTAACTTTTTATGACTATTTATTTGATTTTGTCTTAAGTGATATTTATGATCCTATTTTATTTAACCAAAAATATGTTTGTATAAATTATTTAAACTTTTTATTTCACCTTCTTACTTTAACTTCTTTGTGTTCATTTTTTATTCCATTTTGTTTATTTTATTTTATTGGACATTATTACTTTTATTATTCTGATGGTTCAATTTTTTTAAATTTATTATTCATTGTTTTGAATGTCATTTTAAAATGTAAAAAATATATATATTTCCCGTGGAATAAGTAACACTCCTGACCCTGGTGTTATTGTCCTGCAGCTGCGCCAGGAGGTGGTGGTCTGCATGCGTCGAGACACGGCGCTGGAAACCGCTCTGAACGCTAAAGCCTACAAACGCAGCAAACGGCAGTCTCTGCGTGAAGCTCGCATCACCGAGAAGCTGGAGAAACAGCAGAAGATCGAACAGGAGCGCAAACGCCGGCAGAAACACCAGGTACAAAAGAAAACACTCAACTGTGAGGGAAACGATATGTCAGCGCATGTCACAGCCGAAGAGACACATAACAGCTGTTCATGTCCTCCGCTGATGACTCCTCTACTTCATGTGTCTTTGATTGTTTTTGCATTTGATACTTGTGGTTTTGTAATAATATATTGTTCTAAATTGTTTCTTTATTGAATTTTATTATCAAAGTCAACTTTAATGTCAATTTTTCTGTGTGATTGTAAGGCAAGTTTATTTATACTGCACATTTCAACACAAGGCAATTCAAAGTGCTTTACAAAAATGAAAGACATTAATAGCATTTAAGAAACATATTATGAAATGATATCTAAAAACACTTATTTAAAAGCAATGATATCAAATGGCATTTCAAAACACATGAATCACAGTTACAGTTCAGTGTGAGCTACACACATCTGAACAAAACCCCCTTTGGAAAATCACAATCTGCCCCCCTTTGGTATCCTTTTTAGTTTTTCGCCGAAACTATTCCTGTTTTTTATTTTTAAATGCACACACTTGAAGGTGGGGTATGTCATTTATTTCAGAAACACTTGTTATATTCCATGGAATGCTCTTAACATCCCGACAGCAATGAATATATTAAATGCTTTGACAATAAATACATAATAAAATGTAATCAGTGGAAGCCGTGGCGCTGTAAAAAGCTCGACCAATCATCTGAGCCGGCTAAAGTAACTGGATGGCCTACCTGCCTGTCAGCCTTCCATCAGGGCACAAACGTATCTCGTGCCCTCATTGGTCATGTGCGCGTTCGTGTGTGTTGGAGGAGGAGCTCTGTGAGGAAGTGGCAGATTTTTTCCGGTTGTGTATTTTCAAATTCTAGCGCACTCGAGCTGGGGTCTCCATTCTTACCTACCCTACCTTTAAGTTTACTTTGTCTTTCCAGGACTTTTTTGGTATCCTCCGTGAACCAGGGTCTTGAAACCAAAACTAATTCCTGTACCTCATGGTACCTTTTTAGTTTTCGCCAAAGCTATTCCTCTTTTCTTTAAATGCACATTAGTTACGTTTAAGTTGTCTTTTCTAGGACTTTTTTGGTATCCTCCGCGAACCAGGGCCTTGAAATCAAAACGGCACACGTAGGGGACTTTAACCCCAACAATGACTTTACCTACGGGGGGACTCAACAAGGCAATTCAAAGTGCTTTACAACAACGAAAGACATTAAGAAAATGGCAAGATAATAAAAGTTACGGTGCAGTTTAAGATGTATCAATTAAAAGCAGCGGCAAAAAGAAAAGTCTTCAGCCTGGATTTAAAAGTAGTCAGAGTTGCAGCGGACCTGCAGGTTTCTGGGAGGTTGTTCCAGATATTTGGAGCATAATAACTGAACGCTGCTTCTCCATGTTTATGTACAGACAGAGAGATCGAAATAACGTTTCCAACAATCCCAAATACAATAACCTAAATATATAAATATGTATATCCTCTATGTATACAATCAACAGACACATATGCACACATTGAGATAAAACACACAATCAATACAAAATAACAAATTAACGCTTTGGCAATATTGTTCAGCTGACAGTCATGCCAATAAAGCACGTTGTGATAGAATGACTGGCAGATATTCTAGAATCTTAAAGATGTTTGTCTTTGTTTTTGCCGTTGTCAGGAATACCTCAACAGCATCCTGCAGCACGCCAAGGACTTCAAGGAGTATCACCGCTCCATCACAGCCAAGATCCAGAAGGCAACGAAGGCCGTGGCCACGTACCACGCCAACACGGAGCGCGAGCAGAAGAAGGAGAACGAGCGCATCGAGAAGGAGAGGATGAGGAGGCTCATGGTGAGACTCGGAGCTAATGACGGGAGAGGGAGGGAGATGCATTATCCCGCCTTCCTGTCAATCAGCATTCTCTGTTAAGGCTGCACTCGTGTGGAGCTCCAAAGCCTGTTGTTAGCCTCTCTGCATGTTTTAAAAAAATGTGATTATCTTGTTGTTTTTTAAATATTATAGCTTGCAGGGTTTAGCCAGGGAAACGGGGGCGCTAGGCCTTCGTTCAAAGATGCAGATTTTCCCCGTGAAATGTTAAAGTGATGCCAGTGTTTGCCACAGACTGTAAAATCACTCCAGAAATATGAAAATGGTGTCAAGTAGAGCGTCAGATGGCTTTGTCTCTACGGAGCTCGTTGTTGTTTACATCCGCGGCGACATCTTGTATACAGGCGTCATGTTCTTGACATAATCAGCGCCACACCTAATGCTATGTCTTTCTAGAAAACCCCCTGGCTTGTTTTTAGGGTGACTTTGTAGAATCTGCAAATGGATACAAGCCTCTCATTTAGAGCACTGCTTATTAATGTAACTGTTAATTACATAATAAATACAGTTTATTTAGAAGATAGACAACTTAATAAGCACTTTGAATTTACTGCACTTTTCCTGTCCTTTTTCAATTATCTTTTTTAAATAGTTATCCTGTTTTGTGAGCCACTTATGTTTCATTTTTTATGATTTTATTAGAAGCTGCTGGGAGTCCCAGCAGCTTCTACTGAAGCCAGTCCCCAACTCCGGGGACTTTGGGCGGCAGTATACGCCGTGAAGTGGTTTGCGGCCTGCCAGTAAACCCAAAGCAGCAGAAGAAGAAGAAGTGACGTCAGCGGCTCATTTGCGTAATCCTCCCTCAGGGAACTTATTCCGGTGTGAACGCGATCGGCTCTTAGTTCCTGGGAACTAAGTACGGCAAAGTACTTGGTCTGAAAGCGGCCAAGAACACCGTACAATTTGTTAAATATTCTGAGAGGTCAAGCAACAGAACATGATACAAACACAAACATACCATCATGGAGAAGACAATTAAAGTGGACACAAATGATAGGGACAGGTTATTCGGGGGAAACAATCCGGTGATGCTTTACTCTTCTAACACTGAACCCCTCTCTGTGGCTCTTCGTCAGGCTGAGGATGAGGAGGGGTACCGTAAGCTGATCGATCAGAAGAAGGACAAGCGGCTGGCCTACCTGCTGCAGCAGACGGACGAGTACGTGGCCAACCTCACGGACCTGGTGCGCGCTCACAAGGCCGTGCAGGCGCTCAAAGAGAAAAAGAAGAAGAAGAAGAAAAAGAAGGTACGATTTAGGAGACTGTGTGAGGCATTTCTCCAGCAGTTTGAATCGCACATGGACTTACATCTTGGTTTCCTCATATTTTCAGAAGCCAGAGCCTACGGAGGGAGGTGGTCTGGGACCAGATGGAGAGGTGAGTCTGAAATGGGTTATTACTTCATTTTGTTATGTTATCATAGACTTTTCTTTAAATGTCCTTGCTACTTTTTAGTAAGTTAAGATTGTTTTAGTTTAATTAAAGGTCACCTATCATGCTATTTTTAGGCAACAGCATCGGTCTCAGATATATAAAACTATATAAAAAAACATGTCTATGAAGTGTTTTGCTCAAAATACCAAACAGATCACCCATTCTAGCCACGCCTCATATCCCTCTATTTCACTTCCTGTTTCAAAAGTGCTGATTTGGGGTATAAAGCTTTTAAAAAATAAAAAATTGATAAAAAAGGAGGGGTCTGAGCTCATGCGGGACCCGGCAGCTACTGTCTAAACTAAATGCTGCCGTGATGAAATGCCATATCATGGATTATCAAGGATTCTCTCTGAAACAGTCTGGAGCTCAAAGGCTTTCTCTCTTGCCGGTTATACCACAAGCTGAGTTCCTTTTTACTTCCTGCTTCTTCACACACATGCTCTCCAGTACAGGTTAGCTCTGAGTGTTAGCGATGCTAATGTAAACAAAGACCATATTACGTCCAAAACAGTCGGGCATTGTTTCTGATAGCAACGTTTCTGATTGGCCCGAGGGTCCACATTTCAGATATTACGTCATATCGGACGCAAATCTGGATCAGCTCCGTTGTTCCCCGTTTTTAGAGATTTGGGTACGGAGGAAAAGAGAGAGGGTTTTATTTTCTAACGCTGCGTGAGTTCCCTGACGCACCGGGGACACATGTTTATGTATAAAAGACATCACAAAGTGCATTTTACATGATGGGAGACCTTTAAGTAAGATGATGAATGAATTTTAGTCCTTTCTTGGTCAATAAAAATGTCTAACTATCTAAGTTTTAATAGAGGAAAACTACAATCTTCGTCCTTTAAAGCCACTTTGCTTTTTGGGGTCTTGCCTTTCCTGTAGTGTGTTTTTTTTATACAGGTTTATGTGCATGCGAAGGCTAAGATCCCAAAGTTCCTTCCAGAGGGAGTTTCTCTACTTCGCTGTTTTTATTTATTGCAGCATTAATGCTTTTCCTTCCTCTCTTCTCGTAGCCGTAGTAAGAAAATATTTTTTTAGTTTAAATTGATGTCTGGGAATTGTAGCTGTTTCTACAAAATGTAACTATATAATTTTTTATAAAGGAAAACTACAATACAAGTCATTTTAAAGAGGCCCCATTTAGCTTTTGGTGGTTTTCCCTTTCCATATAGTGTTGTATAGGTTGTTGTGAAAGTAAATGGTCTCCAAAGCCTACAATCCAGGTGTTCCCCTCCAGAGGGACTTTCTCAAAACAACATTGAACCTGATGTGGATTGTTAATGTGCTTTATTTTCTTCCTCTCGCAGCCGTTGGATGAGACCAGTCAGATGAGCGACCTGCCGGTGAAGGTCATCCATACCGACAGCGGGAAGATCCTGGTGGGCATCGAGGCTCCGAAGTCCGGGCAGCTGGAGACCTGGCTGGAGATGAACCCAGGGTCAGTGCACCATAATGCTCATTTAATAGCCATAGTGGGATGTAATGAAGTACATTTACTCAAGAACTGTGCTTAATGTATATTTTCAGATACTTTATCTGAGTTTTTTTCATTTTCTGGTACTTTATATTAATACTCTGAGGACACCACAGACTGTGGATGCTTTTAAAAAAAGGCCTAAAAATGCATCTTTTTAGAATAGCCTTTTACTAGATCTTTAAGTGTGTGTGTGTGTGTGTGTGTGTGTGTGTGTGTGTGTGTGTGTGTGTGTGTGTGTGTGTGTGTGTGTGTGTGTGTGTGTGTGTGTGTGTGTGTGTGTGGTGTGTGTGTGTGTGTGTGTGTGTGTGTGTGTGTGTGTGTGTGTGTGTGTGTGTGTGTGTGTGTGTGTGTGTGTGTGTGTGTGTGTGTGTGTGTGTGTGTGTGTGTGTGTGTGTGTGTGTGTGTGTGTGTGTGTGTGTGTGTGTGTGTGTGTGTGTGTGTGTGTGTGTGTGTGTGTGTTGACTTGGTTGACTTGGTTGACTTTATCATATATATCTTTTTGTTGTTGTTTTGTTTCAATCCTTTCACTCTGTAGCACTTTCAGTTTTGTTCACATGAAAAGTGCGCTTATAAATTAAATGTATTATTACTCAAGTACAGTGGCGTATTTATATGTACAAAAGTGGTGGGGCACAAACAACTTAGATGTCTATATATAAGCTTCTGCAGTGAGGTTTATGGCTGGTGACGCACTGATTCTTCAGGTTTACAAATATTATATTGTAGTTTTTACAGTCACCGTTCACTTAGACAGTGAGAGGGAGGGGCAGGATCGGGTTTTGTCCCACATGGCTCTAAACAGCTCAATAGGCACACACTGTAGACACTAATTAGAAGAACACAGACTAAAACAGCAATGTACAGATGATTAAACATGATATATATTTTTCTTTTTTTTGGTAATCATTATTTTTAATACTTTCTGCTGACACTAGGTGGGGCTGTGCCTGCCCCTAATGACCAGTCGCCACTGATCAAGTACAATTCAGAAGCCAATATTGCACTTTAGCAGCAGTATATCAAGTAATTAGCTATTTTCACCTAAAAAATGTTGTTCCTTGTGTTGCAGATACGAAATTGCGCCGCGTTCAGACAGTGAAGAGAGCGGCTCAGAAGACGAGTACGAAGACGAGGTATGGGACACGTTGATCTCTACGTTAAAACCAAATGCCCACCTGTCATTTCCTGCACACAGTTTCCTGATCTCCCTTTATTTCCATCACAGGGAGAAGAAGAGGAGCAGCCTCACACCTCTGTGACTCCAGTAGTCGTCGTCGTCGCTCCAGTAGTGGTAGTGGCACCTGTAGAGACGAAGAAGATCCCCCACCCCGACAGTGATGAAGTCAATGAAACGGACGTCCTGCACATCATCGAGTAAGATTTTGGTGTTAATAGATCCTCCTGTCATAGAGTGGTGCGTTGGAGATGTACCTTTTGTAGGCCGATCCAGAAGTTAGCATCTCCTTGGTTCTCTCCACAAAAAGCTTTTGGGGTTTTTGCAGGATATAATCTGTGTCAAACAAATGATTGTGATTCGTAAATGTTGTGTTCAGCAGGATAATCTCCACATTTGAACACCACTTTATGATTTCTGTAGTAAAAAGCTAACGTTGGGCTATAAAGGAACTACAGCACGGTCACATGACTTCACGTCACCACCGCTAAGCTAAAGGTGGCTAATGTTGGGCTATCAAGGAACTACAGCACGGTCACATGACTTCACGTCACCACCGCTAAGCTAAAGGTGGCTAATGTTGGGCTATAAAGGAACTACAGCACGGTCACATGACTTCACGTCACCACCGCTAAGGCTAAAGGTGGCTAATGTTGGGCTATAAGGAACTACAGCACGGTCACATGACTTCACGTCACCACCGCTAAGCTAAAGGTGGCTAATGTTGGGCTATAAAGGAACTACAGCACGGTCACATGACTTCACGTCACCACCGCCTAAGCTAAAGGCGGCTAATGTTGGGCTATAAAGGAACTACAGCACGGTCACATGACTTCACGTCACCACCGCTAAGCTAAAGGTGGCTAATGTTGGGCTATAAAGGAACTACAGCACGGTCACATGACTTCACGTCACCACCGCTAAGCTAAAGGCGGCTAATGTTGGGCTATAAAGGAACTACAGCACGGTCACATGACTTCACGTCACCAACCGCTAAGCTAAAGGTGGCTAATGTTGGGCTATAAAGGAAACTACAGCACGGTCACATGACTTCACGTCACCACCGCTAAGCTAAAGGGCGGCTATGTTGGCTATAAAGGAACTACAGCACGGTCACATGACTTCACGTCACCACCGCTAAGCTAAAGGTGGCTAATGTTGGGCTATAAAGGAAACTACAGCACGGTCACATGACTTCACGTCACCACCGCTAAGCTAAGGTGGCTAATGTTGGGCTATAAAGGAACTACAGCACGGTCACATGACTTCACGTCACCACCGCTAAGCTAAAGGCGGCTAATGTTTGGGCTATAAAGGAACTACCTCACGGTCACATGACTTCACGTCACCACCGCTAAGTAAGGTGGCTAATGTTGGGCTATAAAGGAACTACAGCACGGTCACATGACTTCACGTCACCACCGCTAAGCTAAAGGTGGCTAATGTTGGGCTATAAAGGAACTCACAAGCACGGTCAACATGACTTCACGTCACCACCGCTAAGTAAATAATAGTGGCTATGTTGTGGGCTATAAAGGACTACAGCACGGTCACATGACTTCACGTCACCACCGCTAAGCTAAAGGTGGCTAATGTTGGGCTATAAAGGAACTACAGCACGGTCACATGACTTCACGTCACCACCGCTAAGCTAAAGGTGGCTATGTTGGGCTATAAGGAACTACAGCACGGTCACATGACTTCAACGTCCCACCGCTAAGTCTAAAGGCGGCTAATGTTGGGGCTATAAGGAACTACAGCACGGGTCACATGACTTCACGTCACCACCGCTAAGCTAAAGGTGGCTAATAGTTGGGCTATAAAGGAACTACAGCACGGTCACATGACTTCACGTCACCCACAGCTAAGCTAAAGGTGGCTAATGTTGGGCTATAAGGAACTACAGCACGGTCACATGACTTCACGTCACCACCGCTAAGCTAAAGGCGGCTACTGTTGGACTTGATGACGTTTAGTCGTCTCATTTAGACACTTGTTAGCAACCACCATTTTTTTATTTTATGTCGTAGAACAAAACGTTAAAATCTCTTCAGCTTGTTGTAACCGCAGACCTTATTCTCAGGCAACATATTCACAAATATGTTGCCTTTGTGACGAGAAAACAGAAAGTGCTAATCTTTCTGTGTTTGAGGACCGATTCCTGCAGCACTCTATAACTCTAATAATATGTTGGCTATTGCTTTCCCATTGTTTCTTGCAAATTCTCATTATATTTTGTCCTGTCTTTCGTCCTCCTCCAGACACGCTAAGCAGGATGTGGATGATGAGTACGGTACAGCCGCCAGCTTTGAACGCGGCCTGCAGTCTTATTACGCTGTGGCTCACGCCGTCACTGAGAGGGTGGATAAACAGTCATCGCTGCTCATCAACGGACTGCTCAAGCAATACCAGGTACACGGCCTAAAGAGAATATATATAGACATTTATTAGGATGAACCCCTTGAGATGCACCGTCTCGTTGTTCAAGGGTGACCCGACAAAAGCAACGTCTCACAGACATACATTAACGCAATAACAGAAAGCAAAACATGACAAACAAGGACAAACCACGTACCGTCTGTTAAGTACAATTAATTAAGTAATACATACAATCATTACAATTTGATAGACGGTAGTGTGAGATGATAATTCTTAAACATACCCAATGATGCAGTGGATCTAATAGCAGTCTGTTGGGGCTTTAAACATCAACGCTCTTCTGCCAATAGATTGTTTTGCAGAGGGGACAGAGAAATAAATCTGGACAGTGTCTAACTTGACGAGTAAGGTTCAAAAGACTGCTTTAAATAAGGATGGAACAATCTTATGGTAGATTTACTGAGCTATGGTCGGATTGGGTTTCCTTTATTCGCCAGAAACGGCCACATTTCATAGACTTAACAAACTACTAATGAGCTGATAACCAGTTCTATCACCAAGAGAAAAAGGCTGCTTGGTCTATTTACCAAAATATTGTTATGTTCTCGTTAGGCTGCTCGATTATGGCAAAAATCATAATCTCGATTATTTGGGTCAATAATTGTAATTGCGATTATTAAATGCGATTATTCATTGACTTTGAAAACATCTATTTATTTGAGAGAAAAAAATGTGAACCGTTTGTTTTTAACAGTTGATTACCTTGAACTTTAAGTTTAATTCAACTGAAAAACCAAAAAAAAACAATAAAAGAATTATCGTTTTATTTCGATTGTTTTCGTAAGCCATAATCGCGATTTTTAAAATACGATTAATTGAGCAGCCCTACGTTAGTTTGACTGGTATTACACCTGCAGGGTCGTCCCTCACTAAGTCAATGATGCCTCTGTTACGAAACATCCCTTCTGTTATCGTATAAAGTTCATGAACATTGTATGAGATTCAAAGGTTTTATCGTCACAAAGCTACAGTGTAGAAATGGGAACGCAATTCTTCTGACCTGAGCTCCTCCAACATCCATCCATCCATCCATCCATCTTCTCCCGCTTATCCGTGGTCGGGTCGCGGGGGTAGCAGTTCCAGCAGAGAGCCCCAAACTTTCTTTTCCCTGGCGACATCAACAATGCAACGTGTATATAATAAAATAAAAAGTAGTGCAAAAAGTGTTGATATAAAGAACTACATAAAATGAGACGGGGAGGGTTTCAATGTATACTGTTCGCTTATTGCAAATGTTGACTACTCCCTGTAACTGCCAGTCTATTTCATTGCAACTGGTGACATGTTCTCAAGTGTCTTCTTAATAAAGAATTGTAAAAATGATGATGATGATGATGAAGGAGTCAGACGGTAGTGTTTGGTGTTGATGTATCTGACTGTGACTCCTCTCCGCTCAGGTTAAAGGCTTGGAGTGGCTGGTGTCTCTCTACAACAACAACTTGAACGGTATCCTGGCCGATGAGATGGGTTTGGGGAAAACCATCCAGACCATCGGCCTCATCACTTACCTCATGGAGAACAAGCGCCTCAACGGGCCCTTCCTCATCATCGTCCCTCTCTCGTAAGACTCCTCACCTCCCTGCAGCGCTACATGTGCAAAATGAAATATGAAATCCTCATGTTCTCACGTTTCTGTTGTGTCTTTTGTTTCAGAACTTTATCAAACTGGGTCTACGAGTTTGATAAGTGGGCCCCATCTGTCGTGAAAGTGTCCTACAAGGTGAGAGAAAACGACTTCTGTATTGTTGTGAGTCACTTTTTGTCGTGTAGTGCTTTATCTAAGCATTATTACGCAAAACTAGGAAAAGAGACGATTAATAAATGAGGGAAATAGTTTCAACAGATTGAAAACCTGAAGCTGTTTCAGGGTGTCTTTTTGCTCCCATCACATTTTACTTAAAGGGGACCTATCATGCAAAATGCACTTGTTGATGTCTTTCATAGGAAGATCAGAGGTTCATATAAAGTCCCGCGGCAAATCACCTGCAGCATCAACCCTAAATATGTTAGTAGTTAATAGAGTATAATAGAGCTGTAGTTCCTTTATAGCCTCACGTTAGCTTTGTACTTAAAAAAATCATAAAGTGGTTTTAATATGTGGAGATTATCTTGCTGAACAGTACATGTAAGTATCATAAATGGAAGTCAATGGAAAAATCCCATTGGCTTTTGTCGAGGGAACCAAGGAGGTGTTAAAGGGGACCTATCATGCAAAATGCACTTCTTGATGTCTTTTATACATACAGACGTGTCCCCGGTGTGTCGGGGAACTCACGCAGCGTCAGGAAATAAAACCCTCTCTCTTTTCCTCCGTATCTAAATCTCTAAAAACGGGAAAACGGAGCTGATCCAGATTTGCGTCCGATATAACGTAATATCTGAAATGTGGACCCACGGCCCAATCAGAAACGTTGCTATCAGAAACAATGCCCGACTGTTTTGGACGTAATATGGTCGGTGTTTACATTAGCATCGCTAACACTCAGAGCTAACCTGTACTGGAGAGCATGTGTGTGAAGAAGCAGGAAGTAAAAGGAACTCACCTTGTGGTATAACCGGCAAGAGAGAAAGCCTTTGAGCTCCAAACTGTTTCAGAGAGAATCCTTGATAATCCATGATATGGCGTTTCATCACGGCAGCATTTAGTTTAGACAGTAGCTGCCGGGTCCCGCATGAGCTCCTCCTTTTTATTTTTTTAAGCTTTATACCCAAATCAGCACTTTTGAAACAGGAAGTGAAATAGAGGGATATGAGGCATGGCTAGAATGGGAGATCTGTTTGGTATTTTGAGCAAAACACTTCATAGACATGATTTTTATATATCTGAGACCCATGCTATTGTCTAAAAATAGCATGATGAGTGACCTTTAACTTTTTTCTAATTGTTTTTAATGTGAAATGATCCTCTATGAACAAGTAGAGAGAACTAAACAATATATTTTCGGCAATATAATTTAGTTTTAACGATATTTAAAAAATAAATACAAACACCAGTTGAATTTTTCATTATTACTTTTTTAACGTTTTATTTGACTAAAATTGGAACCTATTTATTCTTACACTTATATTTATTAGTGTAAAATAGTCTTTGGGCCTCATGGGGGTTTAAAGCCGAGGTCAATAATATGGTGTGTGTGCAGTTCTGTTGTTGAACATGAATTACAATAATTGCTGTTCTTCCTCAGGGCTCTCCTGTTGCTCGCCGTGCGTTCCTTCCCATCCTGCGCAGCGGCAAGTTCAACGTGCTGCTCACCACCTACGAGTACATCATCAAAGACAAGCAGGTGCTCGCTAAGGTAAGGAAGCATCCCTCAGATTCAGATAGTCATTCATGCATCAGTCTTTTATTTATTGTTTAAGTTAAGATAGTACTTTATTGATCCAAATTTGGGAATTGTTTGCGTTGCAGCAGCAAAAAAAAGACATGGCGTTGTACAATACAAATTAAAAAGACTAGAAATAAACATTCCAAAATGTAAACATCTCAATTGAAACTGTCAGGGAATCATTTCCATACATGTTTACCTTTCGCCCTCTGACGCAGCTGACCAACATCTCCCTTAAGGACGGGCTGCCCTAGTATTTTGTTGTTGTTACCAGTTTGTGACCGGGCAGCTCTCGGTCACATAGTTATTGTTGTGGGACACCTGGAACACATCCTTCTCGGGGTGGAGATGACCCCGAGCCATAAGCGACAACAAATGTGATTCAGTGTCCTCAGCTGTTTAGTCTCTCTATTGAAGAATGTAGATTATTAATAATAGTAATAATGGGTTTCATTTATAAAGCACTTCATATTTGACTTCAAATCCCGAAGTGCTACAAGCAGTGAGCATGAACAGTATAAAAACATTACACAACACGGTAGAATTAATAAAAAGCAAGAACAAACAATGAAAATAAAAGGTCTAGGGAAAGGCTCTTTTGAAAAGATGGGTTTTGAGGCCTTTTTTTAAAAGCCTCCACGGTCTGTGGTGCTCTCACGTGGTCGGGGAGAGCGTTCCAGAGACTGGGGGCAGCCGAGCAGAAGGCCCGGTCTCCCATAGTACGGAGCTTAGTCCTGGGGGGTTTGAGGAAGTTGGAGTTGCTGGAGCAGGTGTTCCGCAAGGACATATTACACTCTGAACAAGTTAAAACCTGGAGCTACAGGAGGGCTCTTCAGAATTGATTGTGGCATCTCAACCGTGTGGTCAACCCGTGGCCCGTGACTTGTCTTGTGAATTCTCCGGCCGAAGCTCCAAATAAACCGTCAGTGTTTGCCATCAGAGCTCCAGCTCTCCTCGTGTCTCTCTGAGTCCTGACTCCATCAAAGCTCTAGCTCTCCTCGTGTCTCTCTGAGTCCTGACTCCATCAAAGCTCCAGCTCTCCTGTGGTCTCTCTGAGTCCTGACTCCATCAAGCTCAGCTCTCCTCGTGTCTCTCTGAGTCCTGACTCCATCAGAGCTCCAGGCTCTCCTCGTTCTCTCTGAGTCCTGACTCCATCAAAGCTCCAGCTCTCCTCCTGTCTCTCTGAGTCCTGACTCCATCAGAGCTCCAGCTCTCCTCGTGTCTCTCTGAGTCCTGACTCCATCAAAAGATCAGCTCTTCCTCGTGTCTCTCTGAGTCCTGAACTCCATCAAGCTTCCACTCTCCTCGTGTCTCTCTGAGTCCTGACTCCATCAAAGCTCCAGCTCTCTCGTGTCTCTCTGAGTCCTGACTCCATCAAGCTCCAGCTCTCCTCGTGTCTCTCTGAGTCCTGACTCCATCAAAGCTCCAGCTCTCCTCGTGTCTCTCTGAAGGTCCTGACTCCATCAAAGCTCCAGCTCTCCTCGTGTCTCTCTGAGTCCTGACTCCATCAAAGCTCCAAGCTCTCCTTCGTGTCTCTGAGTCCTGACTCCATCAAAGCTCCAGCTCTCCTCGTGTCTCTCTGAGTCCTGACTCCATCAAGCCTCCAACTCTCCTCGGTGTCTGAGTCCTGATCCTGCATTCCATCAAGCTCCAGCTCTCCTCGTGTCTTCTGAGTCCTGACTCCATCAAGCTCCAGCTCTCCTCGTGTCTCTCTGAGTCCTGACTCCATCAAAGCTCCAGCTCTCCATCGTGTCTCTCTGAGTCCTGACTCCATCAAAGCTCCAGCTCTCCTCGTGTCTCTCTAGTCCTGACTCCATCAAAGCTCCAGCTCTCTCGTGTCTCTCTGAGTCCTGACTCCATCAAAGCTCCAGCTCTCCTCGTGTCTCTCTGAGTCCTGACTCCATCAAAGCTCCAGCTCTCCTCGTGTCTCTCTGAGTCCTGACTCCATCAGAGCTTCCAGCTCTCCTCGTGCTCTCTGAGTCCTGACTCCATCAAAGCTCCCAGCTCTCCTCGGTCTCTCTGAGTCCTGACTCCATCAAAGCTCCAGCTCTCCTCGTGTCTTCTCTGAGTCCTGACTCCATCAAAGCTCCAGTCTCTCCTTCGTGTCTCTCTGAGTCCTGACCTCCATCAAAGCTCCAGCTCTCCTCGTGTCTCTCTGAGTCCTGACTCCATCAAAGCTCCAGCTCTCCTCGTGGTCTCTCTGAGTCCTGACTCCATCAAAGCTCCAGCTCTCCTCGTGTCTCTGAGTCCTGACTCCATCAAAGCTCCAGCTCTCCTCGTGTCTCTGAGTCCTGACTCCATCAGAGCTCCAGCTCTCCTCGTGTCTCTCTGAGTCCTTACTCCATCAAAGCTCCAGCTCTCCTCGTGTCTCTCTGAGTCCTGACTCCATCAAAGCTCCAGCTCTCCTGTGTCTCTCTGAGTCCTGACTCCATCAAGCTCCAGCTCTCCTCGTGTCTCTCTGAGTCCTGACTCCATCAGAGCTCCAGCTCTCCTGTCTCTCTGAGTCCTGACTCCATCAGAGCTCCAGCTCTCCTGTGTCTCTCTGAGTCCTGACTCCATCAAAGCTCCAGCTCTCCTGTGTCTCTCTGAGTCCTGACTCCATCAGAGCTCCAGCTTCCTCGTGTCTCTCTGAGTCCTGACTCATCAAAGCTCCAGCTCTCCTCGTGTCTCTCTGAGTCCTGACTCCATCAGAGCTCCAGCTCTCCTCGTGTCTCTCTGAGTCCTGACTCCATCAAAGCTCCAGCTCTCCTCGTGTCTCTCTGAGTCCTGACTCCATCAGAGCTCCAGCTCTCCTCGTGTCTCTCTGAGTCCTGACTCCAATTGCTTCAGAAGTTTCCCCCACAGAAATAAAATAGATATTATATATACATAAGTATGTGAGGAATGGAATATAAAATATTAGATTGATATTTCTTTGAGTGCTTTGGTTTTTGGATCCTATGAACTGGAAGGGACCTTTGGTGTTCTACCCAACTGGATTCTAATAAACTGGATTGAAGTATATATATCTATATCTGTGTGCGTTATTTTGCAATGAAATATAACTGAAAAGAACGCGATTCGTTTTGCACTGCATTGCGGTTTATGTGCTTGATTATTGAATGACTTTGTGTATGCTTTGACTTAACTATTTTTGTTCCTTTTTTGATTATTATTTGTCAGACTTGTTTCTGACTGGCACCCCACTCATTAAAACAACAATTACAAAATGTACAGTGTAATGTTATAACTCCTCCTTCCCCCCCGTAGCTCCGCTGGAAGTACATGATTGTGGACGAGGGCCACAGGATGAAGAACCACCACTGTAAGCTGACTCAGGTCCTGAACACTCACTACCTGGCGCCCCGACGCCTGCTGCTCACCGGCACCCCGCTGCAGAACAAGCTGCCCGAGCTCTGGGCGCTGCTCAACTTCCTGCTGCCCACCATCTTCAAGAGCTGCACCACCTTCGAGCAGTGGTTCAACGCCCCCTTCGCCATGACCGGGGAGAAGGTGGGTCAACGGGTTTATACTCGCCTATTATGCAAAATCCACTTCTTCATGTCTCTTCTCCATCAACATGTGTCCCCTCTTCTCCATGTCTCTTCTCCATCAACATGTGTCCCCTCTTCCATGTCTCTTCTCCATCAACATGTGTCCCCTCTTCCATTCTCTTCTACTCAACATGTGTCCCCGTCTTCTTCAGTCTCTTCTACATCCATGTGTCCCCTCTTCTTCCATGTCTCTTCTACATCAACATGTGTCCCCTCTTCTTCATGTCTCTTCTACATCAACATGTGTCCCCTCTTCTTCATGTCTCTTCTACATCAACATGTGTCCCCTCTTCTTCATGTCTCTTCTACATCAACATGTGTCCCCTCTTCTTCATGTCTCTTCTACATCAACATGTGTCCCCTCTTCTTCGTGTCTCTTCTACATCAACATGTGTCCCCTCTTCTTCGTGTCTCTTCTACATCAACATGTGTCCCCTCTTCTCATGTCTCTTCTACATCAACATGTGTCCCCTCTTCTTCATGTCTCTTCTCATCAACATGTGTCCCCTCTTCTTCATGTCTCTTCTACATCAACATGTGTCCCCTCTTCTTCATGTCTCTTCTACATCAACATGTGTCCCCTTCTTCTTCATGTCTCTTCTACATCAACATGTGTCCCTCTTCTCCATGTCCCCTCCTTATTTCATCTAAAGAACAGACAGAGAATCAGCACTTTGGAAACAGGGCTGAAACAGAGGGGTTTGGTGTTTCACACATTCAGCCAATCAGAGACAGGCTCTGTATATATCTGAGACCTGTGATATATTGATGAAGAACAGTATAATAGGGGACGCTTAATGAACACAATGTACACAATATCTGGAGCCTCATAGAGAAGGTTATCTCTATGTAAATACTGCTATATTTTACTATGTTTTTTAATGTTATTATAGTTTTCTTAAAATAGTTCTCTATCTGTGTTTTTAATTTTTGCACCACGACATCAAGTCAAATTCCTCGTACGTGTCAACGTAGCTGGTGATAAACCTGATTCTGAGACGAGGGGTAGGGAACAGGGAAATGGAGGTCATGAGAATTAATGCATAAACATACCGGGTAATATTTTTAAATAGACCTCCACGTAACAATTAGCTGCAGATTTTTCACAATGTTTCTTTGTTTTGTAGAGCGCTTTTTATACACAGGAATGATGCAGCTTAAAGAGCTTTAACAATGTGGCAAATAACACACAACAACACAAACAGAAAATGAGACAACATTCAATACAAGTCAGAAAGAGGCAAGAGAATTAAACACCTTTAAAAAATAAAGACCAATAGAAGTTGTTTAAATTAATAACGTTTAAAAAAAAAAAATCAATAGAAGGGGGTTATTTCTAGTTAAAAGATTATTTTAAAAAGTACTTTTCTAGCTGTCCTTCAAAAATGTCTACACGGTTTGAGGTTTGAATTCTCCCTCCTCATCCTCGCTTCTCTTTTCCCCTGAAGGTGGACCTGAATGAAGAAGAGACCATCCTCATCATCAGGCGTTTACACAAAGTGCTCCGGCCCTTCCTGCTGCGCCGACTCAAGAAAGAGGTCGAGGCTCAGCTGCCTGAGAAGGTAACATACTGTCGTCATGATTTCACTCCTGCACGAACATTAAAGCTCCAGATCCCAATGTTTTTGTTCATATATTGAAAATACAATATAAGAACAGAGATGGCAAAAGTACACACATCCTTTACTCAAGTAGAAGTACAGATACTCGTGTTTGAAAATACTCTAATGACTAAACTTTACTCAAGTAAAAGTAAAGAGGCTTTGAAATGTACTTCAGTAAAAAGTACCCATAACTAAGCAGCTGCTGTTTAAAGAGTACCTGACCTCCCTTTATATTAATAGGAACATAATGTCATTGACTCTAAATAATAATGATCACGCCACCAAACATACATTCCAGACTAAAGGAAACCAGCCTGTTTGGAAAATGTTAGAAGTAGAAAGTAAGGGTAATTTGAGTTCAACATGTAAGAAGTAGAAAGTACAGGTATTTGAGTTCAACATGTAAGAAGTAGAAAGTACAGGTATTTGAGTTCAACATGTAAGAAGTAGAAGTACAGGTATTTGAGTTCAACATGTAAGAAGTAGAAAGTACAGGTATTTGTAGTTCAACATGTAGAAAGTAGAAAGTACAGGTATTGTGATTCAACATGTAAGAAGTAGAAAGTACAGGTATTTGAGTTCAAAGTAAGTAGAAGTAGAAAGTACAGGTATTTGAGTTCAACATGTAGAAGTAGAAAGTACAGGTATTTGTGTTCAACATGTAAGAAGTAGAAAGTACAGGTATTTGGTTCAACATGTAAGAAGTAGAAAGTACAGGTATTTGAGTTCAACATGTGAGAAGTAGAAAGTACAGGTATTTGAGTTCAACATGTAAGAAGTAGAAAGTACAGGTATTTGTGTTCAACATGTAAGAAGTAGAAAGTACAGGTATTTGAGTTCAACATGTAAGAAGTAGAAAGTACAGGTATTTGAGTTCAACATGTAAGAAGTAGAAAGTACAGGTATTTGGTTCAACATGTAAGAAGTAGAAAGTACAGGTATTTGAGTTCAACATGTAAGAAGTAGAAAGTACAGGTATTTGAGTTCAACATGTAAGAAGTCAAAGTAACAAGTCGTCAAAAAATAAGTAGTGGAGTAAAGTACTGATACCAGAAACATGTACTTAATACAGTAACAAAGTATTTCTACTCCATTACTTCCCAGCTCTGTATAATGTGGTGTCTTTGTAATTTCCCCCCTCTTGTTGTTGTCTTCCAGGTGGAGTACGTGATAAAGTGCGACATGTCGTCCCTGCAGAGAGTTCTCTACAGACACATGCAGGCCAAGGGAGTGCTGCTCACTGACGGCTCAGAAAAAGACAAGAAGGTGAGAAGAGGAGACTTATTATTATTATTATATTAACAATTTTAAAGCCAAAAAACTGAGACTAAAAGGTGTTTTTGTTTTTCCTTCTTCAGGGTAAAGGTGGCACGAAGACCCTGATGAACACTATCATGCAGCTGAGGAAGATCTGCAACCACCCCTACATGTTCCAGCACATCGAGGTAATCTACACATTATATCTAAAGCTCACAAGAAGATTAGAAACTGAGGATTTTTTTCTGGCTCTTAAAATGTTGCTTGATTTATAGTCCGCATTAGCACTCCGTCATAAAAATGTAACAACCCAGACAGACCTGCATGAGTTGTGGTTTGTTTAAATGGCACTCTTTATATGGCATTCCTATCAATGTTGTTGAGAGGATTTTGGGGGGAAATGGATAATGCTGAAATATATGACCGCTTTTGTGTTTGTTTTACAGGAGTCTTTCTCTGAGCATCTCGGCTACTCTGGAGGAGTCGTGAGCGGGTGAGTACATCTTGATATGGTTTATGTTTAGTCACAGGAAGTGGAAATATATTGGCTCATTCTGTTCATTTCTACCCGCCCAGCCCCGACCTGTATCGCGCCTCTGGTAAATTTGAGCTGCTGGATCGTATCCTGCCAAAGCTGTGTGCCACCAACCACAAAGTACTGCTCTTCTGTCAGATGACCACGCTCATGACCATCATGGAGGACTACTTCGCCTTCCGAGGCTTCAAGTACCTGCGTCTGGATGGTGAGACTCCTCCTGACCACTAGTTACATCTCTGATAGTTCCTTTATAGCCCAACATTAGCCTTCTTTAGCTTAGCGGTGGTGACGTGAAGTCATGTGACCGTGCTGTAGTTCCTTTATAGCCCAACATTAGCCACCTTTAGCTTAGTGGTGGTGACGTGAAGTCATGTGACCATGCTGTAGTTCCTTTATAGCCAACATTAGCCACCTTTAGCCTAGCGGTGGTGACGTGAAGTCATGTGACCGTGCTGTAGTTCCTTTATAGCCCAACATTAGCCACCTTTAGCCTAGCGGTGGTGACGGGAAGTCAAGTGACCGTGCTGTAGTTCCTTTATAGCCCAACATTAGCCACCTTTAGCTTAGCGGTGGTGACGTGAAGTCATGTGACCGTGCTGTAGTTCCTTTATAGCCCAACATTAGCCACCTTTAACTTAGCGGTGGTGACGTGAAGTCATGTGACCGTGCTGTAGTTCCTTTATAGCCCAACATTAGCCTTCTTTAGCTTAGCGGTGGTGACGTGAGGTCATGTGACCGTGCTGTAGTTCCTTTATAGCCCAACATTAGCCTTCTTTAGCTTAGCGGTGGTGACGTGAAGTCATGTGACCGTGCTGTAGTTCCTTTATAGCCCAACATTAGCCACCTTTAGCTTAGTGGTGGTGACGTGAAGTCATGTGACCGTGCTGTAGTTCCTTTATAGCCCAACATTAGCCACCTTTAGCTTAGCGGTGGTGACGTGAAGTCATGTGACCGTGCTGTAGTTCCTTTATAGCCCAACATTAGCCACCTTTAGCTTAGTGGTGGTGAAGTGAAGTCATGTGACCGTGCTGTAGTTCCTTTATAGCCCAACATTAGCCACCTTTAGCTTAGCGGTGGTGACGTGAAGTCATGTGACCGTGCTGTAGTAACTTTATAGCCCAACATTAGCCACCTTTAGCTTAGCGGTGGTGACGTGAAGTCATGTGACCGTGCTGTAGTTCCTTTATAGAAATTATTAAGAGGTGTTAATGTGGGTAGATTTTCCTGCTGAACAAAACGTGTATGTATCATAAATGTTTGTTTGCCTCAAAGATTCCCTTTTTATTATCATATACCTTTTACCTCCTTGTGTCTCCTAACCTGTTAAAATGTTATATTTTGCTGCATGAACCTGTAAAGTTCTTAAACGTCCCATGTCATGGCCATTTCCACTGATCATATTTCCATTGTTGAGGTCTATTAGAATAGATTTATATTGTGCAATTTTCCAAACTCACATTGGTTTCTCAAACAGCATCTCTGTAAACTACGTGTATTCACTGAATTTCACTCTCTGCCTTTAACGGCTGGTTGTAGCTCCAATAGCACCAGCCCCCACCCTCCCTGTGAGCACAGTGTGCTCTGATTGGTCGGGACGTTGTGAATCGCGCTAAGCTCCGTGGAGGTGTTATTTCCTTGTTTAGCGATACACAGCGAAACACAGCCAAACTCATCCTGAGCACACACAAAGTCACAGCCGAAGTAAAAACAATAAGCGTGGCTTGATATTGAGTAAGAAAAAGGTTGATAAACGCTGTGAGAATGGGTCTGCAGAGAGAATGGGTCTGCAGAGAGAACGGGTCTGCAGAGAGAACGGGTCTGTAGAGAGAATGGGTCTGCAGAGAGAATGGGTCTGCAGAGAGAACGGGTCTGCAGAGAGAACGGGTCTGCAGAGAGAACGGGTCTGCAGAGAGAACGGGTCTGCAGAGAGAATGGGTCTGTAGAGAGAATGGGTCTGCAGAGAGAATGGGTCTGCGGAGAGAACGGGTCTGCAGAGAGAATGGGTCTGCAGAGAGAATGGGTCTGCAGAGAGAATGGGTCTGTAGAGAGAATGGGTCTGCAGAGAGAATGGGTCTGCAGAGAGAACGGGTCTGCAGAGAGAATGGGTCTGCAGAGAGAACGGGTCTGCAGAGAGAACGGGTCTGCAGAGAGAACGGGTCTGCAGAGAGAACGGGTCTGCAGAGAGAACGGGTCTGCAGAGAGAACGGGTCTGCAGAGAGAACGGGTCTGCAGAGAGAACGGGTCTGCAGAGAGAACGGGTCTGCAGAGAGAACGGGTCTGTAGAGAGAACGGGTCTGTAGAGAGAACGGGTCTGTAGAGAGAACGGGTCTGCAGAGAGAACGGGTCTGCAGAGAGAACGGGTCTGCAGAGAGAACGGGTCTGTAGAGAGAACGGGTCTGCAGAGAGAACGGGTCTGTAGAGAGAACGGGTCTGCAGAGAGAACGGGTCTGCAGTAGTGCTGGGGGGGAAACGATTATTTTGAAAACGATTAATCGGGCGATTATTTGATCCATTAGTCGACTAATCGAACGATTATTTTTCTGTTGTTCAATTCATAAAAAACGTAATGTAAAAAAAAAAATGTTCACGATACTGTGTCTCAGGGGATCTTAATATTTAAGAACCTATTAATGTGTTATACCAGATTAACGGAAATAATCTCAGCTAACTGACGATACAAACCATGTTTACCAAAACAAAACACAAGTCTCATAAGAAGCATCTAAATGACCCCTGAGCGAAAAATGCTAACGGACATTGGCACAGATCTCAAGATAAAAGTACCCTTATTACTTATCGTAGCTGCACATACAAGATATCCGATTTAAAGCTGAGACTCCACAGATTATGTAGGTATATAGTATCATCACTGAGTGATCCGGATCGCGACAGGGGAAGCAAATACAGTCATCACAACACGTACCTTCACAGAGCTTCTAGGGAGATCGTCTCACCGCCGTAGCTGTCAATCTGATCAAAATACGTGTTCAATGGCATTAAAATGAGAAAAAACGCGGCTGAATCGGTTAATCCATAGGTTTTTAACGTCTATGTATAAAAAAATGATTGAATTTATAATCCATAATTCCATTTTAAATCGGAGAGCAAATGCTAGCTGCTAATGGTTGCCACCACAGCTAGCTGCTGCTTCCGGTCAAGCAGCAGTCTCAGTGAGATATAAATATATAAATATCTTTGCGTTTTGGACTAACTTTAAAATATTCCCATGCTTTTGAAGACCTGGGGCGAGATGTTTTCGTTTGAGGGCTTCGTGCGCAATCCTGTGAGGAGGAGGTGGTAGCCGTTTCAGTCTCCATTGTGTTTGAAGTGCGATTGCGAACTGCTTGTTGCTTTGGGTGACCCACGTGTGTGTGGCGTCATACAGTCTATGGTGGCGACGCGTCGACGCGGAAATATGTCGTCGACGATCTTTTGAAGTCGACGCGTCGCTACAGCACTAGTCTGCAGAGAGAATGGGTCTGCGGAGAGAATGGGTCTGCGGAGAGAATGGGTCTGCGGAGAGAATGGGTCTGCGGAGAGAATGGGTCTGCGGAGAGAATGGGTCTGCGGAGAGAATGGGTCTGCGGAGAGAATGGGTCTGCGGAGAGAATGGGTCTGCGGAGAGAACGGGTCTGCGGAGAGAACGGGTCTGCGGAGAGAACGGGTCTGCGGAGAGAACGGGTCTGCGGAGAGAACGGGTCTGCGGAGAGAACGGGTCTGCGGAGAGAACGGGTCTGCGGAGAGAACGGGGTCCTGCGGAGAGAACGGGTCTGCGGAGAGAACGGGTCTGCGGAGAGAACGGGTCTGCGGAGAGAAAGGGTCTGCAGAGAGAATGGGTCTGCAGAGAGAATGGGTCTGCAGAGAGAATGGGTCTGCAGAGAGAATGGGTCTGCAGAGAGAATGGGTCTGCAGAGAGAATTTCGCCACGATCCCAACTGTCTGTTATCAGCCTGCAGCAGGGAGGAGAAATCAGCAGAGCTGCCTGCACTGAGTGTGTGAGGAAGTCCGTGGATTGCTCAATTTGGACCAATCAGCGGGGGCTTAACGTAACGGCTCCGCGGATTGGTCCATTTGGTTCCGGGTAACGCATGACCGTATCGCGTCATAGCTCTGGGCGCGGCAACTGGCCATTCCTACATCACAATACCCAGGAAGTAAACAATGGACAGTGACGTATCTCCAACGAGGCGTTTTGGGGAGGTATTTTCTGTGTTAGAGTTTTACTCGCTACATGGTGTACTTTGAGGGTTTTGACTCTGCAGACCGTTCACTTGCATAAAAACCTTCATAACACACAAGGGGACGAGTACTAACCGGAAAAGCATGACATGGTACCTTTAACAAATAATCTGAAGGGAATTTTGTGTTTATTTTTAACTTGTAATGTGTCGCAATTTTGTAAAGCACTCTGAGCTGCATGTGTGGTATGAAAATGAAGCTTTATTATTATTTCTTCACACTCTTAATCTCTCCTCCCCCCCACAGGAACCACTAAGGCAGAGGACCGTGGGATGCTCCTGAAGACCTTCAACGACCCGGCCTCGGACAACTTTGTGTTCCTGCTGAGCACCAGGGCTGGAGGTCTGGGCCTCAACCTGCAGTCAGCTGACACCGTGGTCATCTACGACAGCGACTGGAACCCACATCAGGTACTGAGATAACCTGTTTCAAATATTTGTATTGAGCAGAAGCATACAAGTGTACACTGGAAAAAATGCTGCTCCAAAAACAAGGTGTTCTCACTTGAAATAAGTACAAATATCTGCCAATAGAACAAGTGAAAATTAGCTTGGTAAGATGTCTTGAAATAAGAAGGGATATTTAGATAAATGCTCAAAAGTGTTCTTTGTTCTGATGTTAATTGGTGATTTTCTAATAAATATGTAAAAAAACATGCGTTTCATTTGAGATACAACTCGTAATAAGATGTTTTGACTCAACAAGATGAGGCTTTGTCTAAAAACAAGACCCTATATCTCACTGCAGTGTCACTTCTGAAGTTATTGTGTCTTATAGCAGGTGTAGAGACACATTCTGACTAGATATTAGACGCATATACTGGGCAAGAATTAGAGTTTTTGTAGTGTTAGCAATAGTACAGATTTCTTTGGGGTGGAAATCATGCTTCCCTTTTCCAACCTGGAAGACAAACAGAACAGCCAATAATAAAGAAAAAACACAGCATGACAGGAATACCATACTTAATGACATACATAGTCATAGTGGGAAAGGACATACAACTCAAAGGGTGCAGAGATAACCTAATTTGAGCCATTTTTACAAAGACTGTCTTGCCTGCTTTGAGTAAGAAGTACCCTTCTTTCAGCATTTGTATTCATCTCAAGAACCGTTCTTGTGCGACAGACCAGCTTCGCCCCCTTGGATTTGATCATCTGTTTGTGCTACTTTATATTATTTTGACCATTACAAACAGACCGGAGCGCGCCGGGACTTCACAAATTGCATTACCCATAAGGAGGGGCTGTGTCTTTAGTTGAAAGCCCAGTGGATATCTGCTCATCTCTCATCGAAAGTAATATGCTACACCGGGGCGGACTGGCCATCTGTGTGTTCTGGAGAATCACAGAACGGACGGTCGTCATTATTATTATTATGCCGTTTAAACCAATTATTTAAATGTGTTTAAACCGCGTCATGTAAGTTGCGCTGACAGGTGAAAGAGGTCCACACAGGCTCCCCCGCCCTCCTGCTCACAGTTCACGATCGTCGGCACACTGATCCCAATTATATATTTTTTATGGCACTTTCATATCAAAGAGGTTGCCGACCCCTGATTTAGAGTCATTGCGTGCCTATTGATTTGAACACGATCCGTGTATCCATCATTTCCTGGTCTTCTCTGAAGAAGAGGGACCAATGGAAACGTTGTCATGTTGCCGTTGTTCAGCATGGAAACATTCATTAGCTAACAATGACATTATTGTTCTATTAATATAAAGGGAGGTCAGGTACTCTTTAAAGCAGCTGCTAGTTATGGGTACTTTTTACTGAAGTACATTTCAAAGCTCTTTACTTTGACTTGAGGAAAGAAGTTTAGTCAGTACTTCTACTTTCACCAGAGTATTTTTAAACACGAGTATCTGTACTTGTAGTGGCCAAAATCCCAAAAAGTTTGTCTTGTAACCTTCACCTAAAAAGTTATTGTTCTTGGCCACATGTAGAGCTTGGGCCTCGGAAGCAGTGTCAGACTCGCAGTACACAATCCACTGGACGTTTCAGTTGCTTTTCAACGTTTATTTCCAGCAAAACAAAATACGAAAACAATATTTAACATAAACTTAAACAGCAGATCCTAATAATCTGTATTTGACCAAGAATAAGGTTGCGTCTGCGTGTCAATGACGGTATTGCTGCTGCTCTCCCGTCACACACCGCACCTCCAACTTAAAGCCCCGCCCCCTTCACCTGAGCAAAGCACACCTCTCACTGAAACAGAAAAATGCATTAATAAAGGTTCCAAATAAATCAAAATAAACTTAAATGCGGCTCCTACAGTACTTGAGTAAAGGATAAATAAACTAACCCTCGTGTGTTCCTCTCCTCCAGGACCTCCAGGCCCAGGACAGAGCTCACCGCATCGGGCAGCAGAACGAGGTGCGCGTCCTCCGCCTCTGCACCGTCAACAGCGTGGAGGAGAAGATCCTGGCCGCCGCCAAGTACAAGCTGAACGTGGACCAGAAGGTCATCCAGGCCGGGATGTTCGACCAGAAGTCTTCGGGCTGCGAGCGCCGCGCCTTCCTTCAGGCCATCCTGGAGACCGAGGAGCAAGATGAGGTCGGGGCGCAGGCAGGAGCCCGGCCCAAAGCATGGGTGGGTCCTGATGCACAACACACACACACACACACCCTGCCTCCAGTCTCATTGTCTTTCTTTCCCCTTCTCTGTCTGTCTCTGTCTAATTCCTTTCCACATTTGACAGGTTTTCTGAGCTCCTTAATATCCTTCCTTTACGCCCAATGTTGAAGAAGTACTCCGATTTTTATATTTAACCCTCCTGTCGTGTTTGTTTCTCACCCCTTACTTTGGTTTTATAACACAATTATGGACCAAATGTTATTTAACACCCTTTTAAGCTGTAAACAAAGTCTCAGACTACTGACACATGAATAACTGCAGTGAATAAACAAAGGACACGGAAAAAAAATTCAAAAACTATGGATGTCTATAGATGACACCTACGTCACTTCCGGGCGAAAAGTACGGCCCCGCCCACTTTTGGGGGAAAACAACGCTGTCAGTTGAACGGCGGTCGATACAAATTCTGAAGTTTTTGCCAATCCGATCAGAAATGTTTGAAAACCGTGGATTGTCTGATCTTCAAAGACCCCGGTTACGATGACCAGTCAGGCAAACAATTACATTCAATCATTTGAAATCGACGATCGGGCTCGATATATGGTTAAATTAAAATCAGTAGGCGAGGCTGTAATTTCTCCAGCTGTTACTCTCATGAGCGAGGCAGAAAATAATAGTTTTATCACAAATCCAGAGTTCAGTGTTTCTGGACTTCCTCTAAGAAGAAAGGACGGTAACAGAAGAGCTCTGTGGCTTCAGGCTCGATCGCCGTTCAAATGACAGCGTTGGTTTCCTCCAAAAGTGGGCGGGGCCGTAGATGTTACTCTCATCTGTGGACATTGATCGCCTACTGCTATATTTAACCATATATCGAGCCCGATCGTCGGTTTCCAAAGATTGAATGTAATTGTTTGCCTGACTGGCCATCGTAACCGGGCTCTTTGAAGTTCCACAAATCCACGGTTTTCTTACATTTCTGATCGGATTGGCAAAAAACTTCAGAATTTGAATTGACCGCCGTTCAACTGACAGCTTTGGTTTCCCCCAAAAGTGGGCGGAGCCGTCATTTTTCCCCGGAAGTGACGCATGCGTTACTCTCATCTATCGAAACACAACAGGAGGGTAAAGTAAAAGTAGCGTACTATATTTTTCTAGAAACCCCCCTGACTAATATAGAAACATTACTTTGTCTGAGGTTTTTTATTTTAGGGTGAAGACTTTGTGAAATATTGTGACACATTCTCATAAAAAACCTCGATAGAAGCTTTTATTTTCTTCGGTACAGCCCTAGTAAATAATAATGAAATCCTCTATATAACTATTTTCTCCCTCTTTCTTGTAGATTAATTTGAACTAACGTGGCTCTGAGGTGCTACATACATCACCGTTGGCCTTCTGTCACTAAACATCCTTTGTTTTTGTATTTTTTCAGCAACAGGAGGAGGACGAGGTTCCCGATGACGAAACCGTCAACCAGATGATCGCCAGAAGTGAAGAGGAGTTTGAGCTGTTCATGGTATGTCCCAAAGAAATATTTAAAAGGTGCTTTGTAGTTTAATTATCTACCTGCGACTTGACTTGAAGCTTAATGGATTTTGTCCACAAATTAGGGCTTCACCATTAATTGAAATGTTATGGAAATCCCCCTTTTATTGCTATTGTTCAGCAAGAGAGGACTCTTTAAAGTAGAGACACTACATACTGATATACACCTGAACATCAGCAGGAGAGGACTTTTTAAAGTAGAGACACGACATACTGATATACACCTGAACATCAGCAGGAGAGGACTCTTTAAAGTAGAGACACTACATACTGATATACACCTGAACATCAGCAGGAGAGGACTCTTTAAAGTAGAGACACTACAATACTGATATACACCTGAACATCAGCAGGAGAGGACTCTTTAAAGTAGAGACACTACATACTGATATACACCTGAACATCAGCAGGAGAGGACTCTTTAAAGTAGAGACACTACATACTGATATACACCTGAACATCAGCAGGAGAGGACTCTTTAAAGTAGAGACACTACATACTGATATACACCTGAACATCAGCAGGAGAGGACTCTTTAAAGTAGAGACACTACATACTGATATACACCTGAACATCAGCAAGGAGAGGACTCTTTAAAGTAGAGACACTACATACTGATATACACCTGAACATCAGCAGGAGAGGACTCTTTAAAGTAGAGACACTACATACTGATATACACCTGAACATCAGCAGGAGAGGACTCTTTAAAGTAGAGACACTACATACTGATATACACCTGAACATCAGCAGGAGAGGACTCTTTAAAGTAGAGACACTACATACTGATATACACCTGAACATCAGCAGGAGAGGACTCTTTAAAGTAGAGACACTACATACTGATATACACCTGAACATCAGCAGGAGAGGACTCTTTAAAGTAGAGACACTACATACTGATAAACACCTGAACATCAGCAGGAGAGGACTCTTTAAAGTAGAGACACTACATACTGATATACACCTGAACATCAGCAGGAGAGGACTCTTTAAAGTAGAGACACTACATACTGATATACACCTGAACATCAGCAGGAGAGGACTCTTTAAAGTAGAGACACTACATACTGATATACACCTGAACATCAGCAGGAGAGGACTCTTTAAAGTAGAGACACTACATACTGATATACACCTGAACATCAGCAGGAGAGGACTCTTTAAAGTAGAGACACTACATACTGATATACACCTGAACATCAGCAGGAGAGGACTCTTTAAAGTAGAGACACTACATACTGATATACACCTGAACATCAGCAGGAGAGGACTCTTTAAAGTAGAGACACTACATACTGATATACACCTGAACATCAGCAGGAGAGGACTCTTTAAAGTAGAGACACTACATACTGATATACACCTGAACATCAGCAGGAGAGGACTCTTTAAAGTAGAGACACTACATACTGATACACACCTGAACATCAGCAGGAGAGCACTCTTTAAAGTAGAGACACTACATACTGATATACACCTGAAAATCAGCAGGAGAGGACTCTTTAAAGTAGAGACACTACATACTGATATACACCTGAACATCAGCAGGAGAGGACTCTTTAAAGTAGAGACACTACATACTGATATACACCTGAAAATCAGCAGGAGAGGACTCTTTAAAGTAGAGACACTACATACTGATATACACCTGAACATCAGCAGGAGAGGACTCTTTAAAGGTAAAATATGTGAACATGTCTTTTTTGGAGCTGCAAACAGTATTCTACAGATAAATAACAATCCTGTTTGGTGCAGATCATCTTATACAAATCATACCATGATAAAACATTTTCAAATTATGCAACCCTACTTTGAATGGCCTTGTTTGTTGAAAAAAACAAACCTCACTTATTGTATTATTCCAGCGCATGGATCTAGACCGGCGCCGCGAGGACGCTCGCAACCCGAAGAGGAAGCCCCGTCTGATGGAGGACGAAGACATGCCCAGCTGGATCTTGAAGGACGACGCTGAGGTGGAGAGGCTGACCTGCGAGGAGGAGGAGGAGAAGTTGTTCGGACGAGGATCCCGCCAACGCAAGGAGGTCGACTACAGCGACTCGCTCACTGAGAAACAGTGGCTGAAGGTGAGATGTTACCCTGTATCTCAGGAGGTCAAAGTGAAACACTAGAGTGGTGTAGGAAGGAAATTAGTTTTAGCACTCTTGTTTCAAAGTCAGTATTTTTCTGAATGTGTTTTTGGTTGTTCGCCTGTAAGAAGGTCTGTGGTTAACGAGAGCAGCAGTTGCTAACAAGTGTCTAAATGAGACGACTAAATGTCATCACGCCCAACATTAGCCACCTTTAGCTTAGCGGTGGTGACGTGAAGTCATGTGACCGTGCTGTAGTTCCTTTATAGCCCAACATTAGCCACCTTTAGCTTAGCGGTGGTGACGTGAAGTCATGTGACCGGGCTGTAATTCCTTTATAGCCCAACATTAGCCACCTTTAGCTTAGCGGTAGTGAAGTCATGTGACCGTGCTGTAGTTCCTTTTATAGCCCAACATTAGCCTCCATTAGCTTAGCGGTGGTGACTTGAAGTCATGTGACCGTGCTGTAGTTCCTTTTATAGCCCAACATTAGCCGCCTTTAGCTTAGCGGTGATGACGTGAAGCATTATCCTGCTGTTAGTACATTTAGGCTCAGATTTAACTGTGATAATCTCTCCTCTCCACAGGCCATCGAGGAGGGGAATCTGGAGGACATCGAGGAGGAGGTGCGTCACAAAAAGACGACCAGGAAGCGTAAGAAGGACCGGGATCACGACAGCGGTCCGGCGACGCCTGGCTCCAGCAGCGGCCGAGTGAGAGACAAGGACGAGGACGGGAAGAAGGCCAAGAAACGAGGCCGCCCCCCCGCAGAGAAACTCTCCCCAAACCCCTCGGCCCTCACCAAGAAGATGAAGAAGATCGTGGACACCGTCATCAAATATAAGGACGGGTGAGGACAACTGTTCGACCACACTAAGATAACTTTATACACACTGAAGTTGGGCTTGGTGTTAATGTCTCCGTTTAGGCTACAGTAATTCCTTTCAAATAAAGTAACTATTTAATTTAACTTGTGTTTCTCCTGGTTGAATAGTTTGAATTTAAGAGGTAGCAGAGCTCGTTTAAGAGATTTAAGAGGCCTTTTTATTTTGAAAAATCCACATCAGAATATCCTGATTTAAGAGGCCTTTTATTTTGAAAAATCCACATCACAATGTCCTGATCTAAGAGGCCTTTTATTTTGAAAATCCACATCACAATGTCCTTAAGATTTTTATTACAATTTCTGTTGTTTATTTATTGTTACTATCTTATTGAACTAATGCTTTATTGCCTTTTACATTTACCGAAAGGTCGCACTTATTTTGAAGTTACTTCTCACACTTGATACCATAACGCCTAGTAATTACACGTACCGATTACTAGGCCTGTCACGATAATTAATTTTGTTGGACGATACATTTTCCCGGAAATTGTTGCAATAAACGATAATATTGTCGGCACCGTTGTAAGACCATTTTAGACCACTGACATAATGATAATATATAAGTAAATCCTTTGAAACAGAATTTTTTTATTGGACATTCAACATTGCAAATGAAATGTGAAATAATATTCAAATATATAAATTATATGTAATAAATCAAACAAATACATTTAATTATAACAAATCAATTAAAATCACACACAACCAAAACAATCAATTAAATAGACTCAGGCTGGAAAACAGAGCTCTCTCATATATATATATATATATATAAATAAATAAATAAATATGAGCACACATTGTCTCACAAGCAAACCCTCCTTAAAACAACAGTAAAGCGTACAGTCCACTGTCCATACAAAGACCCAGAAGCCCCAACAGGCCATATCCAAATCTGTTTTTCAAAGTTTTCGAGCAAGGAACACCAACATGTTTGCATTGTCGGGCAAATGCATCTTTGATTGCAAACTGTAGGGAAGGTGGGTGCTCTCCATCATGGCCGTATCTACCATTGAGGTCACCGAGGTCCGGACCTCTGTAATATTTTTCGAGCTGCGTAACAAAACTTTTGAAATAATTGCACTAAACGGGGTTCTTTGTAGTACTTCCATTTACTGACGATGGGGGCGCTGCATAACTACGTTAACTAAAGTTAATTACATTCATCCAATGTCAGAAGGATTACCTTTTAACAAACGTTGTAATGTAATAAGGAGAGAGACATGGAAAATGAATGTTGACAATGTGTTGTGATCATTTTAGCCTCTTCTGCATGTCCAGATCATTAATAGTAACAATCGACTGATTCGTTTACACTTTCAAAATAATTGATGCTGACATTGTCAGCCCACTGACATGGTTTGAAATCAATATATTATCCAATGTGTGACCCCCCACAGGACTTAAAAAGCACCTAACTAGATCATGAAAATGAAAAAAGTAAGTTTGAGGAACCAGCTCGAGTGCGCTAGAATTTGAAAATACACGACCGGAGAAAATCTGCCACTTCCTCACAGAGCCCCTCCTCCAACACACACGAACGCGCACATGACCAATGAGGGCACGAGATCAGTTTGTGCCCCGATGGAAGGCTGACAGGCAGGTAGGCCATCCAGTTACTTTAGCCGGCTCAGATGATTGGTCGTGCTTTTTACAGCGCCACGGCTTCCACAGATGAATTTTTTGTCAAAGCACTTAAGATATTCATTGCTATCGGGATGTTAAGAGCATTCCATGGAATATAACAAAAAGTGTATCTCGAGCCGGTTTCTCAAACTTACCTACCCCACCTTTAAGTAATACAAGACAGAATGATATGATGATCTCCGCGCTACAGCTGCTCCGTGCATGCATGCAGTGACATGTAATATCCAAGGATTGGAGACGGTTGGATGCTGCTGTTTTGAGCATTGCATTTATTTTTATTATGTTATTTATTTATGATTATCCTGAGGCTCAGCAAAGATTTGATCTTTTTTTCTATAGTTAATAGTTACTGAAATAGAGCCCTGCTGTTTTTGTCAGGGCCTTTTCTTTAAATATAATTTTAAAATGTCGATACAGTAGCCCCTTTTTTTAAATGTCTATGTTTTTATAGGTGTTGCTATCTGCTTTGTGTAGCGTGGTTCTACAAGTCAATGCATTCATGGGGTGGTATCAGAGAGTTAAGGGTCTGTAAATGCAATGAAAACATTTGGCCACAGCAAATCATTTACATTAAACATGTGATTTTTACTTTTGAATACTTCAGTACAAAGGATGTATGAATAATTTAAGTGATATGTGTACACATATATATCATTAGTCAAAACAGGGCTACATTTGATTTAATTAAAAGGTATAATATGTGGTAAACTGAAGAGCCGTTTGGGAGCCGAAAGAGCCGGCTCTTCTTGATGAGCCGAGCCAAATGATCCGGCTCACCAAGAAGAGCCGGAATTCCCATCACTAGTCCTGACCTGGCTGTGTCACGCGCTGTGTGTGAGCCCCGCCCCACAGCGCGCCGGACCGGCAGACACAGTGCGCCTGGCTAAAATGCTGGTCACATCTTTATGTAAACAAACACGCATGTAAACGGAAATGTATCGAGCTCAGAAAAGTTATCGAGTCCACTTTTATTTATCGTACGATAAGTCAATTTATTGATTATCGCGACAGGCCTACCGATTACCATGCAAACCATACCGTGCATTACCCATTTACTAATGGCGCATTTCCACTGCAGGACCTCGTACGGTATAGTTAGGCCTTGGTAGGCCAGGCTCACTTTATGCTGCGTTTCCATTACAGTTTAGGAACTGGGGCAGTAACTATAGTAACGCAGTGTAGGCGGAGCCGTGACGTCATCTTCAATGAGAACCACAAAACCAACATCAGCCGTTAGCTGTTAGCACTCAGAGCTCACAGCTCCTCATATCTGTTCAGAAACTAGACAAAAGTACAAACCACAGACTGCCTGTGTCATGGCGAATACAGTCGCTGGTTTATTTATGTCTGTAGGCCGTTGTTGTGAGTGTGGACTGTCGGAGCATATACTGCGTTAGCTTAGCCGATCTCCATTCAGAAAACACGCATTTTAAAAGGTTTTTCGCCTGCTGTCTGTCTGCAGACTTGTCAAAGCATTAATTCATGGTTTTTACTAACCGGTATCAGTATGTTGTTACTTCGGCATCATTTTGAAACGTGTATTACAATTAAATCACGGTCAAATATGTTCATCTTGTTGTAGTTGTAGCCCCCTTGCCAGCGATTCTCTCTCTAGTTTATTATACTCAGCTCGGTTGTTGGCCCGGAAAGAACCTCGATTTTATGGGGCCAGAAAAACTGTGAAATAGTACCCGCTAGCCAGAACTACCCCTAGTGGAAACGCAACCAAAAAACTTTGAGACTCGTACTAATAGAAATATTCTGTGTTTTCAGGATTAACGGGCGACAGCTGAGCGAAGTCTTCATCCAGCTGCCGTCTCGCAAAGAGCTGCCCCGAATACTACGAGCTCATCCGCAAACCTGTGGACTTCAGGAAGATCAAGGTGAGCCTTTCTGCTCTTCGTGTTTACGGTTATTTTCTTGTGTGTTTTCTCGTCTGACTGTGATTTCCTGTGTGCCATTAGGAGAGGATCCGCAGCCATAAGTACCGCGGCCTGAACGACCTGGAGAAGGACGTGATGCTGCTCTGTCAAAACGCCCAGACCTTCAACCTGGAGGGCTCTCTGGTGAGATCACACACTTGGAACTGTTAAAGAGTCATAATCAGAAGTGGGTAGGGGTGTAACGGTTCACAGAAGTCACGGTTTCGGTTCGTACCTCGGTTTGGGGGTCACGGTTCGGTACAACAAGAAAAGCAAAGAAAAGTCCCAAATGCATAAATTTTTTTTGCTGTTATTTATTTTTAGCAGTCGTGCAACTTTTGGTATGAAAATAAGGAACTCTAACATTTGGAATCATTAACTGTATTACACAGTTAAAAACAAACCACATACACCAATGGCCATATTATTTATAATGGCTGATGTCAAACTAAAAGGTTCAATAAGCTGTACAACTAAAAAGAATGTCTTGAAAATATTAAAATAAATAATAAGAAAGTGTTTCAATCACAATCAATAAAGGGCAATACAGAACTGTATAACATCTCCCTGATGTCAAAATATAAAATAAATACAATAATATAAAACAAAATAAAGTCTGTACCTTTAGGAGCAATGTCTAACATGTGTAATTAACTTGTGAGTGTGTGAGGCCATTATGCCTAAATAAAGGTGCTCAAGCTTTACTCTATTTTCAAGTTGTTCTTCAAAAAGATGAGTTTGTCTACGTTGTCAGTAGTGAGGGCAGATCTGTTGGCGTTAACTAAGTCACCTGCCGTCGAGAAAACCCTGTCGCTGGGTCTGAGACTGACTCGGGTGTGATTGAGCATGTTTGACGTGTTACCAATAGCATACCGCACCGCTGTCGAACAACGCCGACACACCGTCCTCCTCCGATCCACAACTCGCACCCCATCGTTGTTGTAGTCCACAGGGAACCCGAAATGTTCCCACACCTGATTTAAAAGAAGCAGGTGGGTTCTAGCTCCTGTGTGTTGTGTGAACTCGCCGTAGATACTAACTTTTCTTCTTCGTTTTGTTGTGTTTTGTTCTTGTTCTTCATTTGTTATTTACGGGCGGCTGGCTTTTAGGCGCAATACCGCCCCCATGATTATATATAGTGTAATGCTGCCCTGAGTGACATACTTTTTTCCCACTCGTAAAAAAAGGCGTATTCGCCGTGTGATTGCATGTGACGGTACGGGACGAATACCGTTACACCCCTAGAAGTGGGAAGTACAAATACTTCCTTACTGTACTTAAGTACATTGTTCTGGTTTCAGTACTTTACTCCACTACGACGACTTATACTTTTACTTCTTACATTTTTAACACAAATACCTGTACTTTCAAACAGAGAGTGATAGAAACATAAATATATTTCACATGAATGCAACTCTAAACACCTCGATGTCTCCCCTCTGCTCCTCCAGATCTACGAGGACTCCATCGTGCTGCAGTCCGTCTTCACCAGCGTCCGACAGAAGATCGAGAAAGAGCTGGAGAGCGAAGGAGAGGACAGCGAGGAAGAGGAGGACGACATCGACGACGGCTCAGAGTCTGAGGCTGAGGGTCAGTAACCTTTTTATTCTTCTTACACTTTAACGGCCCGTCCACACAGCGGCGTGCGTTGAACCTTAGTGCTGGGCGTGTCTGAAGCTTGGGGAGTTTATGCGAGCAACGAGACCAACAACCAATCACATGAATCTCCCGCCCCCGACATACAATACAATAAACTGGATATAAAATCCCCAAACAGGCGAAAACCTACCAGTTCCACCCACTGTCTCTGCCACCTCCCTCCATGCCTCGCTCCTCCGGTTTGTATCCCGGTAGATGAACAGAGACTGATCATTCAGCACCGGGTGATTCACTACCGCTATAATGAACTTTCCCTCCATTTTTTGGAATATGAGGAAATGACCTGCTCTCTCCCAGCATACACGCGGTTTGATTGGCTAGCGCTTGTACTGGCAGATTTCAGGGTTCCTACGGTCATTGAAAACCTGGAGAAGTCATGGAAATTCAAAAGCCTAATTCCAGGCCCAGGAAAAGTTATGGAAAACAATATTTTTCCTAAAGTTTTGGAAAAGTCATGGAAATGTAACTAAAGTTGCATCAAATATAATTTTATATTTTATCGAATTGCCGAAATAGTAATACTATAACGATAATAAATACTGTATAGTAATGAATAGGGATGTAACGATACCAAAAACTCACGGTACGATAATACCGCGATATTCGGTATATCGTTACATCCCTAGTAATGAAACGTAAAATGGCATTTAACTGACGAGGTATTTTGCTGGTGAGAGATTTTTACAATCACGCCCTCGAGTCTCCAGTGGCTTTAGTCTGTAGAAGCTAGTAAGCCTACTATTTGATTTGTTTTAGATAGGCACGACATGTTTCATATGCAGACCTTATTTTCCAGCTGACCATGTTAAAATAAAAATGTTTCAGTGGTACCGCTGAGAGTAATTTTTGGTCATGGAAAATGAGGTAAAGGTCACGGAGAAGTCATTGAAATTCATTGGTGAAAAAATGTGAACCCTGAGATTTGCATAAACGGGATTCGATTGGCTGACGCTTCTGCCGAGGCTTCAAAAGTTGAACATTGCTCAACTTTTGCAGCGAGCAACGCCAGCAAAGCTCTGCGTCGCTTCCCACAATGCAGTTTGGCAAAAAGTGACGTCACCCCATTCAAAGTGAACGGTGAAGCTTTCAACGCACGCCGCTCTGTGGACGGGCCGTAACACGGGGGCGACCTCATTTGATGTAGCCCCGCATTTTGTGTCTATTATGAGAACATGTCATTTACTCTGTTTTTCTATTTTGTTGTGGTTTTCTTTCATGCTGTGATGGGGTGGGGGTGAGGGGTATATTTGAAATGTGCACTGTTGCATCTACAGTATGTATTTGACTGCTTTGATTTGTGTTCCAGCTCGCTCCGTGAAGGTGAAGATCAAGCTGAGCCGGAAAGAGAAGGGCGATCGGGGGGGAAAGAGACGGAGGGGCCGCGGAGCCCGAGCAAAACCTGTGGTGAGCGACGACGACAGCGAGGAGGAGCAGGAAGAGGTGAGGAGACGATGAATCACTATAAATAACATCAGTGGAAGAAACAGCTTGTGTAAAAAGAGTGCTTTTTGTTAAAGGAAAAAAGTAAACGTGGAGTTTAAAGATCCTTTTAGATGCTATCTTTTTTCCTAGCTTCTCAATTGTGATGATTTTCTTCTTCATTCATTTTAAACGACATCAGAAAAAGGAAGGAGTTTTATGACATTGCCTCACAGACATTGTGCCCCTTTTTATATGAAATTATATAAACGAAATGAATCCAATAAGAGACAAAGTGATCTATGATGAAAAGTATTATTAATTGCAGCTCTACGTTTCTTCTTACTGAACGAACGTTTGAATTTCCTGATTGAATCTGGTTGTTTTCTATGTGAGGTCCATCGGGTTCAAAGTAAAACTACACATCTTTAAAGCCCGCGTCACACTGTCCTGAAATTGACACCAGATGGACACGATAAAGGAAATGTTCAAATTCGGCTCTGATCGTAACAACATCGGGCCATTCGTGAGGCATCTTCAGCCATCGTATGACCGCAGGTATCACCGCAACTTCGTGAGCGGTGGCAAAATCTTTGGCATGCCAAAACATTGCCGAAGGACCTTGCGAAGGGTCATTTTCGTGTTGAATTCGTGTGTCCATTTTGTCCTTCGTAAGGCACTCGTGAGGACATCTTGTCAAATCGTGTCATCTTCGTCTGATCATCGGTGCCATCGGGCATTTTTCGTCTCACGAAGACAATACGAAGGAAAGAAGAAGCTGCCCGATTGTCTTAGGAAGGCGACACGACTACGTGAAGCCCTCGCGATGCCGTCGTGTAGCCATCGTATTGTAGTACAATTTACAATTACATTATTTTTGTTACTATCGTTGCAGTTGTATGTCTTAAATGTGATTTAGGTTAACTTCCTGTTTTATTTAGATGCTTTTATTTTGAAGGCGAGTTTACGCTGTTGACAGGAAGTTGTTGTTGCTATGGAAACAAAATGACGGCGTGTGTGTGGTTCGGATGCCATCGTGTAGCCTTCTGTAGGCATCGTACTTGTTTCGGCTGTTGACCAAGTTCGGGGCCATCTCCGTGCGAAATTCACAATTCCATATTCGTGTGTCCATCTGGTGTCAAAGTCGGGACAGTGTGACGCGGGCTTAAAGCATTTCCAATAAAGCTTAAATACTGAGTAAATATGTAAAAGATATATTCAATAAAATCAAACTTTATTAGTTGTTTGAGTCATTTATTTCCTTCTCAAATGTGAGGGTTTTCTTCTCTTCATCAGAGACAACAGAATATATGGAAAAAAATATTTGACAATCATTGAATTCTAACATTTCTGACTATTTTTCACACCTTAACCATCGCAACGTAAGTCCTGTATTCAGTCGGCGTCTACAGATCATACGTTTATACATTTCTAGAGGATTTGACAAATGAAGATGATGATGAATTTCCCAAAGCAATAAGAATGCCATTTTTACTTTGCTGTGAAGAGAATTGGCATTAGGAAGTGCAAACAGTGTCCTTTCATCCTTATTTGTTGACTTACTTAAGTGTACTTCTGTTGGCTAATAAGTGTAATTTGTTGTGTTTCCAGGAGCGTTCGGCCAGTGGCAGCGAGGAGGACTGAAGGAACTCTCCTGATTGGACCAACACTGCGCCCCTTGACTGGACTTTATATATTTTACTTAGATACAGCAGGGAGACAGTCGGTGGAGGAGGCCTAGTTTTACCTAGATCAGCTGATTTTTAGTGGGACAATTGTATTCTCATTAAAGTATACCATTAATTAAAAACCAATTTTAAAAAATGAAACTAAAATATGAAAGCTATGACCATTCACTTCCATATTTAAACCGTTTTTCCCAGTATGAATAGTAGCGTCTCTTTGCCTTCTTGTTTTGTTTTCTCCTGGAAGTGGAAGATTGACAGAGGCTGAATTATAGACGGATCGTGGGCCATAAAGACAGCTAACTGTTTTATTGGTTTTTTTTGTAAGTGGTATTCATTTTGTCTTTTTACTTGAAAGACAAAGCGTACATGTGAACCAGGAGTCACTCTGAAGTTCCTCCCTTTTTGAATGCATGTCGTGCGTGTGCACCTGAATGTGTCTTCGCTATTATCTCTGTGTTTAATTTAAGACTACAAGCGGGATCACGGTACATCCCACCCTGCAGACCCTCCCTCTCAGGGTGTGTATGTAAAGAGGGAGGGAGGGATTGGACCATTTTCTCGTGTCGGTGTCACTGGATTCCAAAAAGTACAATAAAGGCATCTCATAATTAACAAGTTGTCTTCACCGGCTTTCTTTTTTTAAAGGTCCCCTATTATACTGTTTTTCATCAATATATCACAGGTCTCAGATATATCCAGAGCCTGTCTCTGATTGGCTGAAACACCAAACGGATCATTGCAGCATTACCCATAATCCCCTCTGTTTCAGCCCTGTTTCCAAAGTGTTGATTCTCTGTCTGTTACATTAGATGAAAATAAGGAGCCCCTCCCCACGCCCCTCTGAGAGACATTTGGTTACAAAGAACTCAATGGTGCTCTAGGAGGAGATTCAGGTGATATGGGGGGGTTGCTGATTGGCTAATGGTTACACAAGCCAAAACATCGTTATGACATCATAAAGTGGCCAAAATCTGATCAGCTCATTTTCAGACAGGTTTTTATAGAAATGGATCAAAAAGAGAGAGAATCTTTGTTCCTGAAACTTTCAGAGTCTCTTTCCACAGAGGGGACACATGTTGATGTAGAAGAGACATGAAGAAGAGGGGACACATGTTGATGTAGAAGAGACATGAAGAAGAGGGGACACATGTTGATGTAGAAGTGAAGAAGAGGGGACACATATTGATGTAGAAGAGACATGAAGAAGAGGGGACACATGTTGATGTAGAAGAGACATGAAGAAGAGGGGACACATGTTGATGTAGAAGAGACATGAAGAAAGAGGGGACACATGTTGATGTAGAAGAGACATGAAGAAGAGGGGACACATGTTGATGTAGAAGAGACATGAAGAAGAGGGGACACATGTTGATGTAGAAGAGACATGAAGAAGAGGGGACACATGTTGATGTAGAAGAGACATGAAGAAGAGGGGGACACATGTTGATGTAGTAAGTGAAGTGAAGAAGAGGGGACACATATTTGATGTAGAAGAGACATGAAGAAGAGGGGACACATGTTGATGTAGAAGAGACATGAAGAAGAGGGGACACATGTTGATGTAGAAGAGACATGAAGAAGAGGGGACACATGTTGATGTAGAAGAGACATGAAGAAGAGGGGACACATGTTGATGTAGAAGAGACATGAAGAAGAAGGGACACATGTTGATGTAGAAGAGACGTGAAGAAGAGGGGACACATGTTGATGTAGAAGAGACATGGAGAAGAGGGGACACATGTTGATGTAGAAGAGACATGGAGAAGAGGGGACACATGTTGATGTAGAAGAGACATGGAGAAGTGGATTTTGCAGAATAGGTGACCTTTAAGTGCACTCATTGTATTTGTACACTAGATGGCCTACTGACGACAGGAAGCTGCTTAAATGAGGATTTTTTTTGTTTACATCTGCTTCCAAACCATCATTTTCTCACCAGTGATTGTCATGTTTCAGGTAAAAGTAAGTATAGTTTTTAAGAAAATTCAGTCATTTTGTACTTGTATTCCTGCTCGAAGACTATTTAAAGACTATATGTTTGTCGATACTATATATATATATTGTCTTGTTTCTGTTCTAATTTTAATCAATTTGATGTAAAACGTCTTTGAGCATTAGGAATAGTGCTATACTATAAAAGCGATATACCTCTAAACCTTATAGTGGGGCTCAGGGTATGTTATGGAAATAAATTACATTAGTTATCAGAAAAAGATGAATACACAGCCTTAATGTGTGTGATTTGATTAAAAAAGACAGTTCAGAGACAGTCATTTTGAGGAAATCTGCAGCATTTCCCACTTTCCCAAAGTCGGAAACTATTAATAAATGCCTATAAAAGACCTTCTATGTATTTGGTATAGTCATTCAGGATTTATTTGCTCAATTGTTGCATGACTCTGGAATCCAATAGCATAATGATGATCCCCCGAGAGTCCGGGAAGTGAGCCAAGAAGCTATTCAACAATGTAAGTCATTCTTTTAGCCCTTTTTTCAAGTGTTTATCCATTTATCCACTATGTTCAACCATTAGCCCTTAGCTAAGGATCTGGATATCAATGCTAAGTTGCTAACTAGAATCCTTTTTCAACAACAACATAATGTTAAGGAGCTAAATGTAGAATGCTTTTCATTATTTTTTATAAAAACATACGCATTGGTTGAGCTACTCCAAAATATTTACTGTAGACAGCAGAAGCACTCCCAGAGGAAGCTCTACTCTACCCTAACCCGACACAAATCCTCCTTTCCCTCTAGTGATTTTTCAGCACCTGAATAAACATGGCGGGACATATTTGCTATGAATTTGCAGCGTGGGTGATTTCCCGTGAGTTTTTAGAGGAACAGTCAGCATGATTTCCCCAGCAGATACATTTTTCTGTGTGAATGTATGTGTGTACAGTTGTGGCTGTCATTATTTCAAGACTCACTTGCTGTTTCCACAATAAATATTCTCTATTTGGATGTGTTCAGATGTTACACAGGCGCCTTGTGTTTTACTGGTTGTCTTTGTTAAATCTGGAATAAACCTGACCCGTCTTTCACCAAAATGATTCAAAGGACATTATTGATTAATCCCGTTTCCAAACATTGTCAGTCTTATCTTCTTTTCCAGGGATGAAGCCAAGAACTACGTCATCCTCTGAGCCGCCCTCCATATCCATCAGACAAAATAAAGTGGTGCAGGAATTAAGTGTTTTTGTAGACCGAAGCTAAAGTTAGCATAAAAGCCGATGGGAATTTTCAATTGGTTTTGAGATAATTTAGGATAGTTAAACAGGATTATCTCCACATATTAACACCAATTTCATAAATATTAAAGCGTAAATGCAATTGCCAGAGGTAAAAAGCTAATGTTGGACTTTGAACAAACTATTTCATGGTTGCATAGCTTTACGGCATCACAGCTAAGCTAAAGGTGGCTAATGGTCGCCATGATGACGTTTAGTCGTCTCATTTAGACTCTTGTTAGCAACTGCCATTTTAAAGACATATTAAAGCTTCAGACATTCAGCAGGATATTTTCCTCATATTAACAACACTTTATGATTATTGAAGTAAAAAGCTAATGTTGGGCTATAAAGGAGCTACAGCACGGTCACATGACTTCACGTCACCACCGCTAAGCTAAAGGTGGCTAATGTTGGGCTATAAAGGAACTACAGCACGATCACATGACTTCACGTCACCACCGCTAAGCTAAAGGCGGCTAATGTTGGGCTATAAAGGAACTACAGCACGGTCACATGACCTCACGTCACCACCGCTAAGCTAAAGGTGGCTAATGTTGGGCTATAAAGGAACTACAGCACGGTCACATGACCTCACGTCACCACCGCTAAGCTAAAGGCAGCTAATGTTGGGCTATAATGGAACTACAGCACGGTCACATGACTTCACGTCACCACCGCTAAGCTAAAGGTGGCTAATGTTGGGCTATAAAGGAACTACAGCACGGTCACATGACTTCAAGTCACCACCGCTAAGCTAAAGGCGGCTAATGTTGGGCTATAAAGGAACTACAGCACGATCACATGAAATTCTTACAGGCGTCTATTGAAAATCAAACTAATTTCCAGGATTTAGAATTCATTCCTGTGTCGTCAGGTTTCCAGTAGATAATAAAAAGCTAAACACACACACAAAACTGTCTGAAATATTTAATGTAAACCAGGAATCTTTCTTTGTCCTCATCCTACTCCGTTAACAAAACTCTCCCACTCACATTTGACAGAAAAAACTCCCCCCTGTCCGGCTATTCCCGAGCCAAAAACCGTGCTCAGCTGCATCTGGAAGAACCTGATTTTACTTAAAGGAGAAGACAGAAAATGCAGCCAACACTCTGTTTATTTATTCAGGCGAAGCAGTGAAAGGGATCCGAATACTGGAAGAACTGGAAAGTGTTTACAGAAGCTCAGGAGGTTGAGATTGTATATAATAATAGAGAGTTGTAGTGAAGGGGTGTGTTCTAGCCCCTGGTGAATTATAGAGAGGAGTCACCTCATAGGCACTCTTGTTTCTATTAATGCATTCTCTTTCTAGGAATACAGGAGATTGTTGTTCTATCAGCCAACATCTCCTCGGGAACTTAGAGGTTAACCCCGGTACAGTTTGGGGAACGTTTCATGTTTCACAGTCGGTCCCCCAGTTTTAGCAGAGGCCTGAAATTCCTTGTCACTTCTTATTAAATGCATCACAATGTGCCGTACAGTGGGGTTAGAGGTGAGTGGGTTCGCTGAGAGCATTGGACAGAAAATGTGAATGGTACAGGACGTGGCTCTGGTGTTGATTAATGTCACTGCGTTGATGGAGTCCTTTGTGGGAAGTTACATGGTTGCACCAGTGCTGGAAAGTGTGTACTGTACTACATTGCAATATGGAGGTTGTTACTTTGGCAGAGATGGTGAGAGTACACACATCCTTTACTCAAGTAGAAGTACAGATACTTGTGGTACTCTGGTAAAAGTCGAAGTACTGACTAAACTTCTTTTCCCAAGCAAAAGTTAAGAAGTGTTGGCTTTGAAATACTTCATTAAAAAGTACCCATAGCTAGCAGCTGTTTTAAAGAGTACCTGACCTCCCTTTATATTAATAGAACAATAATGTCATTGTTAGCTAATGAATGTTTCCATGCTGAACAACGGCAACATGACAACGTTTCCATTGGTCCCTCTTCTTTAGAGAAGACCAGGAAATGATGGATACACGGATCGTGTTCAAATCAATAGGCACGCAATGACTCTAAAGAATAATGATCACGCACCAAACACACATTCAGTGGAGTAAAGTTCTGATACCAGAAACATGTACTTAAGTACAGTAACGAAGTATTTGTACTCCACTACTTCCCACCTCTGTACTGATCTCCTTTCTCCATAAAAACACTGACGTTGTTATAACAGCCCCTAGACCCGGTTTCTTGTTTTATTTAAATATTGAACGTCTGCCAGAGTATGTAGACTCGCTTGATTTGGAACATCTTATTTACTTTGGGGGGGGGGGGGGGGGGGGGGTTTATGATATACTTTAATTTCAGAGGGGAATATCAGTGGTTCTATCTGATTTTCTTGCTGTGCAATAGCTGCCCACTGCTCCCAGTAGGATGCAGAGGTCAAATGTCACTGTGTGTGCTGTGTGCATATGTGTGACCATTAAAGAGGGTTTCATCCTCCAATTCAATTGATCTTGAGTTAAAGCAGCAATAACTCACCATGAAAATACCAGAATGGCTCAGGAGGAGTGATTGTCCACCAATCTGTAGATTTGGTTCCTAGTCCTGCAGTCAATATTTCTATGTGATAATACACAACCCCAATAATCAACCCTATTCAGGCGTGCCCATAACTTTTTTGCCTTATATAGCGCATAAAGCAGACCCTTCACGCGATAGCGAGGGGTAGAGCGAGGGCAGCGCAGATGCCGTCGTGCTCGCGGATGGATTAAAAAAATTAAACCTAAATGGCTCGCGAATTATACTTTGGCGGCCGTTAATACCTGGGCGGCCCGCCCAAGTAAAGTCTGTGTGGGAAACCCTGCTCTCTTACCAGTTCTTATGCAACTCTCTAAAGTGATCTCTCGCGTCTCGCTCTCTCTCTCTCCTGGTCTCTGGCTAGAGTGTCTCTGTCTGGTCTCTCTCTCTCTCTCTCTCTCTCTCTCTCTCTCTCTCTCCTCTCTCTATCTCTCTCTCTCTCTCTCTCTCTCTCTCTCTCTCTCTCTCTATCTCTCTCTATCTCTCTCTCCTCTCTCTCAATGTTTGGTGCGCAAATGCGCCTTTTTTCAAATGATCCGGTGCTCCTTTTTTGGCGGGGGGTGCGCATGGGCACTTGCGCACCAGTTTTGTGCAGCCCTGCCTATGTTGCTCTTGATTGCTAACTGTGTGAATGTTGGCAACCTTGTATGGCAAACTATGTTCCTCTATATTGATGGGTGAGTGCTGAGATGTATATGTAAAACTGCTTTGAGTGGTGTCATACCTGGAAAAAGTGCTATGTAAATGCAATTACATGACATTTGCTTTTTCCTGGTGGTGTTTTTATGCTATTTTTGCTAACGGTGTTCATTTGTAAAGATTATCTCTCACAAACTAGGGCAATATTATCTGCAATAATCCAGAATCTAATGGAAGAAATCCCATGGGCTTTTTGTCTAGGGAACCAAGTGGATGATAACTTCATGTAACCTGCAAAATATGTCATTTCCAGTACTCTATAGAGTGGTTAAAACTAGTTTCTTGACTGGCTTGAATGCAGTTTTGCTACTTTAACTTCATGATCTTATTGTACGTAAATACATTGGATACTTGATCTTTGAATATATCCATATGACATACACTTTGTCTCTATTTCTTCCATATGGCTGCTCCCCAGTGGCGGCTGGTGGAAAATATTTTTGGTGGGGCTATCGAAATGTTGACCAAGCCATACTAGGGCGGTCAGACATTTTTGAGAAATGACCCCTTAAATGATGAATTCTGGTGATGTTAGAAGATCCATAATCTTCAGTGTGGTTAGCTATGAATCTTCCAAAACTGTGCAACAGTACAGTAGGCCCACACAAACTGCAGAACACTGGTGCTTTGGGAACACTCAAATGATTTAATTCCCATTTAAAATCAGGAGACTAAATACGAACATTATGTGTGTGTGTGTGTGTGTGTGTGTGTGTGGTGTGTGTGTGTGTGTGTGTGTGTGTGTGTGTGTGTGTGTGTGGTGTGTGTGTGTGTGTGTGTGTGTGTGTGTGTGTGTGTGTGTGTGTGTGTGTGTGTGTGTGTGTGTGTGTGTCATACTTGCCAACTCTCCCGATTTTCACGGGACACTCCCGCATTTCTCCCGATTTCTGACCAAATCAGATTTACTCATGACTGTTTCCACTCGGACTTTAATACTACACCATTGTTTGGTTTCCATGGTAGCGCGTCTCTTTAGCAGCGCACGCAACTCAAAGTTTGAGAGAGTGAGGGAGATGAAAACTGAACAAGAATCGACAACTCGACCCTCTGCTCACTCCTTTCCTGTAAAATACAGGTCCAGCCCACATATATGCTCCATGGTGCTACAGGCATTGCCCTTACTACTACAATAAGCATGTAAATGTTAATCTACAGCTCCGGCGATCCACTAGCACCGAGACGCAGCCATCCTCGACAACTACTGTAGCGTCACCTTGGATACGAGTCCAAACAACTCACAGACACACAGGTCAGGGCGCTGACAGGGCGCCCTTTGAGCATCAAATCTGACGACGCTGATTGGCTGAAATTATGTTTCGGCGATATAGTTTACAGATAGCAACAGTCAGCTTGTTTTGATCGTGCTTCATGGAAAGGGTGCAGGAACATTTAGAAAACAAGAAGCTAAAGTACGGGGATTATACAGTTGCTGCTGCTCTGGCTGAGGGCTCCTTTCTTACCGCCCGGGCGAGAGAGGGTAATGATACACGCTGCGGCCAGCCAGGAAACACTTATCAGTAACTTTAGACATCGTAAAACAATTTTAAACGAGATTTTATTGTAGATTATACATTTTACTGATACCAACTATATAATATTTACCTTGTTCATTACATTTTTTTTATTTTAAAATATATTTATTTTTAATGACAATCAAACATGTGGGAAGAGGGGGCGGCGGCCCTAGCGCCCCTATGGGCCGGCCGCCACTGCTGCTCCCTCTTTGTGTGTACTGCATGATTGCGGTACATATTTTATCTCAGTGTGACAGCCTTGGCCTTGATCCTAGATGTTCTATTATGTAGTCTATTGACAGCAGATCTTCAGAAAGACTGACAAGATCATTTTCTGTCTTCTGGTGCTCACATGTTTATTGTTTTGGTGCACATGGGAGTAACTGAAGGTCACACATGATATAATAGACCTGTAGTCAAAGCAGATTATCAAGAGTTGTTGCGTGTTATCTCAATGTATAACCCTTCCTTTGATAGTAAGGGTCAACGTATTACTTTTTTACAGAGACCACTTGTATAATCCCCGTATTTCAGCTTCTTGTTTCCAAATGTTCCTGCACCCTTTCCATGAAGCACGATCAAAACAAACATGTGGATTATTCATTTCCAATTACCAACTATCCCAGAGTATTCCTGAACTATATGACGCTCTCTTTACTCGGTTCAAGGTTGTTGTTTTGAAGTTTTATCTCTTCACATGTACTTTATCTGCTCCTCTGAGGTAAATCTCATTGTAAACGGTATGGACCCAGTAGCCTGAGACTTTGGACCTTAAATAACATGTTTTTATTATGAGAGGTGACCAACCTCCATTCAGGAAGTAGGGGCGTGATATGGAGATACTAATGACTTTATGGACTGCTGTAGTATTGTTTTAGAAAGTTTTACTCACCAATACACCTTATGTAATAGAAGGTGATGAACATATAAGTTACTTATTACTCCATAAAAACATCAACGTTGTTATAACATATAAATATGACCTGGCTTCTTGTTTTATTTAAATATTGAACGTCTGCCAGAGTAGGTAGACTCGTTTGGACATAATTGACGTCTGTGACCAAATCGGCCTTTTTCCATCTAAGGAACATTGCCAGACTCCGACCGTCACTCTCAGAGTCGGTTGCCGAAACCCATGTGTTTGTCACCTCCCGCTTGGACTACTGCAATGGTGTCCTGTTCGGGGTCCCCAACCAAACCTCGGATAGGCTCCAGTATGTCCAAAACTGTGCTGCTAGGGTACTCACACACACAAAGCCGTGGCAGCACATCACTCCCACCCTCATCCACCTCCACTGGTTGCCGGTCAAGTCCAGCATAACCAAAGTCCTCCTAATCTATTTGTTGTTTTGTCTGTCTGACTTTTTGTCTGTCTGACTTTTTGTCTGACTGCCTTTTTTTTTTGTTATGTTTGTTTTGCCCTGTTCTTCTTTGTAAAGCGAACTTGGGTCTCATGAAAGGCGCTATATAAATCCAATCTATTATTATTATCCATTTTTGTCCTTCTTTACTTGCTTGTAAAGCGCTTTGAGCCCCAGGAAAAGCACTATATAAATAACATGTATTATTATTATTATTATTATTATTATTATTATCTTATAAGATCAGCGCCGCAGTATCACAGTATATTTTCTAGAAAACCCCCTGAAAACATTTATTATAATATTCGCTACTATAATGTTAATGATGAGTTTCACAGTAAAAGGTGGGGTAGGTAATTTTGGAGAAACCAGCTCGAGTGCGCTAGAATTTGAAAATACACAACCGGAACAAATCTGCCACTTCCTCACAGAGCCCCTCCTCCAACACACACGAACGCGCACATGACCAATGAGGGCACGAGATGAGTTTGTGCACAGATGGAAGGCTGACAGGCAGGTAGGCCATCAGTTACTTTAGCCGGCTCAGATGATTGGTCGTGCTTTTCACAGCGCCACGGCTTCCACGGATGATGTTTCTTTATGTATTTATGGTCAAAGCACTTCAGATATTCATTGCTATCGGGATGATAAGAGCATTCCATGGAATATAACAAAAAGTGTATCTCGAGCCGGTTTCTCAAACTTACCTACCCCACCTTTAAGAGGCTTATTATGGAATAAGTCCAGTATCAGGTTGTCAACATTTCCCATTTGGCACGTCACAGCTGAGATATTAGCACTTTTTTGTTCTAAATCTCTGACTTTACACTCAAAAATATTTCAAATTCATCCTCCCCTTCCCCCTCCTCAACCTTGAACTTATGGCCCCCCAATTTCGGTCCCAGAAACCCTGTCTACGCCCCTGTCAGAGCAAGGAATGAAACTCACCTGATGTATACAAACACTGTCTCTCCTCCCTCTCTGAACTGGTAGTAAATCCATCTCCCCGGAGCTCCTCCTCCCAATTGTTGCTGCTGTTTGCCTCAGAAATCACACCACTCACCAGGTCCCGCCTCCCATACCGAGGGGCCCCTCCGGCCCCGCCCACCCTGGACCACATTGAAATGGGTCTGATGTTGTTGTCAAACAGTACAGTGAGCAGGGCATCCCTCCTATGAGCATCTCTGCAAAACAGCCACTATAGAGACGTTGGTGTAAATCACATTTCTGACAGTGTGTTTTTATTATAATTACATTATTTAGTCACATTAGAGTGCATGCATCTTCCAGTGCGCCTGGGAAACATGGGACTGCTGTTTCAGGCATCTTTGTTATTCTTTCTCTTCACCCTCGTTCATACAGGTAAGTTGTCCTTCCTTTTATTGACTAATTATGACTTAATTATCTCTATGTGTGACTTGGTTTGCGCGTAAAATCAGTGTAAGATTCACTCTCTGCGTTATAATGATGTTGTTTGGTAGACATTTGTTTTTAAATGATGGTTTAAATAAGATTAGAGTCCGTGTGTGTTTAAATTCCCCACTCCTGTGACAGCACCGGATGCAAGGTGATGGGGGGAGGGCGCACTTATTCTGAGAATGTAGGTCCATGCGCTCTCACCGTGACGCTTTCACTCATATTTACGCGTAATTTACCGTGAAAGTCCTCTCCTGTTATCATGCTTTGTTATGGCTTATTATCTGCTTAAATCCTTGGCTGTTTTTGAATGGAGCCGCATGTTTTGTTTCATTGACCCGTTGTGCAGCCAATGAGCTTTGAGGAGGGGTGAATGTGTACAAAATGTCAAGCACGATTTTGAAAAAAGCCGGTTTTTGAAGCCATTATATTATAATGTGGGAAATTGGCGCGACTTGTAAATAAATCAGAGGAAAACACTTCTATCCTAGATCTACTGTATTCCTCCATACATGATGCAATGTGCAGCCTGTTTGCACCTCCCACCATGTGTGTCCTGAAACGCCCCATACTGTGGAAATGAATGGAAGCCATCCAACTCACGCTCCAACACAAACACACTGTGTGTCTGCAGCATTCCTCCAGCTCTGGTTAGGGTCTCCGTCAGACCTGTTTTGTTCACAGTGTGTGTGTCGCTTCTGGGAAACGGTGTGTGTGGTGAAACATGTTGTAACTGGTTGTTGTCACCTGTGACCTTTTTTCTCACAGACATGTGTGGCAATGAAACGTGTCCCGTTTCCATGTTGGGAAAAGGTCGCCTCACATGTCTGGGCAGAGGAGCAGTGTGTGATGTGGTTTTTAGGAATGTTTCATCCACTAAATGATGATTTGCAGATAAGCTACTCACCTTGGGAAACACGTTGGAAAGTTGAACTAACAGTCTAAAAGCTGACCAAATTCTTGCTGAATTGGAGTAATTTAGGGCAGTTTTCACCAGGAAAATCACATCATAACATCCCTTTACTAAATCTTAGCCAATTTAATATTAATCCAGTATAATTGCAGTGTTATAAAAGTCTCATTTATCCAGTTTTCTAATGTGTTTACACTCAAAGGTAAGATTGAATACACTTGAAAGTAGCGTGCCTTTGCAAACAATGATCCTGTTTATGTGCAAAGTTTTAAATATTTTATTGAAATGAATGTGTTTGTGAAGTAGTGAACGTACGACTGGATAAACTATTGATCTCCGCACGTCCTGAAGTTTTCTTTATAAGTTCAAGGTGACTCATACAATTGCATTTTGCAGGTGAAGTTTTCCTTCTGTCAAATTCATCTTAATAACTGCACAAAATGGCTTAAATGAAAAGACAACAATATTGATTGATTGATTCATTGAACGCCGTGGAGGCTAGTTTTCCAGACAAATTCAATGTTATTGATATACAAATGCATTTTGGGGGAAAGTATGTATTTAATCTCACTTGGGGAAACTTTCTGGCTTTGAGAAATTGTTCTAAAATATTTCGTTTTTAAGCCTCCAGTCGCTCATTCTGCTCGCCTTGGTCAATGAATGAAAAGCTTGAGACGTCACAGATTGGGCAACAGACAAGAGCAGATTTGTGATTTGCCCAGCATGAATTTGTCCTGGATCGATAACGCTGACATTTTGTTGTTCAAGGACTGAACCTTCTGAGCTTGTTGAGTACACACCGAGCGTGAACGTGTGTTTGGTGACGAGGCTTCAGGGAATAACTGATCTGTTGACGGACAAATCCACTGTTGCAGGAAATGAGAAGATAGAAATCGACCTGAGTTGAACCGTCAGAGGGTTTTATACCACCTGTTTATCTGTATTATTTATTACCCTACAAGGATGTCCTATTGATTAGAGCCAGTTTATCAACATCAAGTCAAAGTCAACTTTAATGTCAATTGTGTGTGTGTTTGTACAGACAGAGAGATCGAAATAACGTTTCCAACAATCCCGAATACAAAATACAATAATACAAATATGTATTAATATGTATATCCTCTATATATACAATCAACAGACGCATTTACACATATGCACACAATTAAGATAAAAAAAAGTATTTGTAAGTTACTAGTAAAAGTACAATATTTCCCTTTAAATTGTAGTGCAGTTGAGGTATACAGTGTTCTTAAAGTATGTTAAATGTGCATTTAAGTACAATAAAGTAGGCTAGATTAAACTAGATATACTTTATTGATCTCAAATTGGGTTTGTTAGACACAAAAAGTTAATATATACGTATCAGCAGTGGAAGAAAACACATTAACAAGGAATACACAATAATGTAAACACAGAATACATTAGAAAACTTGAATTGAGTCCGATTATGCAATACTTGCATACCTACCTATCACAAAGGACTTGAACCTATGAAAACATACACATACATACTTCATTGGAGTTAGAATTAAAAAGCTAATCCTGCACTTACTGAATCAGACTATTTGATCGATGCTAATGGCTAGCTGCTAAATGCTTCAGTTGTAAACACCTCCTCCTGCGCCCCATTTCTCAGGAACAGGTATGGGGCCCGGGTCCAGAGGGAGGAATGAACTCTAGTAACCCTTTCACGAGCTGCTGTTTCCCTGATACACAATCTAATGACTCCTTCTGGTTCAGAGGCTTCATCGGGTCCATTAAAGATGGGGAGATGTTGTGTTGTGTTGTGTTGATGTTGAACTCGTGTCGAATTAAGTGAACCATAAAACCTGGAAATCCAAACAAAGTAGATTTCTGTTATGAAGCCGCCATATCAGCAGCTGCCTGATAACGGGCTGATACACGTGGGTTTACATTCAGTGTCCCTGTGTCCCATTCATCCACCGTCGTTACACAACATCCTACAGGCACGTGTGTGTTTGATCACGTGTGTAGGAGTGTAGGAGTATTCAGATGAAGTCAAAGTACTAATACCACACCTTTAAAATACTCTGGTACAAGTCAAAGTCTTGCATTGGAAATGTCAGCAAAATGTACTTAAAGCAAAATGTACTTAAAGCATTAAGGGAAAAGTACCAAATGCCGAGAAATCCTAAATAAATTTAAATAAACACTATAACTTTTAGTAGCATTAGCTGTGATTCGTGACCCAATTGTAAACAGATTGTAAGGAAACGCAGGTGCCGTTGACTTCCATTCATCGAGAGAATAACAACGTTTTATAGCATTCAAGAACAACTTTATTTGGATTAGCTGTGATTTGTTTAATGAGACAAGGTTTACGTTCAAAACTAATATTTTGAATTTGTTTTGACGTTAAACACAACTTCCGTTTCATCACGAAAGGTTGAAGGCATGCGAGAATAACAACGTTCTCTTCATGAATTCAATGTGCCACGGGATGAGTTATAGACATATATTTTAGTGCCGAAGAACTTGTTTAATAGAATTCTGCACACTTATTTTCCGATGGGTCTTTTTTCATGGACAGCCACATTACTTAGGAAAGAGTGAACAAAGAACTACAAAACAATATTTTTTTTTGATTAGCTACGGGTATCGACATGAGACAACGTTTGAATTTGTGAAGCTGATGATTTGATGTTGTTTTGTTGTAAAACGGCGCTTCCTTTTACTTCCATTCATCAAGAATTCATGCAAAAGTTTTTCTCATGAATTCAATGTACCACTAGACAATGAACAGATAATCAAATCGTCCTTTGTTTGGTTTAAAACGACTTGAATAGAGTTCTGCAGAATGATTATCCTCACCTTACTTGATCTCATGTGCAGCCATATCTGTGTATATGAGGACTCCTCGCTGATGAATGATAACTCAAACAATAAGCCTTGGTTTAACTGTGTGTTAATATTTCTCTGTCACAGATCCATTGACGACATGTGGATCCGATCATTTCCAGTGTGGGAACGGTAAATGCTTGCCGGCTCGATGGGTGTGTGACGGCATGGACGACTGTGGAGACGCCACTGATGAACTTCCTGCTACCTGCAGTGAGTACACTACAAAAGCTCTAAATCTTGCCCAGTATATGCGTCTAATATCTAGTCAGAATGTGTCTCTACACCTGCTATAAGACACAATAACTTCAGAAGTGACACTGCAGTGAGATATCGGGTCTTGTTTGTAGACAATGCATCATCTTGTTGAGTCAAAGAATCTTATTTTGAATTGTATCTCAGAGGAAACTTATTTTTTTCACATATTTATTGGAAAATCACCAATTAACATCAGAACACAGAACACTTTTGAGCATTTGCGGCTTATTTTGTAACACAGCATTTCCTGATTCTGGTAAAATATAGTTCAAAATACCTGTACTTTCTACTTCTTACATTTTGAACTCAAATACCTGTACTTTCTACTTCTTACATTTAGAACTCAAATACCTGTACTTTCTACTTCTTACATGTTGAACTCAAATACCTGTACTTTCTACTTCTTACATGTTGAACACAAATACCTGTACTTTCTACTTCTTACATGTTGAACTCAAATACCTGTACTTTCTACTTCTTACATGTTGAACACAAATACCTGTACTTTCTACTTCTTACATGTTGAACTCAAATACCTGTACTTTCTACTTCTTACATGTTGAACTCAAATACCTGTACTACTACTTCTACATTTTAGAACTCAAATACCTGTACTTTCTACTTCTTACATATTGAACTCAAATACCTGTACTTTCCTACTTCTTACATGTTAGAACTCAAATACCTGTACTTTCTACTTCTTTACATGTTGAACCAAATACCTGTACTTTCTACTTCTTACATGTTGAACTCAAATACCTGTACTTTCTACTTCTTACATGTTGAACTCAAATACCTGTACTTTCTACTTCTTACATGTTGAACCAAATACCTGTACTTTCTACTTCTTACATGTTGAACACAAATACCTGTACTTTCTACTTCTTACATGTTGAACTCAATACCTGTACTTTCTACTTCTTACATTTGAACTCAAATACCTGTACTTTCTACTTCTTACATGTTGAACTCAAATACCTGTACTTTCTACTTCTAACATGTTGAACTCAAATACCTGTACTTTCTACTTCTTGACATGTTGAAACACAAATACCTGTACTTTCTACTTCTTACTGTTGAACACAATACCTGTACTTTTCTACTTCTTACATGTTGAACCAAATACCTGTACTTCTACTTCTTACATGTTAACTCAAAATACCTGTACTTTTCTACTTCTCTTCTTTCCTCATTTCCAAACAGCTGGTTCCCTTTAGTCTGAATGTGTGTTTGGGGCGTGATCATTATTCTTTAGTCATTGCGTGCCTATTGATTTGAACACGATCTGTGTATCCATCATTTCCTGGTCTTCTCTAAAGAAGAGGGACCAATGGAAACGTTGTCATGTTGCCGTTGTTCAGCATGGAAACATTCATTAGCTAACAATGACATTATTGTTCTATTAATATAAAGGGAGGTCAGGTACTCTTTAAAACAGCTGCTAGTTATATACATAAGCTCATACTTCTTTACTTGAGTAAAGAAGTTTAGTCAGTACTTCTACCAGAGTTATTTTAAACACGAGTATCTGTACTTCTACTTGAGTAAAGGATGTGTGTACTTTTGCCATCTCTGATCTTATCTCTATTGTGATTTCAGTGACTAAGACCTGCAAGCCGACAGAGTTCAGCTGCACGGACCGTCTGAACCAGTGCCTCCCGGAGAGCTGGCACTGTGACGGGAAAGCTGACTGTGAGAATGGAGCTGATGAGGAGAGCTGTGGTGAGAAGAGTTAACTACAGGGGGGAGAAGAAGAAGAAGACCACACATCTGTCTCACTGTTCTTTCAAATGTGATTTATCTTCTTAGATTGCTCTCAGAAACCACAGCTTCTTCTTTCCTCCCTTATCTGAAATATTCCTGGTCTTTAGTTACTCTAATTGCCCTGTTTCAGATAAGATATACTTTATTGATCCCAACTTGATAAGGACATCTGTTGGTCGTGTTAAAAATAAAATGGAAGTTGAAGTTGTGCAGTAGTTTAGGGATAAAGGATTTTTGTTGGCCCACCCTGAAGTTAGCATCTCCCTGGTTCCCTAAAAAAGCCAATTGTATTTCTCAATGCTAAGCTCAATGCTATCAAGACACTTGATAGCAACTGTGTTTTTATATTAATCAGTGGGGTATTTACTGAAGTATTTTATGTCGTAGAACAAAACGTTAAAATCCTAAAACGTTAAAAACCTAAAACCCATTCAAAAAAACACTTGAAACGAGCTAGCCAAAAGCGCTAAAATGCTGACTTGTTCCATGTTTTAGGAGTCATTTCTTGACCACTTCCTTCACCGAAAGACTTCCTTATATCCAATGTCTCTTCTCTTTTTAGCGCCAAAGCTGTGCACGAACACAGAGTTTCGCTGCGGGAGTGGTCAGTGCGTGTCGTCGTCCTTCGTGTGTGACGATGAGGCGGATTGTGACGACGGCAGCGATGAAGCGTCCTGTCCGCCGGTCACCTGCAGCCCGGCCTCCTTCCAGTGCAACAACACCGTCTGCGTGCCTGGTCTGTGGGCCTGCGACGGAGACATGGACTGCTCCGACGGCTCCGATGAGTGGCCTCAGAGCTGCGGAGGAGCAAAGTCAACGGTTACTGTTCCCGCTCATCAGTGTTCGAACCTGGAGTTCCTCTGCGGCAGCGGGGAGTGCATCCACAGCAGCTGGAAGTGTGACGGAGGCGCCGACTGCTTTGATAGATCCGATGAAGCAGGATGTGGTGAGGGTCATAAGACAAGGGTTCCTTAAAGGTCACCTATTGTGCAAAATCCACTTTTTCATGTCTCTTCTACATCAACATGTGTCCCCTCTTCTTCATGTCTCTTCTACATCAACATGTGTTCCCTCTTCTTCATGTCTCTTCTACATCAACATGTGTCCCCTCTTCTTCATGTCTCTTCTACATCAACATGTGTCCCCTCTTCTTCATGTCTCTTTCTTCATCAACATGTGTCCCCTCTTCATGTCTCTTCTACATCAACATGTGTCCCCTCTTTCCATGTCCTGCTACATCAACATGTGTCCCCTCTTCTTCATGTCTCTTCTACATCAACATGTGTCCCCTCTTCTTCATGTCTCTTCTACATCAACATGTGTCCCCTCTTCTTCATGTCTCTTCTACATCAACATGTGTCCCCTCTTCTTCATGTCTCTTCTACATCAACATGTGTCCCCTCTTCTCCATGTCTCTTCTACATCAACATGTGTCCCCTCTTCTCATGTCTCTTCTACATCAACATGTGTCCCCTCTTCTTCATGTCTCTTCTTCATCAACATGTGTCCCCTCTTCTTCATGTCTCTTCTACATCAACATGTGTCCCCTCTTCTTCATGTCTCTTCTACATCAACATGTGTCCCCTCTTCTTCATGTCTCTTCTACATCAACATGTGTCCCCTCTGTGGGAAAGAGACTCTGAAAGTTTCAGGAACCAAATATTCTCTCTCTTTTTGTTCTGATCCATTTCTATAAAAACCTGTCTGAAAATGAGCTGATCAGATTTTGGCCACTTTATGATGTCATAACGATGTTTTGTCTTGTGTAACCATTAGCCAATCAGCATTCAAGGTAACCCCCCCCCCCCCCCCCCCTTATCACCTGAATCTCCTCTAGAGCACCATTGAGTTCTTTGTAACCAAATCTCTCTCAGAGGGGCGTGGGGAGGGGCTCCTTATTTTCATCTAAAGTAACGGACAGAGAATCAGCAATTTTGAAACAGGGCTGAAACAGAGGGGATTATGGGTAATGCTGCCATGATCTGTTTGGTGTTTCAGCCAATCAGAGACAGGCTCTGGATATATCTGAGACCTATAATATATTGATGAAAAATAGTATAATAGGGGACCTTTAAAGCAACTATTTCTAGAATAATGTATCGTCCAACAAAAGCTGTTATCATCACAGGCCTAGTCATTCGTTAATTATCTCTTGTAATCTAATTTCTACTCTAGCACACACCACCTGCGCTCCCGATGAGTTTGAATGTGATGACGGTTCTTGTATCCACGGCAGCCGGCAGTGCGACCGTCAATTCGACTGCAGGGACCGCAGCGATGAATTCGGCTGCATCAACGGTACGAATCTCTCTTTTTATCCTGGATCCTAGCAACTCTATTCAATTAAATTCAAGGCTTTATTGTCATGTGCACAGCAGCTACAGTTTAGAAATGTCAATGAAGAACTCAGGTCACAGGCTCCTCCAACAGTGCAACATGTATAGGACATAAAACAAATAAAATAGATGAATGTTATGGATCTTCTTTCAAAAGTCCAGGTGTTTAACAGTCTGATGGCCTGTGGGATGAAACTGTCCCTGAGTCTAGTGTAAACTCTAGTGTTTTTTTCCCATCTAGAACTGTATGTCTTATATTCCAGCAACCCACTGTGATGGTCCGACCCACTTTAAGTGCCGCAGCGGGGAGTGTATCAGCATGGAGAAGGTGTGTGACAGGAAGCGTGATTGCAGGGATTGGACAGACGAGCCTCTGAGGGAATGTGGTGAGTTCAGACGTCTGTCATCCATAACTGTCTGCTTAATTACTGCTTTTGTGTTGAGAATGCTAGTCCTCAGAAAATAAAGATGGTTAACCTTTCCTCCTCCGACTGCAGGCTCCAATGAATGCCTTTACACCAACGGCGGCTGCTCGCATGTTTGCAATAACCTCAAGATCGGATACGAGTGTCTGTGTCCTACTGGATATAACCTGGTGGAGAAAAAACGCTGTGAAGGTATACATCCCGCAGTTAAACTTATCAATAGTCAACCAGTAATGCATATGCTTTGTGGGGTAGGGATGACGTATTTATTTTAGGTTGAACCAGAACTTAGCATCACATTTTTGCAGGAAATAAGATCTGTGGCAAACACACTTTTATGATACTTACATGTTTGATTCAGCAGGATAATCTCCACATATTAACACCACGTTTGTAATTGAAGCTAACGTTAAGATATAAAGGAACTACAGCACGGTCACATGACTTCAAGTCACCACCGCTAAGCTAAAGGCGGCTAATGTTGGGCTATAAAGGAACTACAGCACGGTCACATGACTTCAAGTCACCACCGCTAAGCTAAAGGAGGCTAATGTTGGGCTATAAAGGAACTACAGCACGGTCACATGACTTCAAGTCACCACCGCTAAGCTAATGGTGGCTAATGTTGGTCTATAAATGAACTACAGCACGGTCACATGACTTCACGTCACCACCGCTAAGCTAAAGGAGGCTAATGTTGGGCTATAAAGGAACTACAGCACGGTCACATGACTTCAAGTCACCACCGCTAAGCTAATGGTGGCTAATGTTGGTCTATAAATGAACTACAGCACGGTCACATGACTTCAAGTCACCACCGCTAAGCTAAAGGCGGCTAATGTTGGGCTATAAAGGAACTACAGCACGGTCACATGACTTCAAGTAACCACCGCTAAGCTAAAGGCGGCTAATGTTGGGCTATAAAGGAACTACAGCACGGTCACATGACTTCACGTCCGCTAAGCTAAAGGCGGCTAATGTTCGGCGTGATGACGTTTAATGGTCTCATTTTGAAATGTGTAAACAACCATCGTTTTTATGAGATATTGAAGCTTCGGACATTTAACAGTGGATTATTTACTGCCGCATTTGATGTCCTAATACACAAATCTCTTCAGCTTGAGTTAACCACAGACCTTATTTCAGGCAACTAACCCAAAACACAGATTCAGACAACCCTGAAATACTCATTCATGCACCACTCTATTTGGCAACAGATGACCAAAACAGTGTTGCAATGTGCTTACTCTGATGCAACCTTTTCCATGTAACTGTCTGTGCTTCCAGAACAAGAGCAACTTGGAAGGATGACTCAGAATATTGTTTTTGTTACACCATGTGTTTTTTAAATTTAATGGTTCCCGTCTTTTTTTAAATTAGACATCGACGAGTGTGCCAACCCAGACACCTGCAGCCAGATCTGCATCAACCTGGTGGGCAGCTTCAAATGTCAATGTGAGGAGGGGTACCAGGTGGACCCAGCAACCAAAGCCTGCAAGGCCATCGGTAAATATCAGCTGCTCTGTCCAGAGTGTATTTTACAGTAATGTGTAACATTTAAAGATGTTTTTAAGATGATGAATAGCCTTCTTAAAGGTCTCCTATTACAGTGGTTCCCAACCTGGGGGGCGCGCCCCCCTTGGGCGCTAAAGATCGCAGGGGGGGGCGCCAGGCCTCAGATGATTTGAGGCCAAATATCATATTTAGACTTTTTTTTTTTTTTTTTTTTTTACATATAATTGTAACGCAATACATGATTGTCGCTAAAAGCCTTGTCTCTACATTACAATAACATATAAAAAATAATTGACTAATTAATTTTAATAAAAATTCAAGTTAGTATTAAAGGCATAAAAAGACAGAAATGTATAATTGTTTCTTTAATAGAAATGTTTCTTCTGCCCGTAAAGTGTCCAAACCAGGCTTTTCTGGATAAGCGCATTTTTAAAACAGTCATTGTCCATGCCGGTTTCAGTTGCTCCGATCAGATCCGTCTCCTCCATTTTGTAGATTTTTTACGACGTTTGAATCCACATAAACACATTGGCAAAATCCGGCTTACTTTGAGCATGTGTTTTAAACAGTTTAATCCCTTTGTGAATTGTTTCCACTTGCGCCGTCCTTTAATTTGTTCATACAGCGGGAATCCAAATGAATTAATCCTGAGTCCAATAACCATCAAAGTCACTCCAATAGTGCTCCTTAATTACGCTTTCATCCTCCTTTAACAAAATACTTCACATTCATCTAGTTTGTGACAGGAGTTGTAGCATTTTGAGACTTTTAAACTTTAATTACCGCTGTTGCCCCCCCCCAGGCCCTTGGGAAAAAAGGTTGGGAACCCCTGTCCTATTAGACTATTTTTAGGCATATATTATAGGTCTCAGATAAGACCTCGATATCTTTTGACGTTTTGTACGATACACTTATTGTACGATATATAGACATTACCTGGAAACCTGGATACTTTCTACTTATCGTATGGTATATTGACAGGACCTTCATCTTATTTACATTATTGACTTATTCTACGATATATGGACATTATAACAAATTATTTTACTTTATTGGCTTATCGTATGACCTCAATCCTTTCGTATCCGACTTATCATACAATAAATGGACATGACCTCGATATTTGTTATGCTTTCAATTCATTGTATTTTTATATAAATAGCTTAGAAGGGTCCTAAAATGACTCGAACATAATTTAAAGCAACTATTTATTGGATTATGTATCGTCCAAGAAAAGCCGCTATCGTCACAGGCTTTTGTTATATATAAAAATATAAAAAACATGTCTATGAAGTGTTTTGCTCAAAATACCAGATCACACATTCTAGCCTCATCCCCTCTATTTCAGCCCTGTTTCTAAAGTGCTGATTCTGGGTCCTTAGCTTTAAAAAAAAGATTTAGAGATTTGGGTACGGAGGAAAAGAGAGAGTACATTTTGCATGATAGGAGACATTTAAAGTATATTTTTCTAAAGATAATCAATTTATCTCTGTCATATGTTCCTAATGTGGATAATTGTTGGCAATGATGGGGTTAAAACTTTAACAATGAAAGATGTTATGTTGTTGAATGAAAGGAGAATATCTGCCCTATTTCTGGCATCTAAACAAAAATAGCTTAGAAATGTTAATACGACGCTGTAGCAGCTGTTAGCACTTTTAGACATCTGTGCCTTTTTAATATATAACATTTGGCAGGACCAATTAAGCTGAAATTAAGAAGAAAAAACATATTTCTATTCAATAGAAGTACACAAGACAAACCAAAAACACAGCCAGCATATATGATTTTGACTTTCTCTTCTTTGATTTTGTGTTTTTTCAGGTACAATCGCCTACCTGTTCTTCACCAACCGTCATGAAGTCAGAAAGATGACGTTGGATAAGAGTGAGTACACCAGAGTGATCCCCCGTCTGAAGAGCGCTGTGGCTCTGGACATGAACATGGCCACCAAAGACATCTACTGGTCCGACATCTCCCAGAAGAAGATCTACAGGTGAGCATCAGAATGAAGTAGAATCATTACATACAGTCAGAGATGGTACAAGTACACACATCCTTTACTCAAGTAGAAGTACAGATACTCGTGTTTAAAAATACTCTGGTGAAAGTAGAAGTACTGACTAAAGTTCTTTCCTCAAGTAAAAGTAACGAGGCTTTGAAATGTACTTCAGTAAAAAGTACCCATAACTAGCAGCTGCTTTAAAGAGTACCTGACCTCCCTTTATATTAATAGAACAATAATGTCATTGTTAGCTAATGAATGTTTCCATGCTGAACAACGGCAACATGGCAACGTTTCCATTGGTCCCTCTTCTTTAGAGAAGACCAGGAAATGATGGATACACGGATCGTGTTCAAATCAATAGGCACGCAATGACTCTAAAGAATAATGATCACGCATCAAACACACATTCAGACTAAAGGAACCAGCTGTTTGGAAAATGAGAGAAAGTAGAAAGTACAGGTATGTGACTTTCAACATGTAAGAAGTAGAAAGTACAGGTATTTGAGTTCAACATGTAAGAAGTAGAAAGTACAGGTATTTGAGTTCAACATGTAAGAAGTAGAAAGTACAGGTATTTGTGTTCAACATGTAAGAAGTAGAAAGTACAGGTATTTGTGTTCAACATGTAAGAAGTAGAAAGTACAGGTATTTGTGTTCAACATGTAAGAAGTAGAAAGTACAGGTATTTGTGTTCAACATGTAAGAAGTAGAAAGTACAGGTATTTGGGTTCAACATGTAAGAAGTAGAAAGTACAGGTATTTGAGTTCAACATGTAAGAAGTAGAAAGTACAGGTATTTGGGTTCAACATGTAAGAAAGTAGAAAGTACAGGTATTTGTGTTCAACATGTAAGAAGTAGAAAGTACAGGTATTTGGGTTCAACATGTAAGAAGTAGAAAGTACAGGTATTTGGGTTCAACATGTAAGAAGTAGAAAGTACAGGTATTTGTGTTCAACATGTAAGAAGTAGAAAGTACAGGTATTTGTGTTCAACATGTAAGAAGTAGAAAGTTCAGGTATTTGGGTTCAACATGTAAGAAGTAGAAAGTACAGGTATTTGTGTTCAACATGGAAGAAGTAGAAAGTACAGGTATTTCAGTTCAACATGTAAGAAGTAGAAAGTACAGGTATTTGGGTTCAACATGTAAGAAGTAGAAAGTACAGGTATTTGAGTTCAACATGTAAGAAGTAGAAAGTACAGGTATTTGTGTTCAACACGTAAGAAGTAGAAAGTACAGGTATTTGAGTTCAACATGTGAGAAGTAGAAAGTACAGGTATTTGTGTTCAACATGTAAGAAGTAGAAAGTACAGGTATTTGAGTTCAACATGTGAGAAGTAGAAAGTACAGGTATTTGTGTTCAACATGTAAGAAGTAGAAGTACAGGTATTTGAGTTCAACATGTGAGAAGTAGAAAGTACAGGTATTTGTGTTCAACATGTAAGAAGTAGAAAGTACAGGTATTTGTGTTCAACATGTAAGAAGTAGAAAGTACAGGTATTTGGGTTCAACATGTAAGAAGTAGAAAGTACAGGTATTTGGGTTCAACATGTAAGAAGTAGAAAGTACAGGTATTTGTGTTCAACATGTAAGAAGTAGAAAGTACAGGTATTTGTGTTCAACATGTAAGAAGTAGAAAGTTCAGGTATTTGGGTTCAACATGTAAGAAGTAGAAAGTACAGGTATTTGTGTTCAACATGTAAGAAGTCAAAATGGAAAGTCGTCAGAAGAATAAGTAGTGGAGTAAAGTACTGATACCAGAAACATTTACTTAAGTACAGTAACGAAGTATTTGTACTCCACTACTTCCCACCTCTGCATTTAGTGTGTTTTCTTTACGCCTGCTTGACACCAGCTCTTTATTTTGTATCCAGAGCTCCGATGGACTCGGCTGAAAACTCGGCTGAACACAGCGTAGTGGTCGGCAGAGACATGGACGCACCTGAAGGCATCGCGTTCGACTGGATCCACGGGAACCTGTACTGGACCGACAGCATCCGAAGTACCATCTCCGTGGTTACCGCTGATGGCAGCCGCCGAAAAACTCTCTTCCGTCGAGATCTATCCAAACCGCGTGCCATTGTGGTCGACCCCCACAGAAAGTAAGTCCAACGATACTAAGAAAAGTGGTTAAATCCAATGTGATCGTACAGAAAAACGCATAACGTCTTATCACCCAGCATGACGTTTACGTGGTAATAATAAATGTTTAGGCTGAAGGAAAGACAACCTCAGGGTTTGGGTTTCAACAAGTATTTTTGTAACATAATTTATCTTACATTCGGAATAAAAAGAAATGGCTTAATCTAGAAAATGTGTTATATGACAATCACGAAAACACTTAAGGCAAAAAAAACTACTGGTAAGTGTTTGTTTGAAATGGCTATATTGATCATTGGTTTAATCTAAATCTATGTATGACTTGTGGATTCTGTCCAGTTGGCGTCTTTATTGAATATTATCTTGATGTATTTTGTATGTATTGGGCTGATAGAATAAATACAATAGAAATAATTGAAGGTTAAGGGAAGAAAAAAATCGATGTTTCGGGTTAAAAACAGCACATAACTTCACATTGGACTCGAACAGCCGAGTCATCAAACCATCTCGACCAACATGAGGTTAAATTAAAACGTATTTCTGTTGATTTCATGTGTGCACTACGACAAAGGATCCTCATTGACTTTATATTGGCAATCAATTATCATTATTACTTATTTATTGTTTTATTGAGTGATTACAGGGCAGGCGAGGACAAGTACAGGGTCAGAAAGAATTTACACAGTATTTTGAATAGCCATGATACCTTACATTTTGTTTAAATAATAATAGCTATGATAATGTATTTATTTCTTGATTTTCATTGGCATTGTCTGGCAAATAGTTTTAGCATCTGCAGCTAAATTGATATTTTTAAAATATTTTTTAATGTTATTATAGTTTTCTTAAAATAGTTTTCTCTCTCTGTGTCTCTTCTGATTCTGATATAATGCGATGTTACGAGGTTTAAAGGACATTTCAGGTGTTTCTGTGAGATCATGCTCCCTAAATCCTTCCAAGACATTTATTTTAACCACATATCTGTGTCCTCCCAGCTTCCTTTACTGGACCGACTGGGGGAGTCCCGCTAAGATCGAGAAAGGAGGAGGTTTTAAACGGAGGAGACCGAACCGCTCTGGTCACCGACAACATCGAGTGGCCAAATGGGATCACAATCGGTAAGATCTAGTGTTCATGTCTCTCAGGTTTCCACTAGCTTATCCACATGCATACCAGGGATCTGACCTATTGACAGAGGTGGGAAGTAGTGGAGTACAAATACTTCGTTACTGTACTTAAAGGTGGGGTAGGTAAGTTTGAGAAGCCGGCTCGAGATACACTTGTTGTTATATTCCATGGAATGCTCTTAACATCCCGATAGCAATGAATATCTGAAGTGCTTTGACAAAAAATTCATCTGTGGAAGCCGTGGCGCTGTAAAAAGCACGACCAATCATCTGAGCCGGCTAAAGTAACTGGATGGCCTACCTGCCTGTCAGCCTTCCATCTGGGCACAAACTTATCTCGTGCCCTCATTGGTCATGTGCGCGTTCGTGTGTGTTGGAGGAGGGGCTCTGTGAGGAAGTAGCAGATTTGTTCCGGCTGTGTATTTTCAAATTCTAGCTGGTTTCTCCAAAATTACCTACCCCACCTTTAAGTACATGTTTCTGGTATCAGTACTTTACTCCACTACTTATTTTTCTGACGACTTTTTACTTTGACTTCTTACATTTTGAACCCAAATACCTGTACTTTCTACTTCTTACATGTTGAACACAAATACCTGTACTTTCTACTTCTTACATGTTGAACACAAATACCTGTACTTTCTACTTCTTACATGTTGAACACAAATACCTGTACTTTCTACTTCTTACATGTTGAACTCAAATACCTGTACTTTCTACTTCTTACATGTTGAACCCAAATACCTGTACTTTCTACTTCTTACATGTTGAACTCAAATACCTGTACTTTCTACTTCTTACATGTTGAACCCAAATACCTGTACTTTCTTACTTCTTACATGTTGAACTCAATACCTGTACTTTCTACTTCTTACATGTTGAACCCAAATACCTGTACTTTCTACTTCTTACATGTTGAACTCAAATACCTGTACTTTCTACTTCTTACATGTTGAACCCAAATACCTGTACTTTCTACTTCTCTCATGTTGAACTCAAATACCTGTACTTTCTACTTCTTACATGTTGAACCCAAATACCTGTACTTTCTACTTCTTACATGTTGAACTCAAATACCTGTACTTTCTACTTCTTACATGTTGAACCCAAATACCTGTACTTTCTACTTCTTACATGTTGAACTCAAATACCTGTACTTTCTACTTCTTACATGTTGAACCCAAATACCTGTACTTTCTACTTCTTACATGTTGAACCCAAATACCTGTACTTTCTACTTCTTACATGTTGAACTCAAATACCTGTACTTTCTACTTCTTACATGTTGAACCCAAATACCTGTACTTTCTACTTCTTACATGTTGAACTCAAATACCTGTACTTTCTACTTCTTACATGTTGAACTCAAATACCTGTACTTTCTACTTCTTACATGTTGAACTCAAATACCTGTACTTTCTACTTCTTACATGTTGAACTCAAATACCTGTACTTTCTACTTCTTACATGTGAACTCAAATACCTGTACTTTCTACTTCTTACATGTTGAACTCAAATACCTGTACTAGTCTGAATGTGTGTTTGATGCGTGGATCATTATTCTTTAGAGTCATTGCGTGCCTATTGATTTGAACACGATCCGTGTATCCATCATTTCCTGGTCTTCTCTAAAGAAGAGGGACCAATGGAAACGTTGTCATGTTGCCGTTGTTCAGCATGGAAACATTCATTAGCTAACAATGACATTATTGTTCTATTAATATAAAGGGAGGTCAGGTACTCTTTAAAGCAGCTGCTAGTTATGGGTACTTTTTACTGAAGTACATTTCAAAGCCTCTTTACTTTCACTCGAGTAAAGAAGTTTAGTCAGTACTTCTACTTTCACCAGAGTATTTTTAAACACAAGTATCTGTACTTCTACTTCAGTAAAGGATATGTGTACTTTTGCCATCTCTGACCTATCGACCCCCCTCTCCTCCTCAGACCTGTTGAACCAGCGGCTGTACTGGGTGGACTCCAAGCTGCACACCCTCTCCAGCATCGATGTGCAGGGCGGTGGTCGACGCACCATCATCCTGGACGAACACAAGCTGGCTCACCCTCTGGGCCTCACTGTGTTTGAGGTGGGTGTTTACCTCCTGATAAACTCTGTTACCCATAAACCCAGAGCTGTGAAATACCACATGGCCCCTTCACTGCACGTGTAAACAGTCGGGGCCGGGTTGGACCTTATTTTAATGAGTTTAACCGCTCCACAGTTAATTTAGGTTTCCTCCTCGGTCTTGTATCTCAGTATCCAGATGTTAAAAATGAGGTACTTTCATTGCATGCATCCCCAGTATTGGCATAGTAGCGTTGTCAAAGCGTTAAGGCCATATCACCTGTTGTAAATTATATAATATAGCACCTTATAACTTGTTGTGTAGGGATGACACTTGTTAGCGCCGCCATTTTAGACACACATAAGGTTCAGACATTCGCCAGTGGGGTATTTATTATTCTTTCTTAAATACTTACATCATTGTTTAATGCTAAATTGTTTTTATTATCCTTATATATTTCTTTTTTTACCTACTTTGCAACTTATTTTTAGATAGTTTATGTTCGCACCACCAGATACCAAAGCAAATTCCTTGTATGTGTACCTGGCAATAAACTTGATTCTGATTCCTCACTGCTGTGTCCCCAGTCACTTTAATACTTGTTTCTTTTGTCTCTGCTTCCAGGAAAGAGTGTATTGGACCGACGTCAGTAACAATGCCATCTTCAGTGCCAACAGGCTGACGGGGGAGAACATCACAGCCGTGGCAGAGCACCTCTCATCCCAGAAGACATTATCCTCTTCCATAACCTCAAACAGCCCGCTGGTGAGAGACACCTCTGGTCATAAAGGGCTTTTAGTTTGAATAACAAATCAGTAGCGACGTTTTTTTATGAAACTAATTAAAAAGTAGGAAATGTTCCCATTTTTTTCCTCAAGCCTTTGTGTTAAGGCATTGCAGAAAAAACTGTGTAAATAGACTCTGAAAGTTTCAGGAACAAAGATTCTCTCTCTTTTTGATCCATTTCTATAAAAACCTGTCTGAAAATGAGCTGATCAGATTTTGGCCACTTTATGATGTCATTACGATGTTTTGTCTTGTGTAACCATTAGCCAATCAGCAACCAAGGTAACCCCCCCCTTATCACCTGAATCTCCTCCTAGAGCTCCATTGAGTTCTTTGTAACCAAATGTCTCTCAGAGGGGCGTGGGGAGGGGCTCCTTATTTTCATCTAAAGTAACAGACAGAGAATCAGCACTTTGGAAACAGGGCTGAAACAGAGGGGATTATGGGTAATGCTGCAATGATCTGTTTGGAGTTTCAGCCAATCAGAGACAGGCTCTGGATAAATCTGAGAGCTGTGATGTATTGATGAAAAACAGTATAATAGGGGACCTTTAAAATTGTACCAGCTTTAATGATAACTGTGAAAGTGTCTTCAATACATATGAAGCTAAACAAAATGTGGCCCTCTTTTTCTTGCAGGCAGGGATTGGTGCCTGGTCTCCGGCTGTGAATACTTGTGCCTGGCAGCTCCTCAAGTGGGCCGACACCCCCCCAAATACACATGTGTGTGTTCAGATAACATGATGCTAGCCCGGGATATGAGGTCATGCGTACCTGGTATGTGAATATACTGCACTATTATATCAAGAAAACTGAAAATATCTTTGTTAGAAAATCTCACTGGTCCCCGGCTTGATCTTCAATCTCAGGATCCATGTATCTGTGATCCTCTCCAGAATGGAAGTAGTCATCACATACAGAGCATCAAGTAGTTCCTGAACAGTGTCCTTCACATGCTGATATCCAAGAGAGGGAGTTACACAGTCACAAGATGGAGGAATAGAAAGCAGTATTCAATGTTTACTTCAGATTAGCTCCACGTCAGAAATGAGCATGCTTGATGTCTATCTCCATAGAGGCTGAATCATCATGTTAATCACATAGCTATCATATGCCTCAAACAGTCCTGATGCTCTTCTAGGTAATCACACATCCTGTCATGTTCACAGCTACAGTTGGGATACCTTTGCTAGCATGTTACTCTCACATTGGAAGTGTACATTCAGGATTTTCCCAACAATCTTCTAATTAGAATTGTGTATTTAGTTTTTTGACTCTCATTCCTTGTTCTTTAGCCGTGCCCACGCCTGAAGCTCCTGTGCAGCCTCAGGTTCCAGCTACAGACCCTCCTCGCCGCCCTCCAGTTCCAGCCAGCACCACACCCAAGACCCTGGTCCAAACCACCCCAATACCCCAAATCCGTACCACCCCTAAACCCCCAGTCCGTACCACCCCAGTTCCCATAATCACCACCACTGCAGCCAGGCCAGCACCACGCACCACCATCAAACCTCCAGTAAAGACCACCACCCCAGAACCAAAGATCCCGTCACCCAGGCCGGTGAATCCTAAAATCCCCCAGACCACCACAGGGGCTCCAGTCACATCTCAAGGTAGGTACCATAACAGTGGCATTTGTGAAATGTTCAGAGGTCAAATTGTGTAACCACTTTGTTGGAGCCATTTTCCTTTCATCATTATGGTTTAAATGTTTGTTTTATTAATATAAGACTTTAGAGTAAACTCTTAACTATTTTTTGTTTTGAGTCACACTACGCTTTAAAATATGTTAATTTAAGTCTCACTTATTTGCTGTCTGGTATGAGGTGCATGTCAGCTGATTGTGATTCGACAGGAAGCGGTATAGTCTTTTGACCGTGTTCTTTTTGATACGGAGAACTTTTAGTTACTTTGAAGCATTGACCATTTTTACATAGTTTGTTTTGTTTGAGTGCCTTGTCCTTAGCTTGGGTTCAGTGTTACCGTTAGCCCGAATTTAGCCCGACTTTAGCTGGACGGGAAAACCGCTGAGGTCCGACAAATGTAGAACTCTTTGGTCACAATGTTTGTTGAAAATAATAAGCTTAGTTTTGAATTGTATTTTAATGCCTTGATGAAGTCACTCTTCATGTAGCCTTCCTATCTGTTGTTTTTAAGCTAAATGATAAACATGGATGACCGCAATTCCTCCCATTTGTCCGGGACATTGAAATCCACGCGGACATGTTTACAAAAATGTCTTGTGTGAAGTGCTGGTCAGCTCCATGTACCATTAACTTCCTATCTTTTTTCAGATAATCAACATGAATTTGCCACTGCTGTACCCAACACTGCCTCCACCACGCCGATAGCTCTGAATATAGCATTACCTCTGGGTGAGTTGCTTTGGAAGCTTCTGCAAAGGTGGCTCCTTCACAGAAACTACAAAATACTTTAAGTAATAACGCTTCTAATGTCTAATCTTTCTCCCAATGTCTGCCTCTTGTAGTGATCATTTGTCTGGTGGCTATTGGTGGCGTGCTACTATGGAGGAACTACAGGCTGAAAAACACCAACACAATCCACTTTGACAACCCCGTTTACCAGAAAACCACCGAGGACCAAGTGCATATTTGGAGGAGCAACAGCATTGATGGTTACTCCTACCCAAAAGTAAGTCTAGTTCGTCAATCTATATTACATTCTGGGTGAACTTAGTACATTGAGTTTGCTAAGTCTGACATCTTGTTTATTTGTTGTCATATCAGAAACAAGTCGTGAGCTTGGATGAAGAAGAGGACAATCCAGTCTTCACAGAAAACTGAAAAATGTCATGCAGAGTGGAAAGAAGAGCCTTGATGATAAGCTACCTTGGACGTCCTTGTGTATTTTTTACCTGACATGGCACAAAGATATGGAATTTAAAGCCAATCTTGAAACCACTATATCCTCACAAACGCTCTAATGGCGCATTTCCACTACAGCGCGGAGCTCGCTTTAAGCGTGCAGTGCCTGTTTTTGGTTGCGTTTCCACTTGGTGTAGTTCCGGCTAGTGGGTACTATTTCAAAGTTTTTCTGGCCCCATAAAATCGAGGATCTTAGCAGGTCAACAACCAGGCTGAGTCGGGCTGAGTATGCTAAACTAGAGAGAGAATCGCTGGCAAGGGGGCTACAACTACAACATGATGAACATATTTGACCGTGATTTAATTGTAATACACGTTTCAAAATGATGCCGAAGTAACAACATACTGATACCGGTTAGTAAAAACCATGAATTAATGCTTTGAGAAGTGTGCAGACAGACGGCAGGCGAAAACCTTTTAAAATGCGTGTTTTCTGAATGGAGATCGGCTAAGCTAACGCAGTATATGCTCCGACCGTCCACACTCACAACAACGGCCTACAGACATAAATAAACCAGCGACGGTACTCGCCATGACACAGACAGTCTGTGGTTTGTACTTGTTTAACTTGTGTCTAGTTTCTGAACAGATATGAGGAGCTGTGAGCTCTGAGGGCTAACCGCTAACGGCTGATGTTGTTTTTCTGGGGTTCTCATTGAAGATGACGTCACGGCTCCGCCTACACTGCGTTACTATAGTTACTGCCCCAGTTCCTAAACTGTAATGGAAATGCAGCATAAAGTGAGCCAGTCCTAACAAGGCCTAACCGAGCGAGGCCCTGTAGTGGAAATGCGCCATAAGTGCCAAAAAAACCGGGTGAAACTTATTTTGAGGTTGCACATTTTTTACAAGGTTGACAATCCATTGCTGACACTATGATACCAAATCAACATATTGTGAATCTCTCAGTCTAAATACAGTTTTTTACTCAGTTTCCAAACTGGGATGCTTATGATATAACTGAAAAACGGTGTCGCTAAAAGCCACATCGTGTCTTGTTTTGAGCTCAAAATATGCAACTAAGGAATTCCCTCTAATGTGTTTAAGGTACAATTCACACATAAGTGTTAAAAATATCTGTGTGTATCACTTTTGTTACTTCATGGACATTTATCAAAGCTCATTTCATTTGTTTGGCCAGTTTCATGCCTTTATGGTAAATATAAGGCTAGCACAAGCAGACTGTTAGCTTAGCTTAGCTCAAAGACTTAAAGCAAAGGGAAAGAGCTAGCCTGGTGGGAATTGGATAGATGCTTATTGTACAGAATAAATAATCGAGATATATGTTATATTTAGCTTTTATAGATTGGGTTTTGAGGGTTTTATTACCACAGCAAGGCTAGTTCCCAGTCTTTGTGCTAAGCTAAGCTAACCAACAGCATCCACATGTGAGTGGTATCAATCTTCTCGTCTGACTCTCGACTAGAAAGCAAATGAGTGTGTTTCCCAAAATATTGAACTGTTAGTTTTATTATGAAGCTGGAACTAGGAGGCGATTAAGTCACCTGTAAGACATGTCGCTTTTGTGTTTTTGTTTTCTGTACGGAACAACAAAAGAGAAAAATAACATGCATTATTATTAGGATTAGGTGGTTTTTGCTACTATTGAACAAAGCCATGCTAACCCCTTTTCAGTCTCTATGCTAGGCTAAGTTAAGCTAATCGCCTTATGGCTCCAGCTCCATACTTAACGGAAAGACAATCTTCTTCTCTTCTCATCTAACTGTCTTCCAAGAAGGCGTGTATATTTTCCTCTATGGTCATTGGACACAAGAACAAATCTGAAAAAACACTAGAGTGGGTTTTAAGGTGAGGTACATAATAGGAAGAATTCCACAAGTGCCAGTTTAACCAGTGTGACCTCAATAAGTCCCAATTATGTATCGTGTGTTGTTATGATTTAGTCGTTGCCTCAGTAGAGGAGCAACAACAACCATAATTAATAATAATAATAATAATTCCTTACATTTATTATAGCGCTTTTCCAGATGCTCAAAGCGCTTTACAAATACACATTACACATATCATACATGCAATGGTCACCATCCAAAGGGACCTAAAGACACTGCTGGAGTGAACCTCAAAGAGGAGCACTGTGCCTTGATTTATGCCTCCGCGACGTCTTCAAATGTCGACATATGGTCAAAACAAAATGATCTTCACCAGCTGCCTTATGTTCCAGAGTTTCTCAGAACCGTTTTCAGCTTCTGATTTGTGATGAGCTCCTTCCTCATGTGCCTCTGGGGAGGATCGTTGCATAACGTAGAGACTGTAAGACTTTGATAAATCCACGTGTTACCAATGGGGCCAAAGCTAACACTCTTTACCATGACACGTGTATATTTATATCCTCCCTCTGGACCTGAACTTCACCTTTCCTTGAACATTCCTGATAAAAACAAGCCATGAGATGGTGTTAAAAACATCCTCACCAGGTGTTTGAGCCCCTTTGTTTGTATCACTGACAAATGTGTGCATTTTTTAATGAAATAATATGCTCACATGTTCATATTGGTGCTATTGACCTGTATGATATGTATGAAATCAATGTGTTTACAGTGACTTGTGTGAGCGATGTGGCGGTTTAACATACAGATGTTTTCGGGATGTGGTTTAATGACCATTGTGAGGCCTTAAGGTAGAAAACATGTGCTGATGAACTTATTGTCATTTTACATCCACTGACTATCAGCGAGGATTAAGCATGTACATATAATGTTCATAAATGTAAATATTTGTTCTTTATTTTTTTGGTCAGTGTTTTACATTTTGTTGTAAACTTTAAACCTTTTCTGTACATAAATAAATGCTTCTATTTATTATAGAATCACTACGGTCTGGATTTATTTATTGAAGACTGCTCTTAGCTAACTTTCATTGTTATTGTAAGCTAACCATTGAAACTGTTATACTTGAATTTTAGCTAACTGTTTATCTACTGGCTATTTGTTACTTTGGCTATCTTCTTTAATGGTTTATGTGTTGCTTTTAGCTAGCTTTAGATTACTAGAACAACTGTTTATTTGTTAGCCATAAACAGTGCAGATTCTAGAGTCTGTGGGGGCCCCTCGAACCAGCTTTTCGTCACCACGCACAGCCGACAATTTGTTATTACATTGCTTTTAAAATCGTTCTGTGTGACACGAAAAAAATGGCAAAATCGTGTAGGTGAACACGAATCAATAGATTAATTTCGTGACTATAACACGAAATGCCGTGAGACTGTGTTTGATGTATAGGCTATGTTTTAATCAAATCACAATAGCTTTACCCCAGCCTTCCACCAAAATACCCCCTTGGGAATCACTGCTCCAAATATTATGACGTGTGTAACGTCCGAGGTGTTAAGGCTTCAATGATACTTCTGTGTAACAAAAACTCAGGAACTTAGTACTTTTTGGAGCGTCCCAGATAGCACCTCCGTTTATTATTGTCGAGTCACACCACGTTCCCCTTCACCACACCACACCAGGACAGACTGCGCATGCTCACAACACATGACCTCTCAACCCAATGCTTACACGTGTAAGAATTTAGTAGAACTAATGTTAAGTGAAAAAGAATGTTCTCAAGCATTTGTATATTATCGGACCTTTTTTACTTTATTACTACTTGTTATTGTCGAGGCTGGAGAGCAGAGTAGATAAGACGTCAAGTGCAGAAAACGGTTTCTTTAAATCAAAGTGTTTTTTTGTAGGAAAATACACAGACAGATCGTGACATAACTCATACACAGAGCCGGCCCGACCCATTAAGCGACATAAGCGACCGCTTGGGCCCCGCAGCCACTAAGGGGCCCCCTAGCAAAAAAATGTTGTTTTACATTTTTTTAATTTTTAATTTAAAAGAAAAAATCTCAGTACACCGTCGCTGTGATAAGTATGTTTAATTAATTGTGTTAATATGTCTAGATTGCCTACTCTCAAAGTCATGTATTATATTGAGTCAATAATATAATACATTAACCGTGCTTTACCTGAACCTCATCATGACAAAAGAGAGGACGGCATGGATTGTAATTTCCCGTGTTCAGTGAATACAACAGAGGCAAGACAGCAGACCAACCAGAGAGTTGAATGGAAATAAAAAGCTGTCTTATTGGCTGACAGGTACCTATCCTGTGAGCTGTAACAATGTTTAAAATAAACTGTCAGTCGGACTCAGAGTTTTTGAAGATGGACATAAGAAAACATTTTCTTAAAAAAGACGACAATTCTCAAATGGTGGCTCACACAACAACCCCAGAGCCACCACTTGAGGCAGGTAAACAATGTATGTAAATGTCAGTAAACTTCCAAGTTATGCAAACATGTAAGCAAAGCATAAATTACAGCTACGTCGATGTTACTTTGAATCGCGGGGGTAAGCTAAACCGTTAGCAAAAAGCTATAGCTAGCCAGATATATTAAATAAACACTTTGTCATACAATCTAAATGTAATGTTTTTTAGCGTTACCTGGTGATTTCAAAGAAAGCTCTCTGGGAAATGTTGACTTACTGTTCGACATGAAGCTAGAAGCTACCTTACAGTACACAGTTGATCCGGAGTCCTGTCAGTTAAAGTGTTTCATAGTTAGCTTAGCTAAGCATCAACCTAGCACTGAAATATATGGATGTTATGTGACAGTATTTCTGAGAAAAAGTCAGCTGAAATGGTGGCATGCCACTGCTTTACGTGTCAACAGCATGTTTGAACGTATTTGCAGCAGTACATGTGGCAGTTTGGCCACTGACGTTGCCATAACAACACCTGAATTTAAATGTGCAACCTCTTTTTGTGACAGATTTTTGCAAGAAATTATAATTCTTCTGAATGATATTCATATTGACAGCTAGTTTCTATGTGAACATTATGAGATGGACAGCCAGAGAGAATAAATGAAAAACAGTTATGAAATACTATATGACAAAACAAGAATACAGTTTAAGTGATTTGTAAAATATCCATAAAGAAAAATCTGTTTACAGTTCTGTTTCATATGGGTGTTGAGAGATGTATCCATAGATCTCTTAAGTTTGCTCTCAAAGTGCACCAGATTGATGCTTTTAACTTCAATATTTAAAAAAAATCTTCCCCCCCTAGAGGAGGTTAGGTCCACAGTGTTTACATGCTTATTTATACAATATGTGTGCTTATGCTAACATCATAAGACAACAGTTGGTTCCATGTTGTGTGTAGTGAGAACGTGTGTGTAGTGAGAACACGCGAGGGGGGGCCCCAAGCCAAAGCTCGCTTAGGGCACCAAAAACTCTAGGGCCGGCCCTGCTCATACAGATCTTATGTATGTGGCGGAGACTTTCTTTGAACAACGTACAGCAGCATGTTCACTGTTTTCATTTAGCAGCTCTGGTATGCACACAAGTTAGGGGGCTGGTTTTTCTCTCTCCCCCTGTTTTTTTTTAAAAAGAGGGGACGGATGTGTTTTTGGGAAATCGAGACCTCCTTCCTAGAAAGTCAGGTCGTCACAGGGTAAGGCGAAACCACTCGGTTTCTTAGAAATTCTCTCCCACACAAGAAAACACGACGAGGGGGAACGTGACTCTGTTGTTGTGTTCATTTGCTCTTAACATTTAAATATATAACCATGGGTCTTCTATAAAGATAATAACTTCTGAACATAGTCGGAGTACATTAGGACGTACTCCTCACAATTTGGTTGATTTGCTTTTTACTTGCCATAGCAGTATTTTCTTAACACTAATAAACATAGTCTTTGCGCACAAATGGGTAAATGTACTTTCAAACACTTACTGAGTTTTAAGTTATTATCTGGGCAGGTCATTTAAAGTCAGAATACTTTGACATTTGTTTTGCCATAGCTTTAATGAATACCGTGGTTATGTTTCCTCTAATCCATAGTAGCTATAGAAATAAAGCCACAATAACAGCCATCCGAGGAAAGAGGAAAGGCAAACAGCTTTTGACCCTGCTGTCAACCCTCAAACAGGCAGGCCACGTGCAAAGCTCAAGGCCGAGAAGAGTGGAAGTGTGTAGCTGATTACACAAGTCAGGTATGCACGTATGTAGACATGTGGGGAAACATGCATGTACAAGGAGGTCATGCATGATCTCACTGTATCCATCCATGGACTTATCAGAAGTACTCTTTACTTAAAGAGGACATATTATAATCATTTCCAGGTGTATATCAGTATGTAGTGTCTCTACTTTAAAGAGTTCTCTCCTGCTGATGTTCAGCTGTATATCAGTATGTAGTATCTCTACTTTAAAGAGTTCTCTCCTGCTGATGTTCAGGTGTATATCAGTATGTAGTGTCTCTACTTTAAAGAGTCCTCTCCTGCTGATGTTCAGGTGTATATCAGTATGTAGTGTCTCTACTTTAAAGAGTTCTCTCCTGCTGATGTTCAGGTGTATATCAGTATGTAGTGTCTCTACTTTAAAGAGTCCTCTCCTGCTGATGTTCAGGTGTATATCAGTATGTAGTGTCTCTACTTTAAAGAGTCCTCTCCTGCTGATGTTCAGGTGTATATCAGTATGTAGTGTCTCTACTTTAAAGAGTCCTCTCCTGCTGATGTTCAGGTGTATATCAGTATGTAGTGTCTCTACTTTAAAGAGTTCTCTCCTGCTGATGTTCAGGTGTATATCAGTATGTAGTGTCTCTACTTTAAAGAGTCCTCTCCTGCTGATGTTCAGGTGTATATCAGTATGTAGTGTCTCTACTTTAAAGAGTCCTCTCCTACTGATGTTCAGGTGTATATCAGTATGTAGTGTCTCTACTTTAAAGAGTCCTCTCCTGCTGATGTTCAGGTGTATATCAGTATGTAGTGTCTCTACTTTAAAGAGTCCTCTCCTGCTGATGTTCAGTGTGTATATCAGTATGTAGTGTCTCTACTTTAAAGAGTCCTCTCCTGCTGATGTTCAGGTGTATATCAGTATGTAGTGTCTCTACGTTAAAGAGTCCTCTCCTGCTGATGTTCAGGTGTATATCAGTATGTAGTGTCTCTACTTTAAAGAGTCCTCTCCTGCTGATGTTCAGGTGTATATCAGTATGTAGTGTCTCTACTTTAAAGAGTCCTCTCCTGCTGATGTTTAGGTGTATATCAGTATGTAGTGTCTCTACTTTAAAGAGTCCTCTCCTGCTGATGTTCAGTGTGTGGGAGAGGAACTCCCTGGAGGGAACACAGTGAAAGCAGTAATGGAGATGTTTGTGGTACAACTTGTTTTTTGTTGAGAAACACATCTGTTTTTCAAAGAAAAGTTTCATCTGATCCCTCGACGCCATTAATCATTCATTTATCCACAAAGGTCACGTACGGCAGGCTGCAGCATTTCACTTGATTTATGATATAAATAACTGCTCGATTACAGCGTTTCCTCCTCACTGCCTGTGTTTATCATTTTTTATAGAAAGGCTTAACTTCACTGAGGACATTGTTTTCTGATTGCATCACATTATGTTAGCAGTTTCACAATTTATGCCAATGTGTTGTTTTACAATCATTTGAATATATTCTGATGAAATGTATCAGCAGGTTCCAAATAACTCTCACCAGATTCTGAATAAACAAAACCAACCAATCAGACGTCACTGACCTTTGCTCAGACTGTTTATGGAGATGGAGGTTAACCAATAGTGCTGCTAATGGTCATAGAGGACCTCTTAGCCTAACCCTCATCATCAGCATGAGAGGACTCTTTAAAGTAGAGACACTACATACTGATATACACCTGAACATCAGCAGGAGAGGACTCTTTAAAGTAGAGACACTACATACTGATATACACCTGAACATCAGCAGGAGAGGACTCTTTAAAGTAGAGACACTACATACTGATATACACCTGCACATCAGCAGGAGAGGACTCTTTAAAGTAGAGACACTACATACTGATATACACCTGAACATCAGCAGGAGAGGACTCTTTAAAGTAGAGACACTACATACTGATATACACCTGAACATCAGCAGGAGAGGACTCTTTAAAGTAGAGACACTACATACTGATATACACCTGAACATCAGCAGGAGAGGACTCTTTAAAGTAGAGACACTACATACTGATATACACCTGCACATCAGCAGGAGAGGACTCTTTAAAGTAGAGACACTACATACTGATATACACCTGAACATCAGCAGGAGAGGACTCTTTAAAGTAGAGACACTACATACTGATATACACCTGCACATCAGCAGGAGAGGACTCTTTAAAGTAGAGACACTACATACTGATATACACCTGAACATCAGCAGGAGAGGACTCTTTAAAGTAGAGACACTACATACTGATATACACCTGAACATCAGCAGGAGAGGACTCTTTAAAGTAGAGACACTACATACTGATATACACCTGAACATCAGCAGGAGAGGACTCTTTAAAGTAGAGACACTACATACTGATATACACCTGCACATCAGCAGGAGAGGACTCTTTAAAGTAGAGACACTACATACTGATATACACCTGAACATCAGCAGGAGAGGACTCTTTAAAGTAGAGACACTACATACTGATATACACCTGCACATCAGCAGGAGAGGACTCTTTAAAGTAGAGACACTACATACTGATATACACCTGAACATCAGCAGGAGAGGACTCTTTAAAGTAGAGACACTACATACTGATATACACCTGAACATCAGCAGGAGAGGACTCTTTAAAGTAGAGACACTACATACTGATATACACCTGAACATCAGCAGGAGAGGACTCTTTAAAGTAGAGACTCTACATACTGATATACACCTGAAAATTAAGTAACATTTTATATTTGTACCCTTCTGTTGTGTGCCAAGCATTTTGAGCTGCATCCTGTGTATAAAAAGTTCTTTAAAAATAAAGCTATATCATTATTTTTACAATGATGTAACTTCTAATGATCTAGTTATATGTTTCTGTTACAGGGGATGTTCTTCATATCTTGATCTAGATCTATGTTGTATCTGAGTCACTCAACTCAGGTTTACTCCTGATTGTGCACACTTTTCTGACGTTGTGTTGAGTGTAAACTGTCACACATCCTTGCCCCCTCTACTCTCCATGCATCGAGTAAACATCAAATAGTGAAGCCACAGTGTTCTGGACGATCCGTTATTAAACAAACACTCACTTTGTCACATAAAAATCACTTTTATTATTTACCCTTTGTGGGCTTTTTGGACAAATAGGTGACTAGCTGATAAACACTGGTTCACCATTGCTCTGTAGACATTAGACTTTTAATAAATGCAATAGAAATGTGTAACCCTGTTCAAAATAACAGCTTTTTATAGGGAAAAACAAAGGCTTTTTCCTGACAGTAAAAACGTTTTATTCATTATTTTATTGGTTGTAGTGCTTATTAAAAAAAATGCATGTTTATATCAATCAAATATTTCAATTGCTTCTTTGCAGGATATCTTTTAGTAGTAGTTTTTATAGACATAATTTAGGTAGTTTTTTTTTATTTTACACATTGAATTGTTTGGAAGAAATTGAATAAATAATAGAATAATATTTTCATTAAGAAAAATGTACGGAAAACCCCCCCGAAATAAGTATATATAAATTAATAAACAATAACAAATAATAAAAGTAAACAAGATTTAGTTTTTATAACAAAATAAAAATATATTTAATTGTACAAAAATACACACATAAAACACGCATACAAACATTATTTTAATCTCCATAATAAATGTGTTAAATATGTAAATACAATTTTTCCTCAACTTCTCCTCATCTTGTATGTATGCAGTTCCTAATGCATTAGTGCGCCCTCTGCTGGACACTGTACGTAATGCACGTGATCTATGACGTGTACAACGGAACCCACGTGGTTTACGTTTTCCACACACATGCAGCGGCTTGAAATGACTTCCGGTTACCAGCGTGTCGTTTTTATTCGAGCTTAAAGATAACTTCCTAATTAAAAAGAACCATGGCAGGCAGACCGGAGTTGAAGATAAACTCCGGGTTTGCTCAGAAGTATGACAAATACCGACAGAAAGAGGAGCTGCAGAGACGTGAGTGTTTCAGCTAACGATGCTAACTGACAAGCTAACAACACAACGTGGGGACCAGCAGCAGATTTATGTTGTTATTCTTATACACTGGGTTTGAACAGATATCTAATGTAGTACAATAAGCAATACTGCAGTGTTAACATACTCAGTTACAAGTAAAAGTCATTATTTAAAAGTGTACTCTAAAGTAAAAACTAAAAGCATCATCAATAATTAAAGTACTTTTATGTCCAATTTCAGACTCATATATATATTAATAATTGTATTATTATTAATAGTAATAATTGTCAATTAAATGCTGCTACTTTAACTTGTTATTAACCAATGCAAATATTGTTTTATTGAATATCATTTTACACCATGTTTAGCTACTGCAAATATTGTAATAATGACATGTGTACATAAGTATTGTTGTATAACCTATGTATAGTTCTTTAAATTGTGTTTCCAAATATATATAAATGTATTTTTAGTTGATATTTTATTGCATACTTAATTTCTTATTTTATATACATATTTAAATGTATTCTGAAATGAAGCTAATGTCACTAAAACCAAATTTCCCCTTGGGTTAAATAAAGTATTCTGATACGAATGAAATACTCTGCTGGGTAGGGTAATCTACAACAAGACACTTTATAACTAATATTGTAATCTATTAGCCTTTTAAAATGTTGTATTTGACCTTAATCTCCAAAGTAGTGGAGTAAAGATTACAATACTTGCCTGTATCATGTAGTGGGGTAAAAGTACAAAGTAACATCATGTGAGAAACATAATCATGTACCTCACATATTATAATAACTGTATAATAACTCTTGTGCAGTAAAGGACAAATATGGAGACCAAGCGGATGACTCTGAGTCTGAGTCCAGCTCTGATGACAGTGAAGTGGTGAGCCTCTCTTCTTCTCTTTCTAGACAACACACAGCTCAATAACTTGTTTATTTTAATGACTGACTTATATATCTGTCTTCCCAGGAGCTGGACCCTGCAGTGGAGCGGGACTTTTACAGAACATTGTCCCTGCTGAAGAAGAAAGACCCCAAAATCTACCAGGAAGACGCCACGTTCTACTCTGAGGGTAAAGTGTATTCGGTGTTGCGTTCAGGGTCTGTAGGACATCTTCATTCTAATGTGTTAATCTCTTAAATCTTTCAGGTCCATCCATCAGTGATGAGAAGGCTTCCACATCAAAGAAAGCCGTGAAGCCGATGTTCCTGAAGGACTACGAGCGTAAAGTCATACTGGAGAAGGAGGGGTGAGTCACAGACTGATATTTGATTAATAAAAACAGTGTTTGAACGCACCGCCATCACATCTTCAGAGAGATGCCGTATAGAGTGGTGCAGGGATGACGTATTTTCTCCGGTAAGTAAGCTGCTTGTTCCCTCGACAAAAAAGCGATGGGATTTCTCCATAGGATTTTGGAAAATAGCTCGAAATAAGGTCAGTGGAAAACGAACCTGTTTGATAAAGCACGTTTTGTTCAGCCGGATAATCTCCACATGTCTACCCTACTTTTATTATTTTCTAATCATAAATCTAATCGCCAGAAGCAAAATGCTAACGTTATGCTATAAACGAACTACAGGCGAGTTCAGCAGCACGACTTCAACGTCACGCCAACTTAAGATCCATATTCAAACACACAGATTCTAAATGGAACGAGTTGAAGCGTTTGTTTGAACACTTTGCAGGAGGCAGGAACTTGCTCTCAAGCAGAACAGAAACTAACTTAGAGGAGTGTTTACGTGTTCGGCGTAATGACGTACAACGGCCTCCACGACTTCTGTAGTCCTATTCAGCCACTTGGTAACAACCATCGTTTCTCAGACACGTCAACTCTTCAGAAATCACCAGCGGGGTCACTGCTGATGTGTTTAATGTCGTAGAACAAAACGTGATCCGTCTCTTCAATGTGTCTCAACCACAGACCTTAGTTCTAGATATTTTCCAAACTCTTATGGAGAGATCCCATTGGCTCTGAGACGAGGGAACAGGAAGGGATAAAATGCTAACTCACTTCCGGGTTTTAGGACGCGTCACTGCACCACTCTATTGGTCCAGGGGATAGTGTACCTCAAAATCCCTGTGTGTATCCTCATCAGTTTTTACTTACAATCTGTAGTTATAATCAAGTTATAAGGGCTGCAACGATTATTACAAGTACGCACAATAAATGATAAAGGCAAAATATATGTGCAAATATCTGAATGAAGTATTGTGGAACTGCAGAGATTATTCTACCTTTTTGGGACAGATCCTCTTAGAAAATCACACTATTATCATTTTAATAGACTTCAATGTTAACGTGAAAATTGTCTCCAATACTACGAACCATATTGGAATTGCAGTATCAGTCAAAATATCAGGCAATTTGTTTTTTGTCCCAAATCATGCAGCCCTTTTTCATATCATGAGATAAAAGCTACTCATTTATTTAGTTGCATTGTCTTTTTCCACATTTCTAATTTAACTACTGTCTCAAACTTGAAACACTGATCTTTGTATTTTTACTTTACAGCAAATACGAGGACGATGACGACAGTGATGATGAAGAGGCTGCAAGGAGAATGGACGAGGTATTAGACCCGGTTAACACATATTTCTGACCCCTCATTATTATGCAAATACACACCAATGATTTATTAACTCATTATTTTTCTTCCAAAGAGAGCGTCCTCTCCGAGCTACATCCAGGAGCAGCGGCAGCTCAGAGACAGGTGAGATCTAACAAATATATATATATGGATGGATTGATGGATGGAGAGATAGATGGATGGATGGATGGATAGATAGGTAGGTAGATAGATAGGTAGATAGATGGATGGATGGATGGATGGATGGATAGGTAGATAGATAGATAGATGGATGGATGGATGGATAGATGGATGGATAGGTAGATGGATGGATGGATGGATAGGTAGATAGATAGATGGATAGGTAGGTAGATAGATGGATGGATGGATAGATAGGTAGGTAGATAGATAGGTAGATAGATGGATGGATGGATGGATGGATGGATGGATAGGTAGATAGATAGATAGATGGATGGATGGATAGATAGGTAGGTAGATAGATAGGTAGATGGATGGATGGATGGATAGATAGGTAGGTAGATAGATAGGTAGATGGATGGATGGATGGATGGATAGGTAGATAGATAGATAGATGGATGGATGGATGGATGGATAGATGGATGGATAGGTAGATGGATGGATGGATGGATGGATGGATAGGTAGATAGATAGATGGATAGGTAGGTAGATAGATGGATGGATGGATAGGTAGATAGATAGATGGATGGATGGATGGATAGATGGATGGATGGATAGGTAGATGGATGGATGGATGGATAGGTAGATAGATGGATGGATGGATAGGTAGATAGATAGATAGATGGATGGATGGATGGATAGATGGATGGATGGATAGGTAGATGGATGGATGGATGGATAGGTAGATGGATGGATGGATGGATAGGTAGATAGATAGATGGATAGGTAGGTAGATAGATGGATGGATGGATAGGTAGATAGATAGATGGATGGATGGATGGATAGGTAGATAGATAGATGGATGGATGGATAGGTAGATAGATGGATGGATGGATGGATAGGTAGATAGGGAGATAGATGGATGGATGGATAGGTAGATAGATGGATGGATGGATGGATAGATAGATGGATGGATGGATGGATAGATGGATGGATGGATGGATAGGTAGATAGGGAGATAGATTGATGGATCGATAGGTAGATAGGGAGATAGATTGATGGATCGATAGGTAGATAGATAGATGGATGGATGGATGGATAGATAGATAGGGAGATAGATGGATGGATGGATAGGTAGATAGATGGATGGATGGATGGATAGATGGATGGATGGGTGGATAGGTAGATGGATGGGTGGATAGATGGATGGATAGATAGATGGATGGGTGGATAGGTAGGTAGGTAGATAGATAGATGGATGGATAGGTAGATAGATGGATGGATAGGTAGATAGATGGATGGATAGGTAGATAGATGGATGGGTGGATAGGTAGGTAGGTAGGTAGGTAGGTAGATAGATAGATGGATGGATAAATGGATGGATCCCAATTTGGGAAATGTTTGCGTTGCAGCAGCATTAAAAACAAGGCAATGTACATAAGAGAAATAAAGACACTAGAAATAAATATTCCAAAATATTTCTGAAATAAAATAGCATTAAAAAGTTAAAAAAAAATATATATATATATATATATATACATGTGGATAATAATGTGCTTTAAACAAAGACTACACAAAGGTTAACAGAGTGTAAAACCTCTCCTCAGCTTCCGTAAGTTCATCCAGGACAGCGATGAAGAGGAGGAGGTCCCCGAGAGAGAGGGAGGATCAGAGCTGCTGACCCGGAGGATCAAATCTCAGGACGAGGAGGTGAGGAAGTGCTTTACTTCAAATAGTGAAGAGAGACTTTGAAGGTCACATTCACACCAGCCTTGTTTAGTCCGGTTGAATCGAACTCTGGTGCGTTTAACCCTCGGTGCGGTTCGTTTGGGGTCGGTGTGAACGCAGTCCGAGACCTCTGAAGTGAACTAAACAACCTAAAACAGGTGGTTTCGGACCGCTTGCAAGTGAACTCTGGAGCGGATCATCACTGGTGTGAACACAGTCCAAAACACAGGAAGCGTAGTATTTACACTAGGGCTGTCCCGAATACCATTATTCGGCCTCCGGATATTCGGTAGTAATCAGCAGCGAATATTCGGCCCGCGCGGGGGGCGAATATTCGGTAATCAGCAGCGAAACGCTTCAACACGTGTATTCACGGCATTCATTTTGTTATTCTACAGTATTGTTGTTTTATAGTTATTTGTTAATGTAACCCAATTTGTGTTCTTTGAAATGGAAAAGGATATCGCATTGTGTTTGTTACTTTCGTTGCAGTTGTATATGTCTTAAGTGTAATTTTTCTTGGCTTCCTATTTATAGACATGCTTTTATTTTGAAGGAGAGTTAGCGCTGTTGACAGGAAGTTGTTGTTGCTATGGAAACAACGTGGCGGAGATTAACGGAGAAAAAACAATATCTACATATAAAGACGGAGAAAGTAAACGATAACGTTTATGGTTAAGAGTTAGCATCCCCCGAAGAGGCACAAGCTCTTACGTTGATATTGGAGATTTCAATAAATTCAATTTGAAGAAAAAAAACAGGGAAAAAACAAACAAAACAAATATCCGAATAGCAAAATTGAAACCCGGCTTACGAGGTTACTTGTATAGGTTGAGGTTGTTCTAGGCTTTTGCTTGGCGAGAATATTGCTCCACTGTCTCCGGTCCCCGAGATTCGGCTTGTGGCCACTAACGGTCATAATGTCTCTGCTTTGTTTCAAGAGCCGCATCAGAAAGCTTTTGAATGGTGCTACTTTTCCAGTTGGTCTACCTGCTCTTCACGTAGCTCTGCATGTCGTCGTTTAGGTGCTTTTTTTTTCTGGAGATAGGCACTCCTCAATCCACTCCTCCATCGTAAGACCCCCCCGGAGGTCGAAGTTAACCTTAAATGTTTCCATCTTAAGCTTTGTTAGTTAGTTAGTTTCGTAACGGACGTAATGTAACAGCTGTAACGGTTGTAGCTTTTTCTCAGACGCGGAGGGATACTGACTTGTGAAAAGTAACTACAATTCTACCCGTGGTATACGCTCATTATATCACGGCTAAGAACCAATCAGATTGCTTGATTTGACTTGTCCGTTTTATAAAATGTTTTTTATCGCACGTCGGCTGATTATATAATCATATGTGACGTCTGCTAGATTCTGTTGATATGCTCTCCAGGTTAACAGCAGCATGTCACCTGCCGATGCTCCATGGCGGAGGCTACGGTAGAAATTGCCGGGATTTGCGTTTTTACCCCCTTAATGTCTGACCAATGGTTGAACAGCATTTCCTTGCACATGACTTGTGTTTAAAGTTTATAGTCTGTGCCCGTGTGAACTAGGGCTGTACCCGAATATCAGAATATCCGAATATTCGTTCGTTGGAGTACTATTCGGGTGTCAATTTTGTTATTCGGATATTCGTTTTGTGTGTTTTTTTCAAATTGAATTTATTGAAAACTCCAATATCAACGTAAGAGCTTGTGCCTCTTCGGGGGGTGCTAACACTTAACCATAAACGTTATCGTTTACTTTCTCCGTCTTTATATGTAGATATTACTTTTCTCCGTTAATCTCCGTCACGTTGTTTCCATAGCAACAACAACTTCCTGTCAACTGCGCTAACTCTCCTTCAAAATAAAAGCATGTCCATAAATAGGAAGCCAAGCCAAATTACACTTAAGACATACAACTGCAACGAAAGTAACAAACACAATGCGATATCCTTTTCAATTTCAAAGAACACAAATTGGGTTAATAACTATAAAACAACAATACTGTAGAATAAAAAAATGAATGCCGTGAATAAACCGAAATACACGTGTTGAAGCGGTTTGCTTCAACACGAGTTGAAGCGGGCGGGCCGAATATTCGCTGCTGATTACTACCGAATATCCGGAGCCCGAAAAATGGTATCCGGGACAGCCCTAGTGTGAACGCAAACCGAACCTTCTGAAAAATGAAAGAATGTAACACACTGTCGTCTGGTGGGAAGCGGAGTATTAGGTGTGAATGCGACCTAAGAGCCCCACAGATCAGGATCACCTCTCTGCTTCTGTGTTTAGGAGAAAGAGGAGAAAGACTTTGTGGAGTGGCTGAAAGACAAGACTGACCTCGAGGGACCGGAGGAGGTGAAGGACTTGGTGAGTGTGACATATCAGACAACTGTAAGATACACATGTTTGTTACATTCCACAGTAAATGGCAAAAATCATAATCTCGATTATTTGGGTCAATAATTGTAAATGCGATTATTCCTTGACTTTGAAAACATCCATTTATTGGAGAAAAAAATGTGAACAGTATGTTTTTAACAGTTGATTACCCTGAACTTTAAGTATAATATAAACCAAGACACTGGTACTTGCTTACCGTGCTGCGAATGGATCTGGCCCTTCCTACATCCAGGACATGGTTAAACCGTACACCCCAGCGCGTGCACTACGCTCTGCATCAGCCAAACGACTCGTTGCGCCCTCGCTGCGAGGGGGACCCAAGTTCCCATCGGCGAAAACACGTGGGTTTGCTATCCTGGCTCCAAGATGGTGGAATGAGCTCCCCATTGACATCAGGACGGCAGATAGCTTACACATCTTCCGGCGCAAACTGAAAACTCATCTCTTTCGACTCCACTTCGAGCGTTAGAACGATTAACGAAGCACTTATATACTAACAAAGGACTGGCTTACCTAAAGCCAGTTGAGTAGCACTTGAAATGTTTGGCTCTATGAAACCTGATGTACTTTATGATTCTGTTTTCTTCAAGGTTGTGTCTTCCTGGTCGAATGTACTTATTGTAAGTCGCTTTGGACAAAAGCGTCAGCTAAATGCAATGTAATGTAATGTAATTGAACTGAAAAGAAAAAAAAGTAATAATAAAAAAAAAAATCGTTTTATTTCGATTTACGTTGTTTTCGTAATCGTTGCAAGCCGTAATCGCGATTAAAAATACGATTAATTGAGCAGCCTTATCCCACAGGCCATAAGACACATTCACTTTTTATTTTGGCTCACATTTCAACTTCAGTGTACCATGTAGTTAAATAGTTTTACAGAGTGGTCCATCTTTTTCTTTTTCTTAACAACTGTTTGAATCTTGCTAATTATGTATCTATATATCATATTCCATTCACTTGTATATAGACGTGCACATCTCAACACATTCTCTTGCACTGTTGTTCTATGTCCTATATTCACGTTGCTCTGCTGGAGGAGCCTGTGACTTCAGTTTTTCATTCACTGTAGCTGCTGAGCACATGATGATAAAGCCTTGACTGTTGAATCTTTGAGGATTGCTCAGTAATGAGACGTTTGTGTTGGGACAGAAATACTTAAGGGACTACTGGAATGACCCGGAGTTGGACGATAAGGAATGTTTCCTGAGAGACTACGTCCTCAACAAGGGCTACAAGGAGGAAGATGAGGGCGATGATGAGCGGTATGTGATCAGATGCTGACTAATTTCTCGGTTTAAAGGTCCCCTATTATACTGTTCTTCATCAATATATCACAGGTCTCAGATATATCCAGAGCCTGTCTCTGATTGGCTGAAACACCAAACAGATCAGTGCAGCATTACCCATAATCCCCTCTGTTTCAGCCCTGTTTCCAAAGTGCTGATTCTCTGTCTGTTACATTAGATGAAAATAAGGAGCCCCTCCCCACGCCCCTCTGAGAGAGCTTTGGTTACAAAGAACTCAATGGAGCTCTAGAGGAGATTCAGGTGATAAGGGGGGGGGGGGGGTTACCTTGGTTGCTGATTGGCTAATGGTTACACAAGACAACACATCGTTATGACATCATAAAGTGGTCAAAATCTGATCAGCTCATTTTCAGACAGGTTTTTATAGAAATGGATCAAAACGAGAGAGAATCTTTGTTCCTGAAACTTTCAGAGTCTCTTTCCACAGAGGGGACACATGTTGATGTAGAAGAGACATGAAGAAGAGGGGACACATGTTGATGTAGAAGAGACATGAAGAAGAGGGGGACACATGTTGATGTAGAAGAGACATGAAGAAGAGGGGACACATGTTGATGTAGAAGAGACATGAAGAAGAGGGGACACATGTTGATGTAGAAGAGACATGAAGAAGAGGGGACACATGTTGAGGTAGAAGAGACATGAAGAAGAGGGGACACATGTTGATGTAGAAGAGACATGAAGAAGAGGGGACACATGTTGATGTAGAAGAGACATGAAGAAGAGGGGACACATGTTGATGTAGAAGAGACATGAAGAAGAGGGGACACATGTTGATGTAGAAGAGACATGAAGAAGAGGGGACACATGTTGATGTAGAAGAGACATGAAGAAGAGAGGACACATGTTGATGTAGAAGAGACATGAAGAAGAGGGGACACATGTTGATGTAGAAGAGACATGAAGAAGAGGGGACACATGTTGATGTAGAAGAGACATGAAGAAGAGGGGACACATGTTGATGTAGAAGAGACATGAAGAAGAGGGGACACATGTTGATGTAGAAGAGACATGAAGAAGAGGGGACACATGTTGATGTAGAAGAGACATGAAGAAGAGGGGACACATGTTGATGTAGAAGAGACATGAAGAAGAGGGGACACATGTTGATGTAGAAGAGACATGAAGAAGAGGGGACACATGTTGATGTAGAAGAGACATGAAGAAGAGGGGACACATGTTGATGTAGAAGAGACATGAAGAAGAGGGGACACATGTTGATGTAGAAGAGACATGAAGAAGAGGGGACACATGTTGATGTAGAAGAGACATGAAGAAGGGGATTTTGCATAATAGGTGACCTTTAAGGACTCATTCCTGCACCACTCTATTAATATACAATCTCTTCTGATGCGTTCAGGATCCCGACCTACGAGGAGGTGTTGCAGGATGACGTGGAGGACTCTGAGGAGGAAGGCGAATCTTTCCTGGAGCGTCAGGAGGACTTTGAGAGGAAATACAACTTCCGCTACGAAGAGCCGGACGCAGCGCGGGTCAAAACGTACCCGCGAAGCATCGCCACCTCCGTGAGGACCAAGGACGACAGCAGGAAACTCAAAAGGGACGAAGTGAAGGAGAGGAAGCAAAAGGTTAAAATCCCTTGATCTCTCCAGTATGACTCTTATTACATATATACAGAGGTGGGAAGTAGTGGAGGACAAATACTTCGTTACTGTACTTAAGTACATGTTTCTGTTATCAGTACTTTACTCCACGACTTATTTTTCTGACGACTTTTTACCTTGACTTCTTACATGTTGAACTCAAATACCTGTACTTTCTACTTCTTACATATTGAACTCAAATACTTGTACTTTCTACTTCTTACATGTTGAACTCAAATACCTGTACTTTCTACTTCTTACATATTGAACTCAAATACTTGTACTTTCTACTTCTTACATGTTGAACACAAATACCTGTACTTTCTACTTCTCACATGTTGAACTCAAATACCTGTACTTTCTATTTCTCTCATTTTCCAAACAGCTGGTTCCTTTAGTCTGAATGTGTGTTTGGTGCGTGATCATTATTCTTTAGAGTCATTGCGTGCCTATTGATTTGAACACGATCCGTGTATCCATCATTTCCTGGTCTTCTCTAAAGAAGAGGGACCAATGGAAACGTTGTCATGTTGCCGTTGTTCAGCATGGAAACATTCATTAGCTAACAATGACATTATTGTTCTATTAATATAAAGGGAGGTCAGGTACTCTTTAAAGCAGCTGCTAGTTATGGGTACTTTTTACTGAAGTACACTTCAAAGACCTCTTTACCTTGACTTGAGTAAATAATGAGAACTACACTGTAGCTGTGTACACATGGCAATAAAAGCCTTGAACCTTGAATCTAATACCCCCCCCCCCCCCCTCTCTCTCTGCTCTTCCTTTGCTCCCTCGGTGCACCCCTCCTCAGGAGAAGGAGCAGAAGCAGGAGCAGCTGAAGCAGCTGAAGAACCTGAAGCGCAGTGAGATCATGGAGAAGCTGAAGAAGCTGCAGGAGCTGACGGGCAACGAGCAGCTGGCCTTCAGTCACAACGACCTGAAGGGGGACTTTGATCCGGGGCAGCACGACCAGCTCATGCAGGTGAGTGTAAACACGAGAGGTTTGAGTGTGCAAAGAATACAAAGTAAGTAAGGCAAGTTTAACCAATCCAATCCGACTTTATTTATATAGCACTTTTTAAAACAACAGTTGACCAAAGTGCTGTACATCAATACATATATAAAAAGCAGCATGAATACATTTAGACAAAACCGAAAAGAAACTAATGTAAAAGCACGAGACAATAAAACCATACTTATAGCCACAGACTGAAACCCCTCATACACGATGTAAAAACATTTGGAAACACAATAGAAAACCCCCATTTAGAAAACACCTTTCAACACAAGGCATTCAAAGTACTTTACAAAAATGAAAGACATTCAGAAAAAGGCGTTTAAAAAGCAAAGATTACAGTACATTACATTTAGCTGACGCTTTTATCCAAAGCGACTTCGATAAGTGCGTTCGACCAACAAGATACAAACTTGAAGAATCATATAAGTACATCAGGTTTCATAGAGCGCCTGTTAGAGCCAGTATTTTGATTTGATAAGAAAGGCCACCTAATTGTGACGTCTGTAGTCAACGCACTATAAAGGACTACAATTCCCACGGCGCCTGTGCTAACGCCACAGTGATGGGCAACCTGTTGAGAGACGCCGTCGAGGAACAGTTTTTAACCGTACTCGTACAAGTACCCTTTAAGTTGTGAAGTTATAAGCATTATCACGAAAGAAAGAATTCCTAAGTTGTTTGTTTTATTTGGAGGCCAAGCAACACTTCAAACTGCGAGTACTTTAAGGAAAGAAACAAGTTAGAACTGTCTGTTTAAGGCGTCTAGTGGCTTGGTGGAAAAACAAGGAAGGAAGCCACGACAGAGCCAAAACATTTCAAGTGCTACTCAACTGGCTTTAGATAAGCCAGTCCTTTATTAGTATATAAGTGCTTTGTTAATAGTTCTATCGCTCGAAGTGGAGTCGAAAGAGACGAGTTTTCAGTCTGCGCCGGAAGGTGTGTAAGCTATCTGCCGTCCTGATGTCAATGGGGAGCTCATTCCACCATTTTGGAGCCAGGATAGCAAACCCACGTGTTTTTGCTGATGGGAACTTGGGTCCCCCTCGCAGCGAGGGTGCAGCGAGCCGTTTGGTTGATGCAGAGCGGAGTGCACGCGCTGGGGTGTACGGTTTAACCATGTCCTGGATGTAGGAAGGGCCAGATCCATTCGCAGCATGGTACGCAAGTACCAGTGTCTTGAAGTGGATTCTAGCAGTTACCGGAAGCCAGTGAAGGGAGCGGAGGAGCGGAGTGGTGTGGGAACATTTAGGAAGGTTGAAGACCAGACGAGCCGCTGCATTCTGGATGAGCTGCAGAGGTCGGATGGCACATGCAGGTAGACCAGCCAGGAGGGAGTTGCAGTAGTCTAGGCGTGAGATGACGAGAGCCTGGACCAGAACCTGAGTCGCTTTCTGAGTCAGCTGGGGACGTATCTTCTTTATTTGATTACCAATTAGCCTGTATGTTAATATGGGCTCCAACATTCCACCAGTTTGGAGCCAGATAATAAAATATACATTAAAAGAAGAAATAGATGTTACAGTGTAAGATATGAATAGTGTGAGGAAAGTTTCAAATGTTGTGAGTTTTCTGCCCCGACATAAGTTGCCAGTGTTAGCACGCACATCTAGTTAGCTACTTGCAGTAAACAAGCATTACTTCAAAAGCCCAGAGGACTATATTGACTTGTTCTGTCCTGCTCTCATGTCAAAATCAAACATATCCTAAATTGGGATGAATTAAGCACATCTTACTTTGAGCTTATGTACATTTTCACGATCAACCAACCCCATTCCAGTGTTACCTGAACACGTTTTAGGTTTGCCAAAAATATTAGTTTTTGTCCTAAAAAGCCTTGATAAAGCAAGGGAAACATGCTTACAAAACACGTAGCGGAATATAAATCCAACTGCTTCTCTTGCTTGTCCTACTATAAGGACAATAAGCTTTACGGTTTAGCAGGTTATTGTCAAATCTGAAATGTTTAAAAGAAATGTCAGACACTTCTCTTACGTAGCTCCACACTTGAATACAATAACAACGCTCATTCTTTACTTGCGTTTTGTTAAAATGTGTAAAGACATCTATTGCACGTCTGTCCATCCTGGGAGAGGGAAGCATCCTCTGACCAATCAGGGTTCATTCAACACTTTGGGGAGAGCCACAATCTGTCGTTGTGAATATATGGGATGAGAATGGAGAGCATGGCTGCGGTCGGATAATCCAAAAATCAGCTCCTAACGTCTAACCCTATCGTCTATTCCTTGACCTCTGAGTGAAAGGTCACGGGGTTAAGGGATAGTGGATAGGAGAATTCAAAAGGATTTAGGAGAAGAGACTGCGGGTACTTTAGAGAATCCGATCATTTCAGTAAAAACTAACGTTCATATTTCTCTCTTTGATTATAATACTGATGAACGTTCAAAACAAAGCACTTTGGCAACTTACCACATACGTTTTAAAAAGCTTAATAAGCACCGTAACTTTCATGATATCATTTCTCCGTCATAATCGGTTGTTTCCGTGAACGGCCGACTGTTGAGTGACGGCAAATGCTGCGGCTGCAATGCATTGTGGGGCAGCATTTTCTCCTCTCCTTTCGGTGAGGGAGGTCCAGTGGTTCCTAAGCTAAAGGAGGTTATAAAGGAAGTTTGAAACCTCCTTTCCTTTCATCTGGAGAATTGGAACGGCTCTTATCATGGCTGCCAGTGAGGGACTTCCGGGTCATTTCACTCCGTTAGGAAGGTTCCTAAGCGACTATTCGACTGCAGCCCTTGACTGGCATGTCGACAGTAACAGAGGAGGCGGGGCTTAGCAATTATTCAAATGGACTTTTTAAGAGAAAGACATTTGGACCTGTCCCAGTAGAGAAGGCTGCCTCCTGCTGGGTCTCTGGATCTCGTTAGTGTGATCAGTAACACCTGAGCTCTGACTCGCTCACACAGGTGTGTTGAGTTAATCTAATCAGACTGTGCTACAAGAAGTCAGTGAGCAGCTGTGTGTCAGTGCAGAGCTTTAAAGCAGCCAACTTGTCTGCTGCATGCTACTCAACTTATCCGGTTTAAGACATTTCAACTCAAATATATTACATTTTCTTTCCATTTTTAGAAGTTCTTCGGGGATGAGTACTACGGAGGAGCAGAGGACGAGAAGCCTCAGTTTGAAGCCGATGAGGAACTTGAGGGTAAGTCTTTCTTTTGTTAAAACCGCGTGCTTTATTTCAATGCGTTAGTGCTTCTATTGACTCAAAATGTAAAGTTAATCCTGTTATGTTTGAAAGGAACCAGAAGGGATTGCTTGGATTTGAATGAAGCAGCCAGAAACACATGTCAGAAATTCTGCATGTTTAATTTCCTATTCATTCTTTGCATTAATCAACTGTGTTTGATCTATGCAGGGTGTCGGCAGGGTCTTAAAAAGTATTAAAAGTTGATGAATCAATTTAGCGAAAATTAAGGCTATTAAACGGCATTTTCCAAGGTATTACATTTTGTAGTTTTCAATAAGTATATAAATGGTCCAAAGAGGTTGTGTTCTACAGTGTGCCTGAATGTAATCATGGCGTAGGTGTGTTGTGTGATTCTGTGTATTTATTTATGGCATCCCGTTGGGTTTGACGTCATCTGAACTAGTGTTGTCACGATACCAACATTTTGGTTTCGATACCAAGTCAAGAATTCCGATTATTTTTCGATACTTTTCTTAAAAAAAGGGAAACGGTCTTAAATGTAATTATTGTGCTTTATTTCACACCAGAACACAAACTTTGAAACAATAAATACAAGAATTCGTATTAATAAAATGAATACATTTCTTACAGACAGGTCTCGTGGTGTCCGTAGGCTTGCCCTCACTGTCAGAGATATAGCTAAAATACTTCCAACTTCCGAAACGGAGGAATCGTAACGTTTTTAACGGCAGGGTATCGCAGTACCTTTCAAGTATCGGTACACCGTGCAACGCTCACTGCTTGATAGCGCGGAGGTCCGTTTACGCCGGTTGTTAAACAACATCGTTATGGGGAAATGCAAGTTAGCGTCCAAATGGTTGGAAGATAAGGAGGAAGGACGATCAATACTGTATATAGTCAATGTGAGGTAAAGTGTGTCGCCAAGGTTACCGGTTACAACTCCAAGTGGCGATGAGGTCTTAAAATGTATGGAAAGGGTCTTTAAAGGTTTTACATTTGACTTCAGGATTCCTGCATATAGCCTGATATGCAGTTTGGAGATGTAACCCATAGCTTGTTGTGTGTGCAGAACACTGGAACTGGGACACATGGACTGGGGAGGAAAGAGAAAAGGATGGTGAAGAGGAAGGAGAGTATAACGCCTCTGGGCCGCACTGCGACGATGACAACTTCATTGTGAGTAAACTGAACTTTCAATATAACCTTCATCCTGGGATATTACAAACGTGTGTGTGATCTGAGAGAAACTCTTACATCCTTCCTGTGTTAAACCAGATGGATGCAGACTACGACCCCAGCCAGCAGACGGCCTCCAAGAAGAAAAAGAAGAAGGAGAGGAAGACGATGAAGAAAGAGGATTTGCCACAATCGGGCAAAAAGAGGAGAAAGTCTCACTTTGCAGAAGTCATCACGCAGAACAAGCCGGTGTTTGACCCTCGTGAGTGTCTCTAAACATCCTGACACTTAAAGGACACCTATTGTGAAAAATCCTCTTCTTCATGTCTCTTCTACATCAACATGTGTCCCCTCTTCTTCATGTCTCTTCTACATCAACATGTGTCCCCTCTTCTTCATGTCTCTTCTACATCAACATGTGTCCCCTCTTCTTCATGTCTCTTCTTCATCAACATGTGTCCCCTCTTCTTCATGTCTCTTCTACATCAACATGTGTCCCCTCTTCTTCATGTCTCTTCTACATCAACATGTGTCCCCTCTTCTTTATGTCTCTTCTACATCAACATGTGTCCCCTCTTCTTCATGTCTCTTCTACATCAACATGTGTCCCCTCTTCTTCATGTCTCTTCTACATCAACATGTGTCCCCTCTTCTCCATGTCTCTTCTACATCAACATGTGTCCCCTCTTCTTCATGTCTCTTCTACATCAACATGTGTCCCCTCTTCTTCATGTCTCTTCTACATCAACATGTGTCTCCTCTTCTTCATGTCTCTTCTACATCAACATGTGTCCCCTCTTCTTCATGTCTCTTCTACATCAACATGTGTCCCCTCTTCTTCATGTCTCTTCTACATCGACATGTGTCCCCTCTTCTCCATGTCTCTTCTACATCAACATGTGTCCCCTCTTCTTCATGTCTCTTCTACATCAACATGTGTCCCCTCTTCTTCATGTCTCTTCTACATCAACATGTGTCTCCTCTTCTTCATGTCTCTTCTACATCAACATGTGTCCCCTCTTCTTCATGTCTCTTCTACATCAACATGTGTCCCCTCTTCTTCATGTCTCTTCTACATCAACATGTGTCCCCTCTTCTTCATGTCTCTTCTACATCAACATGTGTCCCCTCTTCTTCATGTCTCTTCTACATCAACATGTGTCCCCTCTTCTTCATGTCTCTTCTACATCAACATGTGTCCCCCTCTTCTTCATGTCTCTTCTACATCGACATGTGTCCCCTCTTCTACATCGACATGTGTCCCCGCTTCTCCATGTCTCTTCTACATCAACATGTGTCTCCTCTTCTTCATGTCTCTTCTATATCAACATGTGTCCCCTCTTCTTCATGTCTCTTCTACATCAACATGTGTCCCCTCTTCTTCATGTCTCTTCTACATCAACATGTGTCCCCTCTTCTTCATGTCTCTTCTACATCAACATGTGTCCCCTCTTCTTCATGTCTCTTCTACATCAACATGTGTCCCCGCTTCTTCATGTCTCTTCTACATCGACATGTGTCCCCTCTTCTACATCGACATGTGTCCCCGCTTCTCCATGTCTCTTCTACATCAACATGTGTCTCCTCTTCTTCATGTCTCTTCTATATCAACATGTGTCCCCTCTTCTTCATGTCTCTTCTACATCAACATGTGTCCCCTCTTCTTCATGTCTCTTCTACATCAACATGTGTCCCCTCTTCTTCATGTCTCTTCTACATCAACATGTGTCCCCTCTTCTCCATGTCTCTTCTACATCAACATGTGTCCCCTCTTCTCCATGTCTCTTCTACATCAACATGTGTCCCCTCTTCTTCATGTCTCTTCTACATCAACATGTGTCCCCTCTTCTTCATGTCTCTTCTACATCAACATGTGTCCCCTCTTCTCCATGTCTCTTCTACATCAACACGTGTCCCCTCTTCTCCATGTCTCTTCTACATCAACACGTGTCCCCTCTTCTTCATGTCTCTTCTCTTCTACATCAACATGTGTCCCCTCTTCTTCATGTCTCTTCTACATCAACATGTGTCCCCTCTTCTTCATGTCTCTTCTACATCAACATGTGTCCCCTCTTCTTCATGTCTCTTCTACATCAACATGTGTCCCCTCTTCTTCATGTCTCTTCTACATCAACATGTGTCCCCTCTTCTTCATGTCTCTTCTACATCAACATGTGTCCCCTCTTCTTCATGTCTCTTCTACATCAACATGTGTCCCCTCTTCTCCATGTCTCTTCTACATCAACATGTGTCCCCTCTTCTTCATGTCTCTTCTACATCAACATGTGTCCCCTCTTCTTCATGTCTCTTCTACATCAACATGTGTCCCCTCTTCTTCATGTCTCTTCTACATCAACATGTGTCCCCTCTTCTCCATGTCTCTTCTACATCAACATGTGTCCCCTCTTCTTCATGTCTCTTCTACATCAACATGTGTCCCCTCTTCTTCATGTCTCTTCTTCATCAACATGTGTCCCCTCTTCTTCATGTCTCTTCTACATCAACATGTGCCCCCTCTTCTTCATGTCTCTTCTACATCAACATGTGTCCCCTCTTCTTCATGTCTCTTCTACATCAACATGTGTCCCCTCTTCTTCATGTCTCTTCTACATCAACATGTGTCCCCTCTTCTTCACGTCTCTTCTACATCAACATGTGTCCCCTCTTCTTCACGTCTCTTCTACATCAACATGTGTCCCCTCTTCTTCATGTCTCTTCTACATCAACATGTGTCCCCTCTTCTTCATGTCTCTTCTACATCAACATGTGTCCCCTCTTCTTCATGTCTCTTCTACATCAACATGTGTCCCCTCTTCTTCATGTCTCTTCTACATCAACATGTGTCCCCTCTTCTTCATGTCTCTTCTACATCAACATGTGTCCCCTCTTCTTCATGTCTCTTCTTCATCAACATGTGTCCCCTCTTCTTCATGTCTCTTCTACATCAACATGTGTCCCCTCTTCTTCATGTCTCTTCTACTTCAACATGTGTCCCCTCTTCTTCATGTCTCTTCTACATCAACATGTGTCCCCTCTTCTTCATGTCTCTTCTACATCAACATGTGTCCCCTCTTCTTCATGTCTCTTCTACATCAACATGTGTCCCCTCTTCTTCATCAACATGTGTCCCCTCTTCTTCATGTCTCTTCTACAACAACATGTGTCCCCTCTTCTTCATCAACATGTGACCCCTCTTCTTCATGTCTCTTCTACATCAACATGTGTCCCCTCTTCTTCATGTCTCTTCTACATCAACATGTGTCCCCTCTGTGGAAAGAGACTCTGAAAGTTTCAGGAACAAAGATTCTCTCTCTTTTTGATCCATTTCTATAAAAACCTGTCTGAAAATGAGCTGATCAGATTTTGGCCACTTTATGATGTCATAACGATGTGTTGTCTTGTGTAACCATTAGCCAATCAGCAACCAAGGTAACCCCCCCCCCCTTATCACCTGAATCTCCTCCTAGAGCACCATTGAGTTCTTTGTAACCAAATCTCTCTCAGAGGGGCGTGGGGAGGGGCTCCTTATTGTCATCTAAAGTAACAGACAATCATCACTTTTGAAACAGGGCTGAAACAGAGGGGATTATGGGTAATGCTGCAATGATCTGTTTGGAGTTTCAGCCAATCAGAGACAGGCTCTGTATATATCTGAGACCTGTGATATATTGATGAAGAACAGTATAATAGGCGACCTTTAAAACAAACCGTCCTCCTGTAGTTCTCTGACTGACAGCTGCTTGTGTTTCAGAGTCTAAGAGCTTCGAGCAGTACCTGGATGAATACTATAAGCTGGACTACGAGGACATCATCGACGACCTCCCCTGCAGGTTCCGCTACAGACAGGTGCTGCCCAACGACTTCGGCCTGAGCACGGAGGAGGTGAGACCATCAGCACTACAGAAAAATGATGTTTACTTGACCCTTAAGAGTTCCTTAAAAAAAAACGTATTTGTTCCTAAGGCCAAAAAATGCCACCTTCACAAAAACTTCTGTAAAAATGTGATATTTTTTTCCACTTTAAAAGAGTCAATCTTTTAAAACTACTCCAGCCTGACACATACATTTCAAATATGAATTCTATTTTGGGGATTTGAACCCTTTTTAAAATGCGCACTTGCAGAAAACAGTAAGAAATGTTGCTACATGCTTCAAAGAGTTAAAATGATCGCCATCTTGTAGACAAATGTAAAAATTGAAAGCTAGTAATCCAAAATGAAAACTTAACATAAAGGAATTCATTTGTTTATGATAAGATAAATGTGGGGTCAAAAAAAGCATTTTCAATGGGGCATTTTTTGCCGCTTGGAATAAATGTGTCGGTTTTTGTGTAGCTTAGCCATTTTAGGCTAATTTAAGGAACTGATACAACAATTCAAAATACAACTCTAAAATGATATCCTCTGACAAGTTTGAGCTATATTCATTCAACACAGCCAAAATGGCTTGAAAATAAAAACCCGAATGGCTGAAAAATGTACCTAGGAACTCCTTAAGGGTTATTAATCTTCTTCCTACTAGGAACCCTAGAGAAGAAATTACATATTTTGGTCTTAGCTTTTTATCAGCCAATTGGAGTTAAACATCATTCCCCTCTTGTGAAACAACTCCATGCAGTTTCCAAAAATGTTTAGCAACACAGCGCCATAAATAAAGGATTACGTGATGTGAGGTTTCTCTATTAGCTATCATGGAGATGTATCATAAGTCGATATATATATATATATATAGGTATATCTGTGGTTGATTTTCTAACAGTTTAAATTCACTCCTACTAAATGTTCTCAGGGTGTCGCCTTGACCATTGTCAGGCAATCATCATATGGATGTTAGGTTGGTAATTAGCATGTATGCAAGTTTCGCCCATCAGGCCAACATTTCAATAGCCTGTAATGTAAATTCTAGCTGAAGACCTTCCCCTTTCTTTGTCTTGTCCTGTATAAAGGGCTTGTTTTTCTGTTGTAATGGGGTCAGATCCTTGTACTACATCAGTGGTGCAGGTTATCTGTCCTTCCAGCTGGAAATGGACTTTGGTTTAAACTTGTATTTGTTCATTTCTTACCAGAAGAGGATTAAAGTGTGGAGTTTCCACCACAGTAGCCATCGAAGCAATTCTGGCTAATCGATAGCAAGAATTGGAGCCAATAAGCTAAGCTAATGGTTTGCGATAGAGCAACTGATTCAAACCCTGGAACAGCTTTCGTTGAAAAGAGGTGAATGAAACACTTGATATAATAAATTCTCACTGTCTGCTGGTTGAAGGCGCTGCTATGATGAGTTACAAGTGACTGATCTGGTATTGTGTTCCTCCGGGAGCAGCTCTGACCAGGGAATGATCTGCACTTAATCTTCTCGCTGAGCAGACCAAACAGCAGCACATCTCAAAACTCTACAGGAGTCCAGACAAGTGTTTAAAAAATGTGTCTCAAAGTCTCCGTTTCCTCCCTCAGATTCTACATGCTGACGATACGGAGCTGAACCAGTGGGCGTCTCTGAAGAAGACGTGCATGTTCAGGTACGACCGCTGTTCATTTTAAATTCACACATGTTCTGTTGTCTCAGATGATGCCCTTTACTCATTCTCTCTTTGTTTATTAGGTCTGACAAGGAGGAGTCGAGTGATTTACATAACTATAAGATCAAGGCCAAGAATGTGAAGAGGAAAAAAGAAATCCTGAGCTCCATCTATTCTGAGTAAGTGTATTTTATATTACAACTGTGACGTAGATTTGATGGCCGACTGGAAGTTAGCATCTCCCTGGTCCCTTCAACATGGAGGACATTTTTGGAGAAAATAATCTGTGTTAAACAAACGTTTATGATACTTACACGTTCAGTTCAGCATGATGATCTCCACATTTTAACACCACTTTATGATTTCTGAAGTTAAAAGCTAATGTTGGGCTATAAAGGAACTACAGCACGGTCACTTGACTTCACGTCACCACCGCTAAGCTAAAGGGGGCTAATGTTGGGCTATAAAGGAACTACAGCACGGTCACATGACTTCACGTCACCACCGCTAAGCTAAAGGTGGCTAATGTTGGGCTATAAAGGAACTACAGCACGGTCACATGACTTCACGTCACCACTGCTAAGCTAAAGGTGGCTAATGTTGGGCTATAAAGGAACTACAGCACGGTCACATGACTTCACGTCACCACCGCTAACCTAAAGGTGGCTAATGTTGGGCTATAAAGGAACTACAGCACGGTCACATGACTTCACGTCACCAGCGCTAAGCTGAAGGTGGCTAATGTTTGGCTATAAAGGAACTACAGCACGGTCACATGACTTCACGTCACCAGCGCTAAGCTGAAGGTGGCTAATGTTGGGCTATAAAGGAACTACAGCACGGTCACATGACTTCACGTCACCAGCGCTAAGCTGAAGGTGGCTAATGTTGGGCTATAAAGGAACTACAGCACGGTCACATGACTTCACGGCAGAACTGCTAAGCTAAAGGTGGCTAATGTTGGGCTATAAAGGAACTACAGCACGGTCACATGACTTCACGTCACCACCGCTAAGCTAAAGGTGGCTAATGTTGGGCGTGATGACGTTTAGTTGTCTCATTTAGACACTTGTTAGCAACCGCTGTTTTAAAATTCACCAGTGGGGTATTTTCTTACATATTTTGTTGTAGAACCAAATTATAAAATCTCTTCAGCTTGTGTTAATCAAAGACCTTATTTCAGGCTAACAAACAAAATTACGCATTCAAAGAAACATTGCCTTCCAGATGAGGCAACAGGAAGTGAAAGAAAGCTGACTAATGTCCAGGTTTTTGGATAATGAATCTACAATTTGGAGCACTATCTAACAATATGTCTCTTCATTTGATCTACAGGGACGCTAAAGAGCTGGAGGACGCTAAAAACAAGGTCGGGAAGAAGAGAACGGATCATCTGAAGAACCAAAATGGAGAGTCCACCTCCATCATGGACTCCACCGAGGAGACTCTTGTAACTCTCAAAGAAGCAGGAGACAACAACGAAGAAGAAGAGGAGGTTCTGATCCCCAAGATGAAGCAGGACGAGGAGAGTGAGGTCGCCGCTGCAGAGAAACCTGTGGAGGTGAGGAACAGGACTGAGAGGACAAAATGGCCGAAGGCGAAGCTGAAATCCTCCGCAGGACGGCGCCCCTCATCGGGAGGATTAGCCGGGGTGAGGATCGGAGGACGAGAGTTCAGCCAACAGAGACTGAAGGCGTACGGCCTGAACCCCAAGAGACTGTTCTTCAGACAGCTCGGCCGGCAGAGACGCAAAGACCAGGAGAAGATGGACAAGCAGAAAAACAAGGAGTGAGACGCCATCTTAGAAATATCCCAACAGTACAGTCTTGTGCTCTCAGCGTTGAAGACATTTCACACCCTCAAAATGTCCGAATCGTAAAAAAAATTACTACATCTTTTGACATAACCGTTTGTTTAGGCTTACAGTTAAATAAACAATTTAAAGTGATTCCTCTCGCTGCATTGTGTTTAGATACCTGCAGATAACGTTTGCAGTGACATTTTGTTTCTGGAAATGACACAACTTGGTTTGAAAAGATATGAGACTTATGTATCTTTTTCCCAACAACTCCCTGGCTGTTGTGTCTTCTTATAGCTGATTAAAGCAGATGTGTGATCCATCATTGTATTTCTACATGCTTTGAACCAGGTGGACGGAAGCTATTCACTTTTATACCTCTATGATGTGTAAACAAGATGAATGTTGTTAAATCCTTCAGGTATAAAACTCCTCTTGATCCTCCCCAGGTTTTGTGCTAAAATAAACTGACTAAATAATCATGGCACCTTTTTCAAAGCAGTGGAGTTAACTAAGTAGATTTACATAAGTACATTTTTGAGGTACTTGTACTTCAGTATTTCCATGTTGTGCTACTTTGTACTTCGACTCCACTACAAGTCAGAGGTACATGGTGTACTTTTACTCCACTACATGTATTTAATCCCTTTAGTGACTTCACAGATCTGGATGAATGATGTGAAATATAACCAAGTGTTAAATCAGACTTTAGTTCCACCTAGAGTAAATCCACCAGCTACCCTGCAGTATACAAAGTCCTTCAAACTAGCTGCACCTTTACCAGCTTTGAGAACACTTTCATGATCAATCATTATAAAACATATCATATATATTATTCTGAAATGGACCAATCTGCACAACGACTACTTTTACTGTCGCTACTTTCACTATATTTTGATGAGAATACTTTTCTACTTTCACTTGAGGAACATTTTGAATGCAGGACTTTTACTGGAACAGAGTATTCCTACACTCTGGTACTTCTAATTTTACTCAAGTACAAGATCTGAGTACTTCTACTATTACTCAAGTACAAGATCTGAGTACTTTTACTTTTACTCAAGTACAAGATCTGAGTACTTCTACTTTTACTCAAGTACAAGATCTGAGTACTTCTACTTTTACTCAAGTACAAGATCTGAGTACTTCTACTTTTACTCAAGTACAAGATCTGAGTACTTCTCCCACCTGTTTTCAGTGAGTATTTAATAACTCCTGTTGTACCGTAGAGGGCGCTGTGCACGTGCACGTCAAAAGCTGCTGTATTTCCGCCCAATAACCAACGAAGAAGAATCAGCAGAAGAGGCGCGCTCACTGTCAGTTTGAATCTCAGGAATTAACGGCAAGTTTTCTGCTTTATTTGAACAATAAATAGCTCATATTTTCCTTAAACATTGGTATAACAAGTTAGTTAAACAGTCGATGATACTATTGTAGCATTATGTTGCGTGTCTGTGTCATTAAATCATAGTTTAGCTATCCGTTGGAACATCCGTTGTAAACAATATACAAAACACAGCGAGAGTTCGAGGCTTTTTAGACACTTTATGTACCTTTTTGATGTTGCTTTCCGTTACATTAGCATGTCAGCTAAAGGGTCAGTGTTTGGAAAGTAATGTACATTAAATAACATGAGTTTAAGTCCAGTTTGGTGGTAAATGGTTGGTATTTCAGGGTTTTCTCTTCGTGTCACAACAGAAAAATGTCATGTATTGTTCTAACGTTACTTAATTTGTCTTAAGGCCGCGACAATGAACCGTATGTATTTGTACATGCTGTTACATATTTGTGTTAGTCCTGCAACTTACTTGATTCATTTTCTCTTTTACTTTTGTGTTGCATTGTAGGACTCTTAAGAAGACGATATATTTTCATTGTCAACGACCACGCTGTAGCTATTGTGCCTCTGACAATATAACTGAATCTATAGAAGTCAACATACTTTTCCTACTACAATGTAGTGTTAAAGTTACAGGACATGTTATTTATTCATTGAAATGTACTGATATATTTCTGGTTCATTATATACATCCTTGTCACCACACTTTCCAACTACAACAAACAATATGCTGTTATATTAGTTAACATGTTGATATGTGGTATTTCTACACCACTGTGTGTTTCCTCTCCTTCTGAAATAACTTTGCACCTGAATAATTCTTCCATCGCTGGGGATTACTTATGTTTGATTTGTTTTATTGTTGTTGTTGTTGTTGATGATTACATTACATGTCACTTGTTAGACGCTTATATCCAAAGCGACTTACATACTCAACCCTGTGGGCAATCCTCACAGGGTTGGGGTGAAGTCAGTGTCTCAGGGACACAACGACATGCTGACTGCAGTGGGGTTTGAACCTGTGACCCCCTGACCCCAACACCAAGGCTCTATCCACTGCGCCACACGCCTCCTGATTAGCCAGCCTCGATGACTAATCACCGTCTTTTCCGCTGTGTTTTCCAGGAAGCATTGTCCCCACGATGGCTCAGAGTCATAAGTTCCAGGATCTGGAGGAGATGGGGGACGTTCTGGTGTCCTTCATCAACAGCAGCCAGCCCGAGAAACTGATCCAAGTGAAGGAGGCACACCAGGCTCTGTTCGACAAACACATGGAGACCAAGAGGCTGGTAACGCAGATTCTAAAAGGCAAGTCACCACGAGTTAGTTTCAAGATTCAAGGCTTTTATTGTCGTGTGTTGGGGAAATATTTTCCAAGGCCCATAACTTTGACCCAGTTGATCAGTTCTGTCCTGACTGAGCACACGCACCTCGTAGCCTTGGCTGCTGTGCTCTCAGTGTTCTGTCTCCCTGTTCCTGCCTGATGGCGTCAGCTGATAGAGGTGTTATCGTTCTATCTTGTTATGCAGCATGTTGATGATGCTCTCTGAACTAGCTAGATACACGGCTCTTGGGTAGAGTTCTTCAGAATACACGTGGCAACTCTACCGTGAAGTCAGAGCCTCTGGCTCTTGGACTTGTTTTGTGAATTCTCCGGCCGAAGCTCCAAAAAAACCTGTCAGTGTTTGACATCAAAGCTCCAGCTCTCCCCGTGTCTCCTTTGAGTCGGTGACTCCTCCTGCATTGCTACACAGACGTTTCCCCCACAATGTGTACATAGCTTCAGGCCGTTTCTCAATCGCGAGGATGCAGGCTTGGTAGTCGCGTACTTCCAAGTCACTTCCTTCAGAAATGAAGCAAGTATGCTTCCAAGCCACGGCTTCGGAAAACGAAGAATAATGGAACAGGCTAACAAGTGTGCCACTCTCTCTAACGGTTTCAACATAAACTGGACCGAAAATAAATACCTCACGATGTCTATCTAATTATGAACTTGCTTTACTTTCACGGAACACATGTTTGGTGATAACAAATGTAACAAAGTAACATATTTACCAAAACATGTTCTACGCCACTACTTACATTTAAATGTGTGCTGCGTCGGTTCAGCCATTCTCCGCAAGGGTTTTTGAAATTGGTCCGTGCGCAAAGCATTGTGGGGATTTTAAGGACGCGAAGTCTACCCATGTGTAGCCTCGAAATTTCCCCCAAACCAAGGACGCGGCCTCGGTGGAATTCCAAGTATGCTGGAGATTGGAACAGTCCTTCGGCGGCACTCGATGACGTAGCATCCTTGAAATATTGGCTTGGAAGCCAGCATCCTCGAGATTGAGAAACGGCTACAGTGTAGATATATCAATGAAAACCTTAGGTCACAGGCTCCTCCAACAGAGCAACACAATAACACGGATACAATAGTTCAAATAGTGCAAGTAATACAAATAAAATGGGATAGAAATAGTGCAAGGAGGCTGTGGCTCAGTGGATAGTGTGATGGACTTCGATTGCAAGTTCAAGTCCCACTGCAGTCAGCATGTCGTTGTGTCCCTGAGATTTCCCACAGTATTGAGTATGTAAGTCGCTTTGGATAAAAGCGTCTACCAAGTCACATGTCATGCAATAAACAGTCCAAACGTTTTTCACTGAGGGCCACGTACAGAAACATACGAAGGGCTGGGCCGCTCACTAAGGACGTATATTGCCTCATAAGTTCAGTTATGAGTCAGCCAACTCAATCAAATGTGGGTCAATGATTCTTGATACTTGAAAATGCTGTCCATCAGCTCTCCAGAGGGCTTCATGTATTGTGTTGGCAGCTCCTTCCTTAAAACAGAAGCTTCAGATTGCTGATCAGAAGAGGAAATATGAAGGGTATCTTTCAAGATTGATATGTGAATAAGTTATTTGGCTTTTTTCTTATCAACTTACATTTGTTAGAAAATGTTTTCAACTTTAAAAACGGTGCTTACTGGAACATGACTAGTGTGTCGTACAATAGAAGACAAGTTTAATTTGTGGGCCATATTTCACTGTACATGTGAGAGGTGACATTAAGCAGGAATACTCCACCAGTCCCTCTGATCTTCATCCTAAATGTTGTCTTTGTTGCCGCCCCCCCTCCCAGATGTGTCTCAGGTGGAGGAGGCTGCAGGTCAGAGGCTGATGGACATGGAGGAGGAGAAGAACCGGAGGGAGGAGGAGCTTCAGATTCTGGAGGATCAGCTGAGGAAGAGCAGCGCCAAGAGCCAGATGACCGACTCTGAGCTGCAGTATCCTTTCATAAACAACATGAAAAATATCACGGGTCCCCGGCTTGAGCTTCAATCTCAGGATCCATGTATTTATGATCCTCTCAAGAATGGAAGTATGAATGAAAGTATGAATGGAAATTCAAACTTTTTCTGAAAATCTAAAAATCCTGACACTTTTTCTCCAAATTCTAACTTTTTCTGAATACTTTAAATGTTAATAATCCCTCGTCACCGGCTTGAGCTTCAATCTCGGGATCCATGTATTTGTGATCCTCTCAAGAATGGAAGTAGTCATCATCAGGCTTGGATTTTCGTCATTTTAGGGGCAAGGCCATTTGGCCTTTGGTGTCACACATTCTTTCAGGGCGGAAAGGCCATTGAGGGAAACATTAGGATTTGGAGCTTAAAAATAAATAACTTCACTTTCTAATGACAAAAAACAAATCACTTTTTTAATATCAATAATCGTATCATCATATATGCCTCCTTAGTATTAACGTATCTAAAATGAAATACTTTACTTTGAATAATTAGTGTTTGGTATGTTTTCCATCTACTACTACTCCCATTCACAAATCCAAAATGAAATCAAAAATTCTATTAATATGTAACAAATATATTCAATTTCAGAGCAGAAGAAACAGCCTTCAAGGGTCAAACTCTGCACACACATCATTCAGCACAGTGAAGCTCCAACATCCCACTGTATGAACAAGCAATACTTTGAAATGCAAA